AAAGTGTTTGTTTACTCAATACCCGCGTACGGAACCGTTTCTTCCACAAGCAGTTTTTCCCTCATTTATCTATCTTATCGAGCACTCACACACATGTCGGTGTATTTTAATATCGGCCTAAAGTGCAAGCTTAACGAGATTAAATTCCCGGAATGTTCGCAATGTAAGTGGATTTTCGAGAACAATTTGATTTTGCGCGGCGTTTCCTTTCTCAATTAGTCCGTGGAAAAAGCTGCGGCTAATGAAAAATTTTCATCTCTGAACATGGAGGTGGTATCGATTTTCGGCTCCGCCGCCGACCAACAATAAAAGACGTATGTGCCGATGCTCGCCCTCGTCTATGCCCAGACAAATTGAACAATAATAGCTCGTGCCGGAGACATATTTCAAAGCGGCCTCTTCCGGGGGCGACAGCGATTTCGTAACCGAAAAGCGGTCATCTTTTCACTTCCCGGAGTCACCGCCGAACCTTCCGGGATCACTTCCCGGAGACTGAATTACGGATTCTCTTTCATGTTTTGCGTACGACTTTCGGATCGGCGACACAGAAACGAAGCGTTCACCGGAATCACGGAGTTTGTCGTAAGAAAACTCCAAATGAAATCGACTTCGCAAAATTTTGAGACGACGTCATCGGGTTTTGGTGGGGATGAACGAACAAATCACGATATTGTTAAAACAAATGTAAAATTTCACAAGCTATGATATGTTTTCACGTTGACACACAGAAATGGGTCCTACTTTTTCATTTTCAAGGATCTAGAAACGTCGAGGAAACAAAATTAGTAACTGGTCATTTCTCAACTCATAATTTCCACGTCAAAATGAAAGGAAACAACAAAAAATACAGTATGTATTTGTTTTCATTTCCATTGTTAATGAGCGTATTTCGATTAGTCGTTTTCCTTCTAAAGCCAACAGGAAGTTATTAACAAACAAATTTCCAAGCTTGCCATATAAACGTTAAATAATGCAAATGTGTCCATGAAGCAAGAATTACGATACTAGTTTAACATAACCGACCACAGCACCTATAGAAAAAAACCCGTATACACCACATATCAAGAAAACGAACTTTTACGTCCTGTACAAGCAATCTCCCGCACTACCAACAACCTTATCTCGACCCTGAATCAACACCGATAAACTATCAACACCGAACTATCACACATGATGTCACAATCATAGCTCCATTCAATTCCGATTAGCCCCCCCTCTCGCACGCACTTATCTCGCGTCCGCCTATCCGTCCGACGCGAGCCTCATCGAAATCCCATGGTGTCTCTCACCTATAAACAAACACCACGAGGGGCGTTCCGTTCGTTCGTCTTTCGTCTGCAGTGTGTATAAATATAGAGTGGGAACGGATCGAACGCGCAACAACGAACAGAAACAGCAGCGGAGGCAGGACAGAACACTTCCCCTTTAATTCGCGTCGCGACTGTGGCGGCCTCGCTCGGCGGCCGGCCTGTCTGGGTCTAGGTCACCTCACCCCACTTCCCCGTCGCCCACCAGACACGGAATCTCAAGGCTAAATTTGTTTATACCTGCTGCACTCGCATCATGCACTCGGATCGGCGTCTTTTGTTTCTTCTTGGACGGCATCCAGCCCGTGGCCGCGTGCTGTATGGACGGCGGACAGGGCGCGGGGGCGGCGATGACTCGCGGGAGGGGGGGTGGCAGAAATTGCGGAATGTCGGTGGTGCGACTCGAAGATGACGGGGGGTTAAGTGGAGGGTGGGCATGAAGGTGTATAGAAGTGGACGTGGGTGTGCGGGGTCGAGGCGTGTTTTGGTAATCCGAGGAGCTCGAAGGTGGTTGATTTCGTCTTCGTGGATCCTCGTGTGTCTACATTTTATTTATTTAATGCCAGAGCAAACTTTATTAACCTCACTTTTTCGTGTAATAAATCTAACAAATCTGTCTGCAGCGCCAACTTCATTTTCCAATTGAACACTTGTTAAGTCTTATATATATCGTATTTAGTTTAAGGTCTTCGTAACGCCGAGACGGTTTTCTAAACTACCTGTACGTTTCCAGAGCCGTTTGGGAATACGATAATGAGCAACGCGCGGAATTGTGTTTCATACGCTAGATCCAGTGCTGTCGCGGCGATAGTTTGATTACAAATATATTTTTCTTTTGGACTATATCAACATAATATAACATTTCAAGATCACAAATCTGTGGTCCTGTGTTTGAAAAATTAAAAAGGGCATCGGGTATTTTTATTTGAAGTAATATAGTAATATAGAAGTAGTTTTTTAACAAGCTGTAAACACTCCTACTAGCGACGCACTGGCTACGACCTTGTGGACCAGACCAAAGCGTCCCCGCTACTCGCCGTAAAACACACCTTGCTTCAACTGGGGAATTGCATCCGTAAGATACTTTTCCGCCCAGTGATAATGAGACACGTGAGAGGGTGATATTCGACGGTATAAGCACGGTGAAGTGATACTGAAAGGACGAGGTTTTGTAAACGAAGAAATATTATCGGGTATCTAATCCTCCGGTTATTTTAAACATATACCCTTGAGTCTTAAAGGAACAAAATTACTATTCCCTTCAAATTGTCGGGACTAGCAAAGACAAGGTTGTTTCTTTCCATGTTTCCTCAAATTTGAATCTTACAGGTTTTGGCTTGTTCTGTGACACATAGTTAAAATTATGTTGGCTAAAAACTATCACATACAGTACCGGTCATTTCTACGGAACCACTCGATAAAAAGTCAAGTTGGTAGCCCTGTCACCTAGTACTTTACGCCGAACGCGGTTGGTAGCGATAGTTGACATGGCAATCGAAACTAGCACAACACGAATGTTTCGGTTGCCCTCAGCTATGCTGCACTGTATCCCGTGCAGACTGTATGTTCTGTTCATCTATTTATTAAAATAAAATACAGTCGTCGGCAAATGGATAAAACCACTTGTTAAAACGTCAGGTTGGTATTATTGCCATGGTAACTTTAAGTCCCTCGGATTGGCAGCGCTTTGACGTTTGTAACCGACAATAACGTCAAACGACTCGTAAACGACTCAAACAACTTCGAACTAGCGCAGCGTGCTTCAAATTCAAAAAGAGAGCGTTTCAATTTGAAAATAATTATTATGAAGCCAAGAACGCGAACTTTGTTCAAGAAACAAATAAAAGCTGCTATTGTAAAATGTTACGAAGAGTTTCAACGGGCATATCCTTCGTCTTCCCAGCGTGAACACGAGTTACGACTGGCGAATATTTTTTCAGTACGAAATCTTGGTAGTAACTATAACATTTCCAACGTTACTTGTCCACCACACAGTTCACCTTGTCCATTTTTCACACCAACCAGTGACTCAGTAACATCCTTTTATCCTATTATTAACCAGCTCATTTTCCTGCAGTGTTCAAGATGTCAAATAAGAACGCTTTTACTCCAACACAAATCCGGACAACTTCCCGAAGATCCTAGACCTTCCCCACGAAAGAAGTCAAAATGGTTTACGGATTTTGAATTCAAAGAAGACCTAAACTTTCATATATTTGAAAAAAATCGTCAGAATGAGTTTTTTACAATTCAGGATTTATTTAATTTTGCCACAGAAAATCTTAATTACAACGCTAGTATCCGGACTCTACGAAGGGTTATTAAATCCATGGGTTACAATTTTAAAAAAGTTGAAAACAGGAAAATTATAATTGAGTCGCCCCGCTTACAGGGATTAAAAATTAATTTTTTAAGGCGTTACATACAGTTAATGGAAGAAGATGTGACATTTGTTTATTTAGACGAGACGTGGGTGTATCAGCATGGTGTACCAGTAAGAAGATGGGTGCATGAGAGTGATCGGAGAGGCATGCCTGCGAAAATAGTAATGAATGAGGGTAGAAGGTTTACCATACTTCATGCAGGGGGTAAATTTGGTTTTTTGGAAAACTGCTTGCTATTTTTAGATAGCAATAATGATAGCAGGGACTATCATAAGACTATGAACGGGCAATTGTTCAGGCAATGGGTGGAAACACAGTTAATTCCATCTGTTAATTTTATTAACGGTAAGGTTGTTATCATCATGGACAATGCACCTTATCATTCGGTGTTAGCAGAACAATTGCCTCGTTTGTCTTGGATTAAATCAAAATTAAAATTTTGGCTTGCACAAAAAAAATCCTTTTGGCGATAATTTGACAAAAAAACAGCTTTGGGATATTATCAAACCTCTTTTACGATCAACTCGTAAATATGAGATTGATGAATTGTTGTCAAAGAGTAATATTGAAGTTTTACGTTTACCTCCATATCACTGCCACTATAATGCTATAGAAATGGTATGGGGATTCTGTAAACCATATTATAACAAACACATCTTGAAGCAGTCTTCTAAAAATCGGAAATCAAGCACTTGTGGATTGAAGTTATGTCTAAATATACACCAGAGATGTGGACATCAAGTATAATCCACTGTGAAAATATTATCAAGGATGATTGGCAAAGAATGATGGGTAATACCAGTGTTAAAGATATTCCTCCTGTCATAATATCACTTGGAGAATCTGATAGTGAATCTGATTTAAGTTCAGATGAATCAGACAGTATAAGTGATATTATGCAGGATGATGTATTAGCCAACAGAACATTAAATGTAAGTATGGATCCTGAAACCAGTATGAATGAAACACAAGGCAATATTAGAGAAGGCCAGCAGCTTTGTGTAGATGATGTTGAGATGTGTGAGTGGATGAATGCAGAGAATGATATAGAAACAATTATCGTAGAGGTAATAGATGATTAATTTACCTTGCTAAGTAAATAAATGTCACACCTTTTAACAATTATTGTATTAATGAGTTAGTTAGTTGTTCCTATTTTATTCCATTGTCAAAGTTTTTGACAATACACTGATTTGTAACAGTTGAGACTACTGTTTATGTCCCTATAAATTATGTTCATTGAGAATTGTCTTTCTATCACATTTAGAACATTTCATTTTATTTAATTCCCTCTTGTGATTCAACCTTAGTGAATTGATCTGCTTCTTTACATCACTTGCTTTTGCTTCACGCTTTATCTCTTTAAATACTTCATGTAGTTTCTTATAAATTATAACCTACAATTTTCTCATATTTATTTGTATACAGTGGGCTCAAAATACTCAACAGTTCTGGTAACATTTCATTAAAATGTGTAAATCTTCTAATGATGCATTATTAGTACAAGCACCAGAGTTCTGTGATTCAGAAGAACCAAGCCATAAGTCAGTATCGTCCATGGCAGCACAAATAAGACTGATGGAAATATTAATACGAACTGCCAGTCATGTGGTCATTCTTCGTGCACCATCCTTGTACATAGATAGGTAAAAATACAAATAAAAGTTCCAATTTTCACTATACCTTTGAGTCGTACTTGCCCATTTTATTGATGTCCACCTTTTGTTAACGAGATGGTAAACTGTTAACTGCTTACACCATCAATTGTGGCAGTGCAGATTTATACTGCACTTTCGATTCCACAGTTTGATAATGTCGGTGTATGTGCACTGAAAATGCGTACCCTAACCTCTAACCCACATAAAAGAGCCCCTTAATTAATAAGCCGTCGCCTTGTAAGCACAGAACCTTGTAAGACGGCGATCAAACAAATGTCAAGAAAAAGTAACTAATGTCATTAATCGTCGGCCATTTTCTCTCTAAAAAGGTACGGAAAGCCGTTTACACCAGCGAAATTTTGAAAACTTACACTAGGGAGTGGTTAAATCGAAATGCCGACGACTGTATCTACATTGACAATGGGGCCATCTAACCTGTCAAATTTTTGACACATATGTTTTCCCCTAGAAACCCGTCAAGGTCACTTACACCAAACAAATTTTGAAAATTTACACTAGGGAGTGGTTCTATAGAAAAGATCGCGACTTTATGATCGAATATACCTAGTCTGCCAGGAAATTTATTTTTAAAATAATGATGTTGGTATTACAGCTATTTGACACTTTATTTGGGCAGAAAAGCAAGGAAGGCGTTTGTGTTGCCAACATAATTTCAAAGGTCTCCTGTTTCCATCTGTTGGCGATTTTTTAGAATCATAATTTTTTAAATAAAGTTCCTGGATTGATTGCTATGAAATCTTGGTGTTTTTTGCACTAAACAAAATTTGTCTGGTCATCTTCAGCAACAATTTAAATGTCGTTTCAAGTTTTACAAAGTAAATCCCATTTAAATCCTATGAAATAAAATATTTCTATACTTGTGGTTTATTAATCCGCCTTTGCGATTTTACTTTGGACATTTCAATTCCAATATTTCACGTGTAATGTAGAAACTGTAAAACCGACTACTCTGAAATTTTGAAAACGTTTTACGATTGTCAAATTGTCATTTGTAACACCTAGTCAGTAGGAGGCGTCAAATACACAGACAAATACTATATTTTGAAAAAAATGAAAGCATGTATCGTATAGTTTTTGAAATTTGACATAAGAGGCGGCTCTGGAAACAAAAGATGTGAAAGACGTAGTAATAAGTTTAACCATGGCCGACTAGTATAAAGATTATGGCCCGTCCAACAGGTACCATAAGTGTTGCCATCTATTAATAATTACACTTAATAATTTAGCAAAATTTTAATTTGATTTGACATTATGAGACTTCAAAACGTGTAATGGTCGTTTGTTTCGGTTGTGCCTTTCAAAAAGTGTTAATAATTCTTTTGTCGTTTTTGAATTATTAATAGATGGCAGCACGTATGGTACCCTTGGACAGGCCATGATCTTTATACTACTCGGCCATGGTTTAACCTCAATTTGTGACAACGACTGTGACAGTTATCTAAGAAATAATTGAGCTACGCACTACGTCCTACACTTCTTTTTTTTATCCCCTTATGTCAATTAAAAAAAAAAAAAAATAATACTACTTCGAAAGAAATTTCCTTGTTTGAAATACCGTCAAATTAGAAAGAAGTACTTTAAAGTTAAGAATTGCAATTACTCAAATGTATAGTGCTAGACAAAGAAACCCGGACACTTGTATTTTTTGTGATTACTTACGATTGATAGAACTTTTGTTCTTGTTGAAAATTTTCCAAAAAGCTAAACATTTAATGTATTCACTAATAGAAAACACAACTTATGTGAAAACAGAAAAAAAAACAAAACAAAGAAAGTTATAATACTAAACATTAGCGTAAAGTTACAAATATTCAAGTGTCCGGGTTTTTTTGTGTGGCAGTGTATTCTGTTTTGATTTAATTACAAATTACTAAGACTTACATTTTTTGTGGTTTAAGCAAAAAATAAATAAAATGGTGTTTTGAGAATTTGAGAATTATTGTGTTTTGCGGATTTGAGGATTATGGTATTCTGAGGATTTGAGGATTACGGTGTTTTGAGGATTTGAGGATTAGGGTGTTTTGAGGATTATGGTGTTTTGAAGATTTGAGGATTACGGTGTTCTGAGGATTTGAGGGTTATGGTGTTTTGACGATTTGATGATTACGGTGTTTTGATGATTTCAGGATTAGGGTATTTTGCGGATTACGATGTTTTGAGGATTTAAGGATTATGGTGGTTTGAGGATTTGAGGGTTACGGTGTTTTGAGGATGTGATGATTATGGTGTTTTGAGGATTATTATGTTTTGAGACTTCGAAGATTATGGTGTTTTGAGAATTTGAGGATTACGGTGTGCTGAGGATTTGAGATTATTGTGTTCTAAGGATTTGAGGATTACGGTGTTTTGAGAATTTGAGGATTACGTTGTTTTGAGTATTTGAGGATTATAGTGTTTTGAGGATGTTTTGGGAATTTCAGGAATATGGTGTTTTGGGAATTTCAGGATTATGGTGTTTTGAGAATTTGAGAACTACGCTGTTTTGAGGATGTTTGAGAATTTCAGGATTATGATGTTTTCAGGATTACGGTGTTCTGACGTTTTAATGATTATGGTGGTTTGAGGATTTGAGGATTACGGTGTTTTGAGGATTTGATGATTATGGTGTTTTGAGGATTATGATGTTTTGAGAATTCGAGGATTATGATGTTTTGAGGATTTGAGGATTACGGTGTTTCGAAGATTTAAGAATGATGATGTTTTGAGCATTTGAGGATTACGGTGTTCTGAGGATTTGGGATTATGGCGTTCTAAGGATTTGAGGACTACGGTGTTCTGAGGATTTGAAGATTATAATGTTTTGAGGATGTTTTTGGAATTTCAGGATTATGGTGTTTTGAGAATTTGAGAATTACGTTGTTTTGAGGATGTTTGAGAATTTCAGGATTATGGTGTTTTGACGATTACGGTGTTCTGAGGATTTGAGGATTATGGTGTTTTGAGAATTCGAGGATTAGGTTGTTTTCAGGATTTGAGGATTATGATTTGAGAATTCGAGAATTATGGTGTTTTGAGCATTATGGTGTTATGAGAATTTGAGAAATACGGTGTTTTGAGGATTATGATGTTATGAGAATTCAAGCATTACGGTGTTTTGAGGATTTGAGAATTACGGTGTCTTAGGATTTGAGGATTACGGTGTTCTGTGGATTTGAGGATTATGATGTTTTGAGAATTTGAGGATTACGGTGTTCTGAGGATTTGGGATTATGGCATTTTAAGGATTTGAGGACTACGGTCTTCTGAGGATTTGAAGATTATAATGTTTTGAGGATGTTTTTGGAATTTCAGGATTATGGTGTTATGAGAATTTGAGAAATACGGTGTTTTGAGGATTATGATGTTATGAGAATTCGAGCATTACGATGTTTTGAGGATTTGAGAATTACGGTGTCTTAGGATTTGAAGATTACGGTGTCCTGTGGATTTGAGGATTATGGCGTTTTAAGGATTTGAGGACTACGATGTTCTTAGGATTTGAAGATTATAATGTTTTGAGGATGTTTTTGGAATTTCAGGATTATGGTGTTTTGCGAATTTGAGAATGACGGTGTTTTGAGGATGTTTTAGAATTTCAGGATTATGGTGTTTTGAGGATTACGGTGTTCTGAGGATTTGAGGATTATTGTGTTTTGAGAATTCGAGGATTATGGTGTTTTGAGGATTTGAGGATTATGATTTGAGAATTCGAGAATTATGGTGTTTTGAGCATTATGGTGTTATGAGAATTTGAGAAATACGGTGTTTTGAGGATTATGATGTTATGAGAATTCGAGCATTACGGTGTTTTGAGGATTTGAGAATTACGGTGTTTCGAAGATTTAAGAATGATGGTGTTTTGGGGATTTAAGGATTACGGTGTCCTGTGGATTTGAGCATTATGATGTTTTGAGAATTCGAGCATTATTGTGTTTTGAGCATTTTTGTGTTTTGAGCATTATGGTGTTTTAAGAATTTGAGGATTACGGTGTTTTAAGGATTTGAGTATTACGGTGTTTTGAGGATTTGAGGATTACGGTGTTCCGTGGATTTGAGGAATATGATGTTTTGAGAATTCGAGCATTATTGTGTTTTGAGCATTATGGTGTTTTAAGCATTTTTGTGTTTTGAGCATTATGGTGTTTTAAGGATTTGAGGATTACGGTGTTTTAAGGATTTGAGTATTACGGTGTTTTGAGGATTTGAGGTTTACGGTGTTCTGAGGATTTGAGGAGTACGGTGTTTTAAGAATTTGACGATTATGAGTGTTTTGAGGATTTGAGTATTGTTTTGAGAATTCGAGGATTATGTTGTTTTGAGGATTTGAGGATTTTGGTGTTTTAACATGTTTTTTTACGCTGTTGAATAATAATCCATATCAATTTTTATTTTAACATCAAAAAGAAATTCAGAATCAAATTTTGTAAGTTACATAAGAAACTGGATTTGTTTAAATGTGCTTTAGTGGCAAGGGAAGTTAATTCTGTATATATAATCTTGCAGAATTTTTGTGCTTTGTGCATGTTGTTGGCAACAGTTTGACAATTACGATTAAATAACTGTCAAATGAAGGGTCAAATAAGGTGTTTGTCTCTGCTAAAAAGTGTAAATATTTATGTATGTTTATCAAACTCCTGTGATTGTGGTTTAAAAATCCACCCCAATTTTTATTTTAATTTATAGATATTATCATTAAAAAAATTCGCAGAATTAAATCTAGCAATTTATCTAAGAAATTTATTGACTGCGCTTTAGGGGCGAGAATTCTTTCTGTATAACTTTAGATCAATTTTTTGATATGTAACCCTTATGTTCAAATATAAAATACTACTTTCACGGAATATACACACTAAGTATGACACAGGACGATATAATATGGACATATTTAACAATAAACTTTAAAAATAAATTTTTCTGATTATTTAATTATTCAAAATTATGAGGATATTCAGTTTTACAAATTATGTTAAACAACAAAACTCGCCATTTTGGTGCTGCCTAACATCACAGAATACACACTCTTTTATCTCAAGTATATGGAATAGACAAAGGGTAAAACATCTTGATGTGTTTTATCAACATTGTATATATGTATTTTTTTGTGAAAAAAATTTCATTACTTAACTCAATTCGTGTCACTAGAAGTCACAAATAATCAGACAGAAATTTATTGTACAGAATGCAGGCTTTTGAAAGACTAGTTTGTTGAGGATGTATTGACTAATAATTTTCTGCACTACTTCTCCTTCCCTGTTAATTTAGTCAGAAGGTTGTGGCGCTCTGCATTGTTGACATTTGTGTGTAGTGTACAGGCAAAGGTTGACTGCAGTTTTGATAATAATATATTGCTGGATTTGAACTACCCTAAAAAATTGTATATTTTGCTCTCTAGACGTGTTTCGCACGATACCGCTTGCCTTCTTACTTCGTGCACCTCCATCCATCGCCCATCAAACTCCATTACCTCACCTATAACCTAGACAGAGTCATTAATGGCCTCTCCACCATATTTTCCACTCCGAAACAGTCCAAATTAATCACCTGGACGCTTTGATGTATTACAATCACCTAAAGCATACGAACTCGCTGTGCTTTATCTATAATTTGCACGTCCATCCAGTCCATTCCGACAACTTGTTATTACTCATTCTTTGCGGTTTCTGTCTAGCACCAAAGCGATTACCTGCGTAAAAGCGAGTCTGTCTTCAACAATGGAAATTGGTCGATTTCGCAATTCTTCTCCGGTTACCCTTCCGAACCGCATTCCATTTTACAGCCTCGGTCACTATCCCGTTTTGGGCATCTCCATTGGCAGCGGCCGACCTTGAATGACAACCCTCTGGGTTTCTTTCTCATGATCTCTTGACCTACAGTTGCGGCGTACAGCCATTGTGGGACCTTTCCAGAAACCTGGACATGCTAACGTGCTGGTAAATGGTTTGAAGAAGTGGCTTTGCATAATGTGAGAAACATGTCCGTGGCTAGAGCACGTAGTGGTTATTGTTGGTAGAGCTAACGAAATATTAAAACGGGTTGGCAGACATGTTGGAGATGATTAGCGTCTAAGCTGAAATTGATTGGTAGTAAAATTTGGCAGACGAACGTCTAAAACAATGCACAGTGTTGTTTAACACCCGTAAACCGCGACCTATATTAATTTTCCTCGAATTTTCCAACCTTAGGTAATCGTAAATTTAAAAAGTGCATTTGAATGCACATTTCTTGCATTTACAGCTGCCTTGTCGTGTTTCAGTTATTTATCTTTCGTACGTGTTAATTATGCTCTCGGTATCGCTCCGCCGGTCCGGATAGAGCGCCATCTTCCAGCTGCGGCCCTAAAACTTCCCTCTATCGAACCGAGGGGAAGAAAACCATGCAAATTATTTCGTAATTTGTTTTAAATTGACCCCGCGGTTCGCGTGTTTGCCACTCTCTTCTCTCTCTCCCTCGCTCATTCTCTCACAACCGCGTTTCACGGATTCGCTCCGACATTGAACTTTTTTTCGACATCGTACCGTCGCGTAATTTAATTACGTCAACTTGCTTTACATGATGTTATCTTTGACATACTGACCGAGTATGAGTGAATTAAATGCGCACACATGAAAGTAAACACGCTTTCAACATTCCCATTTCTAAAAGAAAAATTATTATGTGGTTTTTTGCTTGCAGGATTTCACCTGAGCGGCATTGTGACCGCGTCCCGTACTCTGCCCCTTCAGACGACGTTGCCTTGTGGAGCTCAGGAGCCACCTCAGAAATTCAAAGTGTCTGTGAGTTTTGACAGGTAAGGAAGTTTCAAACTGCTGGATGCCTGCTGTCGGGTCCAGGATCTGAGGCTGACATGCAGTGGCGGCAATTGTCTTAGTAGTTAATGATTGAAACATAAAAAGTGTACATTTCAATAAACAAAATAAAATACCGTCAAAAACACCATTTGAGGATTTTGGTGTTATAACAATTATATAATATACCTACATACCTATCAGAAACTAGCCAGTAAACACACTGAAAGTTAGGTTATGATTCTTACTTGTGACAGGCGAAACTAGTCATGATTTCATCACAACAAGGCGGCAAAAATTTATAAAATTTTTAAGCCAACTTGATGTACACTTTTTTATAATCACGTTAGACATTCTTAGTTTTAAAAAAATCCTCATGTTCTCAGTTGTTTTATTTGGCACGATTTCATTCCCGAAATGAGGCAAAGAGCCAGCGATTAGTTGTTTCCTGGGGAAGTTTCGCGAAAGAAACTTGTCAAAACTTTATGGCATCCATCGCTTAACACTCGCTCCATTTTCCAGATGCAAAATCACCTCCGTGACCTGCAGCTGCGACACAAAGGACATCTTCTGGTGTCAGCATGTCGTGGCGTTGTCTCTCTACAGAATTCGAAATGCGGAGAGCGTTCGGCTGCGAGTTCCAATTTCAGGTGAGCCCCTGATGTATATGTACTTTGTGAAAAGTTCCAGCTTCCATCCACGACGTTGTCACCGCCAAGTTGGAAAAGTCGTAATAACTGAATTTGAAAGTTGCCGTATATCTGATATCTATAATGTTCCTCGGTTCGGTCCGGTCCGCGTTTTCCGGAGGTTTTCCATAATATGACATGTCGTGGGGTCGTTTCATGAATTTTAAGAAGAAATGTCAATGATGGTTTTATTCCGTCTTGCTTCGGTACGAGGTGGAGCTATTTTACGACCGCTGGTTACCATATTACTTGGAACGTAGATGGCCGGCAGGAATTGCGCCAGACTCGATAAGGAGGTTGCGTTTCGTGGAGAGGAGTCATAATCGTAAGTTCCAGAAATGGACGGCCGTTGGATGGAAGGCAATTGCGATATTAAATAATACTGCTCTGACTGTACTCCGTCCTGTGTTAATACTAGGGTAGAACGAGACGAAAAACGTGTTTTTGTTGTAGGGTCACTGGACGAGTGTTTAACTTCGTGTTTTCACGACTTTTCACAGCTTGCAGAATACGAAAATGTCCGTCTCTCTAAGTACTTTATTACCCAACAAAGTCGTGATAGTTTGAATAAAGAGCGATGGACTTTGGGTCTACATTTCTTAGACTACTTTTTTCTAGATGTGACGATCAGACAACGTTAAATGGGTACAGTTAGTAGCGATTGTGACTCGATTATTGAAACCATGCCGTATCAAAGATATCAAAACTGTCAAAATAAGTTTGAAAAAACAAGGTCAGAAGTGCGTTTCAGATGTCGCCTAAATTTTGTTTTTTTCCCCCCAAGAACCAAGTTGAGTATTTTGCTTTTGTACCATCACTACTAATATAATGGTAACATGACCCCATGCGCCGTAATTGTATCTCTCTGTGTAACCTATTTTTGCCAATTTGTTTCGTAACTCTAAAGGTCTTGATGGTATTTTTATTGGTAATTTGAAACTCCACCTTGAACTGTTGCGTCAAAATAACGGACCAAACTGGTCGCTTTCCACCCATCGACGACATTTCAATCAAATCTGCAGGCAAAACCGGTGAAAATAACCACGAGTTAAATGGGGCCCTCGGGCACTTACGACGTGTCGTAATTGTGAAATATAAGCGCCCGAAAGAATTAGGCGTAGCCGTCCCATTACTCAATTCGCGTTGACAAGAAATTTTCCAAGAATACTCCACAAAGCCATCATCTGCCACATCGTATCAGGCTGCCCCACGCAATAGGCAACCGGTCGGAAAGCCCCCGGACTTCGAACACGCCATATATCCGAAATTCAAAAATTCCCCGTTTCTTTCCGCCGATCAATTTGTTCTCCATTCATCAGCGTACGTTTCTCCTACGATTAAAAGCAACAAAGCCACGCGAATAATGCGAGCTTTAAATGATAAATTAATTTCTGTCCCGCGGCTACGAAACCATTCAATACGGTGAATAGCCTGATTGAATTACGCTCACAATGCCAGCAACTTTGATGTTTTCCATGGGCCCGCCGCCGCCGCCGCCGCCGTGCACCCATTTCGCGAAAATCGCCAATTGTCGGCCCTCGGCGGGCGCCCCCATTAAAGCCAGCTCGCGATAAATACGCCGCAACCACACCTTTTTTAAAGCTGAACCGAACCGGAGGCAGGAGTCTCCGCCCAACCGCTGTAACGATTTCATATTACAGAGTTTTTCTGGGCGCAGGGGCCGCCTTGGCGCCCGGGGAACAAAAACTATAAAGTTTTGCTATAAAATTGTAATATTACACTATATACAGGTTGCAACGAGAGGGAGCCCGCGTTTATTGATCGGGCCACCGCCGCTTCTCCACTCTAGACGCGACTGATTCCGCGATATCACACGGAGAGATGAGGGTGAACATCCCCTTTAAAATAAATTAAAGGGCTGCGTTTCGGCCCGTACAAACACGACGGGGTTTTTCAGACGCTGCTATTGTGTTGCGGCACTCGAAAATGGGCAAATATTTAATTTAGGGAGCGGGGGCGGCGGAATTCTTAAAAACAGACAAATTCCGATTGGCACGAAGCGGCTTTTAGCCGCACAAGCGGCATGAGTTGCTCCAAGTTTGTACGAAAATACACACAAGCGACGAGATCATTTTCATTAATTTTTTCATGATTGTGTGAAAAATGTGGGTCTGAGTACGGTCCTGCTCCGTTGGCGCTGTAGCCACGAACGCGACGTTTCCGCGCCGTCACTCTAGACACCACCACTCTGTCCGTTATTTTGAGGTTATGATCGGCCGTTGACTCATCAGATGAATTTCTACATAATTCGGGGGTTTTTAACGACTTTATCACCGTTTTATCGATAAACGGAGTGCCTTTATCATGAACGATAACAAGTTTTATACCATTATGTGTGTTCGAAGTGGTTCCCCGTGATTATTAATGTCGGAGTTTTTTCGAAAATGGGTGACCAAAACGAGGACTTTTTCGACTCGTTCGCTTTACAGAAGTTGTGCAAGCCGAAAAGATTCAACTTTAAGGAGATTGTGGGGAAGAAAGATGAACCACGACCATCGGACAAAGATTCGCGTTTTGAGGTTATGTTGCCACAAACGGGGGCTGCCATCAAGTCGACGGTTGAAAACACAGGTCATGTGAACCATACTAAAACGAATGACGGGAAATTGACGATTCTTAAAAATGTGAACAAACTAAAAACAAGTCTGAGTTTAATGGAGAAAGCGCCGCAGAAATTGACGAAAATAGATTCTTTCGAGGAATTTAAGATTGATGATAGGAAAAGTGGCGCGGGCACGAAATTCAGTTTTAAGAAAAACAATTCAAGCGTGGGTGAAATTAACTTGAAACACACTTCACCCTCGAAAAATAAGTCTTCCGGTGAAGTAAGTAGCAAAGAAGTCAAAGCAAAAACTTCCGTTAGTTCAAAGTTTACATTCAAGAAGACGTCGAACGGTAGTTCGACTAATTTGGAATTTAAGAAAAGTGCCTTAACTTCAGCCAATCAAAATCCAAAGTATACCGACCCGTTCAGTGACGAGTCCTTTGAGAATTCTTACCAAATATTGAGTAGCAATGAGACAACACCAAAGACTCCAGCTACCAAAAAATTTACTTTCAAGAAATCAACCGACCCCACGAGCTCAACACTAAAACCACAAGTGAATAGATCACCCACACACGAATCTAGTAAAAATTTTGATTTTAACCAACTGGATGCCAGTACTAGTCAAGATTTTTCCAATTCACAGACACCCCAAAACTCGCAACCCTGTCATTCCAACTTTAGTCAAGATGATTACATGGACGACGAAACGTTTGCTAGTTTTTTGGCGTGCGACATGGACCCTTTTTCGCAGAGTGCCCCCTCAGAACCCCCGGAACCGCAGATCCTCGATGTCTCCTTAAACAGCGTGAGTTTTTCCGGGCGCAAAGACAACTCAGAGGAGTTCCGCAAAAAGTACCCCCACACCGAAGTAATGTACGAAGTACTGCATCAAAAATTCGGTCTTCGGCATTTCCGGCCCCACCAAGAAGAAATAATTAATGCAAGTTTGACTCAGCACGACTGCTTCGTGCTTATGCCCACTGGTGGCGGAAAAAGTTTGTGTTACCAGTTACCGGCGATGCTCATGCCCGGTGTAACAATAGTGATATCGCCGCTACGAGCCCTCATTAGCGACCAAGTTGACAAATTAAACGCTTTGGATATTCCTTCAGCCCATCTTTGTTCAGACGTGAAGAAAGCAGATGAAGAGATTATTTACCAGAAGCTACACATGCGCGAACCTATCATAAAACTGTTGTATCTCACCCCGGAAAAAATGGTAGCTTCGGCGAAAGTGATAGATATGATCAAGTCGTTGTATCAGAGAGGGAAATTGGCAAGGTTTGTCATCGACGAGGTGCATTGTTTGTCGCAGTGGGGCCACGATTTTCGCCCAGACTACAAGCAGTTGTCTTCGTTACGAAAACTGTATAGTGAAGTACCTATAATCTGTCTCACGGCGACTGCCACCAAGCAGGTGCAAGGCGACGTATCCAACATCTTGAGTTTAAAAAACATAAAAACGTTCATCCGCAGTTTTAACAGACCTAACATTAAGTACAAAGTTATACCCAAAGCGGGTAAGAAAGTTGTAGAAGAGGTCGCCAATTTGATCAAGTCGAAGTTCTATCGAAAATCCGGAATCATCTATTGTTTGTGTCGCGCTGATTGCGAAAAACTCGCTGATGATTTGAGTCGCTTGGGTATCAAAGCGCGCGCTTATCACGCAGGAATGAGTGATAAAATTCGCGAAAAACAACAGAGAGAGTGGATGCAGGACCAATTCCACGTTATTGTGGCCACTATAGCGTTCGGAATGGGGATTGATAAGCCGGACGTGCGATTCGTCATCCACAATTCCATACCCAAGTCGGTGGAAGCCTTCTACCAAGAGTCGGGACGTGCGGGTCGGGATGGCGAACCTTCCTACTCTTACCTGTTCTACGCGTATACTGACGCAGGTCGCCTTAAGCGTCTGATGCAAATGGACCGCAACGTCAACCGTAATACTTTAGACGGCCACTTTGAGAATCTCCACCAGATGGTGTCCTTCTGCGAAAACACAGTTGATTGTAGAAGGTACCTACAACTCATGCATTTAGGGGAGAAGTTCGATCGCAAGATTTGTATGGACAGTAAAGACATGATGTGCGACAATTGTGAGAATGTGGCCAAGTTTAAATTGTCTGATGTGACGAAAGAAGCAAGGGAGTTGAGCCAGTTGGTGAACGATTTGACGCGGACTGAAAATGTGACTATGCTTCACGTAGCGGATGTGTATAAAGGTTCCAAGGTGAAGAAAATCTTGGATAAGAGACACGACCAACACCGATTTTATGGTAACGGGAGTGGGTTAGACAGAACTGATATCCAGAGGATTTTAGTCGACTTAGTCTTGAAGAAGATTTTAACTGACTTTTGTACCTATACTGGCGATTTTCCGGTCGTGTACATCAAATCAGGACCCAAATTCAACACGTTCAGTCAGAGCGACTTAAAGATTTCGATTCCGATTGGTGCTGCTAAAGTGGCCGCTGTAGCTAAAGTCGTCAAGGTTTCTGACGATAGTCCGGGTCCTTCCACGTCCACTGCCACTAAAACTGTGGCTGTTAGCAACTACAAGATTAATTGTATTCGGGTGTCGTGCCACGAAGAGCTTCTCGAGCAGTGTAGACAGTTGGCGGTGGAACGCAACACCACGCTCTCCTCCATCATGAATTTATCAGCAATCAAAAACATGTCTGAGGTTTTACCAAACACCAAAGAGGAGTTTATGAAGATCCAGCACGTAACGAAAGCCAATTACGAAAAGTTCGGTGAATATTTTCTAAAAATAACGACCAAGTATAGGGAACAATTAGATAAATTGAAAACTCCGGTGCCTTCGTTTAGTGACTCTAGTGTTTTTGAAGAGGACGATTGGTACGATAGTTCGCAAGGTTCGCGTGGTGGTACTAAACGTAAATCCACGGGAGGTTATAAAAAGAACTTCAAGCGCTTTAAGAAGAGTGGTTACAAGAAGGGAAAGGGGAAGAGTAAAGCGAAGAGTAAGAAGAAGGCAAGTCCTAAGAAGAAGAAATCCACCGGGTTGGGCTTAATGCCGCTGAAGAAATAGATTCTCGATAGAATCGAGGCGCTTTTCTAGTCACTAGTTTTAAGTTTGTTGAATCAACAGTGAGGGGAACTAATTTAAGGTACGAAATAAAAATTGTTAACTATTTCGGTATTTTTAATAAATAGCTTCATATTTCGTCGTTTGAATTTTTCCACATACATTAACCCTACTTTTTTTAAAACATGAGAAGATTCCGTTTTAGTGGACTATTTAAGTTAATCTATACGTTACCTCCATTAACGTTTTCGTTTCCTCTTCCAGAAACTCTGCTCCAGATGGACCGCCAGCAGCTGCAAAAGTTCGTTCAGTACTTGATCTCGGAGCACCACACGGAAGTGTTGCCAACCGCCCAGAAGCTGGCCGACGAAATCCTCCAGCAGCGTTCAGAGATCAACCAAATTCCTGGTGCTCCAGACCCGACTGCTGGGGCTTCGGCGGACGACGAGCACTCGTGGCATCTAGACGAAGAACAAGTGTGCGAGCAAGTCAAATCTTACCTGTCGCAAGGGGGGTACTACAACGCCAACAAACAACTCAACTCGTTGTTCTCGAAGGTAAATCAAAGTGGCCACTGACAATTGTGACAGATGTCATCGTAACTTAACAATGTCAACTATTACTAAGAAGCGGCAAATCTGAGCATTTACAAATTTCATAGGTCACTAGTTGTACGAAAAACTAGTCTAGCGAGCACTTGATTTGACAGTTAATTGACCGTAAATGTCCAACTTAGTAAACAAGAACAAGGAACTACAACAAATGCAACAAAAAAATTGTTTAACATATTTTTAACAAGTTTTTTTGGTATCTTCGCAGGTGCGCGAGATGTTGCGTGCCCAGGACTCAAACGGCGCGAGGATGTTGACGTTGATCACCGAGCAGTTCCTTTCCGATCCCAGGTTGCAAATGTGGCGTAACCAAGGTACACCAATGACTGATAAATGTAGGCAACTGTGGGATCAGCTGGGTTCGTTGTGGGTGTGCATCGTACTAAACCCCAATTGCACACAACACGAAAAACAGCAGTGGAAGTTGTTGCTGGAAAAGTGGACACTGATCGATGTGTGTCCGCCGGAAGATCCAGACTTTAGGTTACAGGAGAACCACTCGCATAGGGATTCGGTACGATTGGTACTTTGTGCTATGGGCGACTTTTCATTGTTTTTTTGCAGTACGTTAATAGAGATAGAGACAGAGATAGGGATCGGTATTACCAGGATCGGGATAGGGATAGGTACGCGGATAGAGAACGTGATAGGAGAGATCGACGGGATCGCGACAGGGAGAGGGAAAGAGACAGGAATAGGGCAGCTTATGATTCGTCGGACAGTTCGGAGGATGACGACGACGGCGATAGTTCTTATAGTCCTAGGAATAGTAAACGTTTACGATTATCAGGGAGTCATTCTAAGTCAAGCTTACCAGCGTTACCAAGGACAATTTTTCATAGGTACTTTTGTAAGTTTATTGGTGTGGGCGGAAGTAACGTTGGTGTTTCCAGGGCATTAGATGCGGTAGGCATGTCTTGGGATAACATGCATTTAAAAAACATTCTATCTAGTGATACTTATTGTTCACATGTTCCTGACACTACGAGTTCCGGCAGTTTTAATTCTCAAGGCCAACCCCTGTGGCACGGTGAGTAAATTAATTTCACTAATAGAGTCGTCATTGAGTAAATGTTGTTTGCGTGTGATTGGCATTTAAGATATTTTCTTGGGATGGGCAACTTGATGTTGCAAGAAGTACTAAACCTTATTCCATCTCTCTAAATTACTTAAAGGTTGCTACCTGCGTAAGAATTAAATTGACCTCATCGGTTCCGGTTCCATAAGAATGAGTGAACAGGGCTTTTTTAATGGAACTTCCTGTAAACGCAACACAATGATCGCAATAATGTAGCTATGCAAACTGATTAATCGAGGAAACAGCGTTTGTCTGTTGTTCATTCCGGTTTTAATGGCACTTGGCAAACGATTGCCACAATTTTAATTTTTTTGACATTGCAACCTTCAAACGGTGTCTAATTTTAGAAATAATGACCCATAAACAAACAGCTTATACTGCTTGAACTTTGAAACCCCTTTTAAGTTTATTATGCGAATAATAATCGGCGGGTTTCGAAATTCCCACTGGGGTTTTATCCGATTAACATGTTTACCATTTCTATAAAATAATTAATTTATAAGATTGAGTCGCTGAGTAGTAAAATTTATATTTATCTAAATTTAAAACAGGAAATCTGAAGCACTGATATTTTTATTCATGGCCTCCGATAAGTGGATGACGTCATCCGAAAAAAATAAAATTTCGTCACTCTAACCTCATTGTTTTGCAACCGATTAAAATTTCGATTTTATTTAGAACCGATACCGCTCTGCGCTGCCCGAGTGGACTCTCTCCGTTCCCACGGTCACATGGAAGCCGCCTTGCGACTCGCCGTCTCCGTGGTGCGCACCATGAAGCAACAACAGCTGGTGGCTCAGCGCCGTTGGCACGAGAGCCAACAAGCCAGCAGTAGCAGTAGCAATAATGGCAAATGTCAGCCTAGTTGCAAGACGACGCCGTGCACCTCCAGGTGCACGGGTCAGTGCAACAACCACTCATGTTCCACCACGTCGATCACCGCCCCCGCAAACACGGACTGTTGGGTGGGCCACCCCCTCGACCCCATCGGCTGCCTCTTCGACACCCTGGCCGACGCCTCCGTCATCCCCGACGACCAAAGGCCCCGAACGCCGAGCTATCTAGACATAGTAGGAATGGAAGAACAACACAATAACATACGGCCTAGGTATCACCACGTGCCCGTCGTGGGCTCGAGAGACCGCTCGGAGACCTACCTAACGCTGGCTTTCGAAGTGGCCTTGATCGGTTTGGGCCAGCAGCGGATCATGCCGGTGGGGCTGTACGCTCAGGAGAAGGCCTGCAAGCAGGAGGACCGTCTCATAGCGAAGCTGCAGGAAATCGAGCTCGACAATAGTCTGATCGCGGTGCTAAGGCGGCAAGCGATTATTCTTCTGGAAGGGGGGCCGACGAGTGGCTTGGGGATCGGGATTCACCCGGAGAGCATCCCCATGCACACTTTCGCGAGATTTTTGTTCTTGTCGTTGTTGAGTTGTTATCCGGATTTGGCTTACGAGGTCGGGTTGAGGGCTATGCGGTTGCCGTTGTTGGAAGAACACGAGGATTCGGACGATCCGCTGGGTGGGAACGCGAGCAGCTCGTTGATGATGAGCAGGTCGCCGAGGTGGTTCACGTTGGGGCACATCGAAACGCAGCAGTGCACGCTCAGTTCGACGATGCTCAGTGCGGCAAAAGGTGAGTCTTCCATTCAACGATTTGGTTATCGACGTAGTAGGTCTAGTGAACCGTGGTCTAGTGTCTCTGACATGACAGTTGAAATGTCAACCAAGAATTTCATAATTTAAAAATCACTATATTTTCATAGCCATCTGCGTCGACAACCATTTTGAAATAAATATGTTCACTGATAAAATAAATTTGTTTGAACAGGTGAAGTGATGAGGTTAAGAACGGTCCTAGAATCTTCCCAAAGGCATATCCACAGTTCTTCCCATTTGTTTAAACTTGCTCAAGATGCGTTTCGGTTTGCGACCCCGGAGAACGGCCCAAGGCATCCGACTCTACTAAGTGTAGCTTTCGAGCTGGGTTTGCAGGTAAGTAAACGCCCACCACACCCCGAATTTTCTAACACTGTGTCTCAGGTGATGAGAATGACCCTGTCGTCGTTAAATTGGCGGCGCCGAGAGATGGTGCGGTGGCTCGTGACCTGCGCCACCGAAGTCGGAGTGGACGCCCTAATTTCAATCATGCAGAATTGGTACCAGTTCTTCACAGCAACTGAAGCTACCGGTCCTGTCGCGACAACAATCATGTCTCACAGTACCATAATGCGTCTTAATCTTAGCTTTAGTCAACAAGAAGAATTGTCTGGTTGTGCGCGAACGCTCGCTTTGCAATGTGCAACTAAGGTGAGTCGTTGCGTCGTTAGTACTTTATTTAATGCAAAATCACTCAGGACCCTCCAAATTGTGCCTTGAATGCCCTGACGTTGTGTGAGAACGAAGCCATGGCCTTCGAAACCGCTTACCAGATCGTCGTCGACGCCGCCTCCCACATTATGACCTCCTCGCAGCTGTTCACCATCGCGCGGTATATGGAGCACCGCGGCTACCCTACCAGAGCCTATAAACTTGCCATGTTGGCCATGAAGAACGTACATCTCGCCTACAATCAGGTGAGTCGATTTGTAATCAATCTTTGTAGGTATTTTGTATGTTGTTGTTCTAGGACACCCATCCAGCAATAAACGACATCCACTGGGCGTGCGCCCTCAGCCACTCCCTGGGGAAGACCGAACTGTCCAACATGATCCCGCTTCTGGTGAAGAACGTGCAGTGCGCCACCGTGCTGTCCGACATCCTGCGGCGGTGTAGCATGACCGCCCCCGGCATCTCGTGCTCGCACCCGCCGCCGCTCGAGACCGGCAAGCACCATTCCCACCCCCACCGGAGTCGCAGCTGCGCGCCCGGCATCAAGCCGCTGTCGTACGACCGGCCGCCGCTGCGCCAGCTGCTGGAGGCGGCCGTCGCCGCCTACATCAACACCACTCATTCGCGGCTGACGCACATCTCGCCGCGGCACTACGGCGATTTCATAGACTTCTTAACGAAGGCCAGGGACACGTTCGTCCTGGCGCACGACGGGCATGCGCAGTTCACCCAGTTGATCGAGAACATGAAGGTGGCGTATAAGGGAAAGAAGAAGTTGATGTTTCTGGTGAAGGAGAGGTTCGGCTGATACACGAAAAAGTGATACATGTAGTGTGCGATCGTCACAATCTTGTTTGTATCAGCTCTGAGCGACTGTACTGTATGTAGCGAAGCTTCGATTTTTTTTTATCTATTTCTCTCTAACTTCAGTAGCCTAATGTAACCGGACAATATTCACGAGATGAGATTTTTTCTGTGTTAATTTATTGACTGTTACTCCCCTTGAACAGACTGATTTATATTGTTTACGGGCAACCGCGTCAAACTTCACGCTGGTCACGTGATAATCATAATTATGTGTATATTTTCTAAGTAGTAGGTAAGGACAGAGGTCAGTTTGATGTTTGACGGGTTGCGCTGGATCTCAGTTGTCTTATAGTATTATTATTTTTTTTTTATTTTGTATATTTCGTCGTAGCATTTTTGTCGCCGTTTCGTTCCCCCCTTCAGCATCTTCTCTCATTATTTAATGTTATACTTGTTTACCAAAGATTGTTGTTTGTATAGTATTTATGTACATATACCGTAAGAGATATAGTCTCATTAGTTGAAGTGAAAGCATCCTTGTGGTACCGTTTTTTACGTCGTGTGTTCTATATTTATTTGACGCCGTTCAAGCGATGCTTTCCACAATTACAAGGTAAATGCTTCCTGTTATATTTATATGATACAGTATCGATAAGTACAAAATAACTCTAAAAAAGCAGTCGACCAAGCTGTAGCGCAATGTCAGCTGTCATTCCATAAGCTACCTCTCCAAGCTAACCTAACATTCAACTGCGCTTCGTTTTGTTTTTCGGGTTGGATGTTTTCAACTTGACTGAATTCATATTGATGAAAATCAAATGACATGCTTGGCTCCACATTTTCAAAAAAATTAAAGTTGAACGTCGTTGCCGGAACAACTTGTTTTGATTGTTTTTTCGTGTCTGTGATTGAATCTTTTAATTTAACTATTTTGTTCGTCCAGTGCCACTAAGTAAATGAGTTATCGAATTTGTGTGTTATTTTTTATTTTGTATTTAGGAAATGTATATATCAACTTGGCCAAATTGGTACACGTTCCATTCCGATGAAAATAATTTTATATAATTCGTTGTTGTATTGTGTTTTTTTTGTGTATAATACTGATTAGGAAAGTGTACATATTGCCAAAAATAACTTAGTTCATTATTTGTTAAAAAGCAATTATGCATTGAGTCTGTCTGTGTATTAATAATTTATGATTATTTTTATGATAATAAAAATATTTGTAAATGAGAACACGACTTTTTTTTAAACCCAGGTCAGTTGATGGAACCACATCGAGTGACATTTATATAATAATAAAATAATCCAGAGTCTAGTCAGGTCTTTTTTTTTTTTTTTCATATCCTAGATTCTATTAGTTTCCACTCCCACTCGATAGAAAAATATACTTATCCCCGCCCACCCACCCATGTCTCCGTTTCAGTGATTGATTTTATCCAATCTGAATGAAATGAATGATCTTATATTGAACAGAAATAAAATTAGTCGTTAGAATGAGAAAAGGGCGGGTGGGCGGGGCTAGTACTTTCTAAGACAAGACTGATTTTGGCAGATGACACCTTCCAAGTAAATAGAGGGTGGGTGGGCGGGGCTCGTACTTGTTAAGATAAGACTGATTTTGGCACTTCTAACATTTTCACCCATTTCAACTATTTTCGAAAATTATTTGGAGTCTGGTCAGGTCCATGAAGTAGTTTTCGACCACAGCATATGATATGCTGTGTTTCGACTGTGCAAATAAAAAATGTCTACGCCACTGGATTCTAATCTACGACATTAAAGTTATGTTGGTAATGCAACAAAGTGACGTCACGTGCATTTGCACAACTGTCATTTAAATTTGAAAATAATAGTTCAAAATCGGTTTAAATATTTCAATTGTGATTTACACATATTCTAATTATTAAAACTGGATTGAACCATTGTTTAGTTTGTGTTGTGACAAACGACAACAAACGTTTTATATAACCTCAAATGGTACCTAAAATTTAGTACAGCGAGTAACAAAGAAGTTTGGGATTTTGGGGCTCCGCAGTATGTTTGGGAGTGTTTTGGATACGTTTTAAGTTGTTAACATGGCCGGGGACATCGAGGAGCTTCTACAATTATATAAGTTGCAAATAGCCGAAGACAAGAAACGACTGGGGCTGCCGGCACGCAATGATGAAGTGGACAAGGTTTGAACGCATGATGAATGAAAACTGACTAAAGAAACAACGATTAACAAACGTACTAACAACTATGGAGTTTGCTGTAATTTATAGATGCATAGGCAGTATGAGAATAAAATTCTTAAGTTGTTTCTTTAATAAGGTCTTAGGTGTCATGTTTAACAATGCACGATTGAATAAATAGTATTACGTAGGCGCGACATTGAGCCTTGTGCGTAATTTGTATGTTTAAAGTGCCCCTGCTCATCGATTATCTTTAATTATTAGTTGATTCGTTTACTTGCCAGATACACCTTTTGAATAATGAACACTTCATAACCATCATTAGCGTGCAGTTCAATATTTTTTTCATCTCGTCACCCCCGCAGACACACCACCACAATAAAGGAAAATCCAATACCCAGTTTGACCAAAATCACTACAATTTCAGGCACATTTCAGTTTGAGCACTGGCGTGAGATAGATAGCAATTTCCTGAAAAAGAGGAGCGCCTATTTTCTGACCTTGTTTGTTATTGATTTTCTTGAAAAGCCAACATGACGGGGTGAAATGTGGTGGTGATGTCTGTTATTTGACCCTCACACATCTCCTAGACTCTGTAACTCCCATAATACGTGCTTTCTGGTCGTTACGAAAATGTGCACGTTTATTTTCACCACGTGAATAAAAATCTCGATGAGTTGTTGGGGTAACACGTCAATTCACGCTCGTTTTTGACTATTTCCAGAGCCAAAATTGTGATAATGAACACCAACAGAACAATAATGTACAACAATCAACAGAAAACAAGGAAAATCAACCACTGAATCGTGAACTATCCTTGAGCAACAACAACAAAGTGAGTATCGATGCGTTTCGGAGTGCATTTTGTTTTTCAGTAGGTTTTGTGGCTTATTACGCGACGTCCGCTTCATTGTTTTGTTTTTTACAATTCTAGAATCTGCCGATAATCGAGCGACTTGATTTAAGTAGTAATGAAGGCGCTTTAGGGAAGACAGCTTTTGAGAGAGCGGTAAGCATGATGGGTTCTCACTTATTTTGCAAGGTTTTGCAAACAAATATATACAGTTTTTCACAAAAATTAATACACTAACTAGTTGACAAAATTTTGTGGTTACAGTAGCAAAAATTGCAAAATGTTATTAAGCCAAACCGGGAATTTTTAACACTAAATACAAAATTGTCACATTACTCAACATACACAAAGATTTACATCTAGATAATGTGTGGATTTCCCACCAACTGCTTTTGTTTTTAGTTTATATGTTATTGCATTATTATCCGCAATTTACAGGCTTTATAATCATTTTCTAGCACTTAACTGCTATAATTGTATTTTTATTATTCCGTTTTTACGTATATTTTGACTTCGCTTTACGTTTTGTCGTCACCATGGAGCCCTCTATGTTTAATGTAGTGTAACAAAGTGTTCTCATTTTTCCAGTAAACAATGTCGTTTTATTTTAATTTAGATAATAGGAGATGGAAGTGACCCGGAAAGCAAACAATAGCAAATTATTTAAATTACAAAGTGGTAAAGTAATGCTCTAAAGTCAAAAAACATTATTATAATAATATTATCGTAAAGATTGATAACAGTTATTTTAAATTATTCTTCACAGATTAAATTCTTGTACGAAATTATGTTGACCGTGTATTGTTGGTTGCATAACTAGGGCTAATAAATTCATACGTCTACGAATTTGTTATGTGAAGTGGTGCTATTAATTCTGAATTTATAGCTTCCTCTAGTCTAATTTTTCGTTAAATGTGGGTCAGCCGTTTTTGGGCAATTTCCATAGATTTAGTTTTTCTTAATGATTAAGTTCCGTCAGTGTTTGGCGAGTCCATTTTCCATTTTGTACATTTTGCTTAAGTCCCACTTAATTTGCAACATTTTGCATGACCTAAGACTTAAGTCGGTGGATTGTTTAAGTGGGGCGTGGGGGCGGCTGTCACAAATCTTCGTTTTCTAGGATGAGAGCGGAGGCGGGCGCACGATGCTGCGGTACGGCGAGTACAGCCCCAACAATCCCCAACTAAGGGTGTCGGCGGCTCCGTACCTCGGACTCGGAGAGTATGAGCAAAGGCGCAACGTGTTCCAGCAGAAGCGGCGGGCCGAGTATCTTCAACACTTGTCCAAGGTGAGTCGATCGCGTCGAGGTCAGTCGGCGGTGTTTATCACAATCAACCGTCTCTAATGTGTTACAGAGCGAGATTAATGTTAAAAATTGTAATTTAACGAGGAACGTGGCGACGCGGGCCGTACAAACCGATTTACAGAATATTCATTGCCCTTTAGTAAGTAGGGGAGGGTTTTTTAATAGATACTCTGACGTTCTGCAATGTAAATATTTAGGGGGCGGCATGTGTTTACCGGGGCTTCATTATGGCGCACTAATCAGTGGGGTTGAGCTTGAAGGGCAATTTCACGGTGGCGGAAAGGGTGCTTGAAGGTGGGAATTTTAGCAAATTTGGGGTTTTTCTAACCAAAATTTATGTATTGACCCTCTACATTGATGACCTATTAAAATATTGCTAAATAAAACTCGCTTGAAACGAGCAGCGGAGCGTAACATCCCCTTTTGTATGTGATTCACTAACCCGCCCCTATTTTTAAACTCGCGTATACGAGTTGCCCTAAAAATAGAAAAATTCCACCTTCTATGATACTATTTTGTAGCACGATTCACTTTAATATTTTCCAATACTAATCTTTCGAATCTTGACACTGTGAACTTGCCTTTAACCAACCGTCTGTTTGCATTTTGTCCCATTTTATTAATCAGAGTCCCTCTGTAAATTATCCACACCGTTGTTCCATCTTCCGTCGTCTCAAACAATTTAACCCCTAATCAGTGCCTAATTCGGAGTGGGTCCACAACAAAGAGCCGTGACCGCTTCTGGAGCACTCATTGTACATACATTGAATCGTGCTTCGCATTATCTAGACTGTGTACAGTAGATAAAATGGGTCATCAGCATGTCCGATCGCGTATAAACACATCATCCCTTTTCCATCAGTTTCCGTTCGTTTGTTTTAGGTACAGTATGACAGCCATACACCGGAAAAGGAGCTAAATCCGTACGTCTCGACGTCTTTTATGCAAAACAATCGCAACCTATCTCCGTACCGCGCAGACCAAAGACTAGCCAGCGCTCAAAATGCCTTATTGAGACCAGAAATGGATAAACCGAAGAGTATTTTGTCGAACAGGCGCACCGGTAGTCCGAGAGGTAGGCAGGGGGGTAATGTTGAATTTAAAGAACGTTATTAGTAATAGAAATTAAAAACATCCGCAAACAAAATAAAATCTCTGCATCATTAATGTTAGTTGGAAATAATATAGGTCCCAGGATGGGTCCTATATTTAACTGACTTTTGTTAACTTTAACACAATACATCGGGAAATATATAATTTTTGTTATGCAGTGACTAATAAGCTTAATTAAGGGAACTACTATTATATCAGTTGCATTAACACCATGCATTGTTTGTTAACAATTTAATAGGTAGTTTGTCTTAATTTATTGAAAGATATTTCGTTAAATTTAAATTTTACAGCATTGTAGCACAAGACATAATTACATGGATCCTGATCTGATTTCTACAATTTGGCTACGATTTTCTCAGGTGCACTAGTAAAGTAATCATTAAAATCATTTGCATTTAAAGTTGATGTGGATGACTTATGTGGTCTTCTTGGTTTGATGATTTTCAACATAGCTTTGTGCTTATTTTCAGATGTTAGTATTTTATCATTAGCAAGTTTTTTTGCTTTCGCTAATTGTTTCATGCCGACTTGTAATTATTAAGTTGTCGCTTTGTTACTAAGTTGTACCATTCGTTAAGAAATGTAAAGTATCACGCATGCTTTTGAGTATGTTCAACCACTTGATTTGTGATATTTTAGGACTATATTTACTTGTCGTCGTAATTTGGAAGCATTCCGGTGAAATATTAACGTTTAAAGTTAAGTCAGCGTTTTCGAGTTCATTGGGCAATTTAAATAAGACAGTTGGTCTTCTTTCTTTCCGACGGTTTCCATAATGTATCAACCCCCCAAAACAAGTCATAAAACTCATAAAATTTGACGAAAGTAAGATTTTTAGTTAAAATTTGACAGTTTTCTTGGTATTTTCGTGCTCGTGGGGTGCCGGTAAAGCTAGAAAACACAAGAAAAAGCTGGAAAAGTAACGTTCTTGAAGGTTTTTAATAAATTTCTTGAATGTACGAATGCCAGAATATGGGAAATCGTCTCCTTTTCGCAAAATAAGTCCAAATGTTAATAATTGTAACTTCCCGAGTGTAAGCGAAAGAAGTATTGCAATCGAGTCCGTTGGCAGACTCTTTACTTTTACCTTTTCTCGACATTTCATGACCCCTAGAGTACGGAAAAATAGGTCTCCCGTTTCCGTCTGTCTGCCGTTCCAGATTTTTATTAGACAGATAATCTCCGAAAGTACTGGGCCGATTAATGTCAAACTTTGTATTTACATTATGAATATCATGTACATGCTAACCAAACTTTGTCTAATTATCCCCACCAATAATGTGATGACGTCACTTCAAAATTACACATAGTAAATGGGCTTTAAATTGTATGAAATAATATATTTACGCTAGTAGTTTTTGGGAAAAAAATCAAAATTATAAAACAATATTTTGCAATTTAGTTTTGAATCTGCAAAACCGAAACTTTGAAATCTTGGAGATGTTGTAAAGTTATCATAAGCATGGTCAATTAATATTTTTTAAATTTGATTATACAGGCTGTTTCAGAAAAAATAATTATTGAGTTGTTAAAACCCTACCTAAACACTTTTTACATTTAACAAGTTTTTACAAGTTTAATAGGGGCAAAATCAGTCTTATCTCAGCAAGTATTACTCTCTGAAAAAATAAAGCGTGGGTGGGCGGGGCTAGTACTTGCTAAGATAAGACTGATTTTGACAAATCACATATCCTCTGAGAAAATAGGGGGCGGGTGGGCGGGGCTAGTACTTGGTAAGATCAGATTTATTTCGGCAAATAAAATATCCTCTGAAAAAATAGGGGGCGGGTGGGCGGGCCTAATACTTGTTAAGATAAAACTGATTTTGCCCCTATTAATCTTGTAAGAACTTAGGAAAGTTATCACTGCATTCATATTTTTGAGATTTGTTTATACAGGTGACCAAAAAAAAAATGAATCAGTTAATTTATTTTATCGAATAAATCAAGAATTGCAAAACTGAATACTTTGAAATCTTACAGGCGTTTTAAAGTTATTGTAAGAATAATAAATTGTTAATCAAAAAATATATCAGTTTATTACCCCCCAAAAATTGATGACGCCATCTCAAAGTTTTGTCGAATAAATTCTCCCCAAAATGTGCAAAATATGATGATTTTTTTTACTTGTGATTTATCACTGCATTCATATCTTTTCCATTTTACACTAAATAAAATAAGTAAGTGAAATGGAAAAGGGAGGTGGGCGGGGCTAAATTTAGCGTTTTCCGAGTTTTATGAGCAAGCAGTAGCCACGCCCACCCACCCCTTCTTCGTTTCAGTGACTACTCTTATTATTATTCAGTCCCATATCAAGTATTAGCCCCGCCCACCCACCCTTTTGTTTCTGAGAGGATATGTCATTTACCAAAATTAATCTTATTTTAACAAGTACTAGCCCGCCCACCCGCCCTCTATTTTCTCAGAGGGTGTGGCGTTTGTCAAAATCAGTCAAGTACTACTCTCTGAGAAAATAAAGGGCGGGTGGGCGGGGCTAGTACTTGGTAAGATAAAACTGATTTTGGCAAATGACATCCTCTGAGAAAATAGGGGGCGGGTGGGCGGGGCTAGTACTTGGTAAGATAAGACTGATTTTGGAAAATGACATCCTCTGAGAAAATAGGGGCGGGTGGGCGGGCCTAGTATTTGTTAAGATAAAACTGATTTTGCCCCTATTAATCTTAAAAACTTACGACGTTTATCACTCCATTCATATTTTTTAGATTTGCTTATACAGGTGACTCAAAAAAAAAATCAGTCAATTTATTTTAGTGAATAAACGAAGAATTGCGAAACTGAATGGTTTGAAATCTGGTTTTAAAGTTATTGTAAGCATGGTAAATTGTTTATCAAAATATATCTGTTTATTCCCCCAAAAAATTGATGACGTCACCTCGAAATTTTGCTGAATAAATCCTACCTAAAATGTGCACAAAGTATAAGCCTATACTTGTGATTTATTTTTAATGAATTATTAATATTTTTTAAATTTTCTTATACAGGGTGTCTTAGAAGAATTAATGACTGAGATGTTAAAAAATAAATATCCATACATGATCGTTTTCCGGGTTGGGACCATGTTAATTGAGTTTTATCCCTGCTCCTGAAGATGCCACTTACGAAAGTGCGAAACGTTGAACCCAAAACTCAATTAACACGGTCCCAACCCGGAAAACGATCATGTATTGATTACGACCGTGAACACCGCCGAAATAAATATCCAATCAGATTAAGAAATTTAACTCGTTACTATGGAAATATGCAGTTTGACACCTTTTACATTTAACAAGTTTTTACAAGTTTAATAGGGGAAAATCAGTTTTATTTTAGCAATTACTACTTTCTGAGAAAATAAAGGGTGGGTGGGCGGGGCTAGTACTTGCTAAGATAAGTCTTATTTTGGCAAATGAGATGTCCTCTGAGAAAATAGGGGGCGGGTGGGCGGGGCTAGTATTTGATAAGGTAAGACTGATTTTGGCAAATGACATATTTTCCAAAAAAACAGAGGGTGGGTGGGCGGGGCTAGTACTTGTTAAGATAAAACTGATTTTGTCTCTATTAATCTTTTAACAACTTAGGAAATTTATCACTGCATTCATATTTTTGAGATTTGCTTATACAAGGTGACCCAAAATAGTATATTATTAGCCAAGGTTACAGAGCCAAGCATTCTAGACCGAGCGCAAATTAGAACCCGAGACGCGCAGCGTCGAGGGCTCTAAGTGCGAGGTCTAGAAGTGGCTTTGCAACCGTGGTTAATATACTATTTTTTTCACTAGTAGAAACCATAAGACAATAAACTGAAAAATAAACGTTCAATTTTTTGACGCAACATGATTTTGTTTTGATTTCTAATCAAACTTAATCTAAATCTTCAACACAAAGAAAACCCTTTATACTTGTCGCTGAGTTAATCATTTTATCTTCTACCGTCTACCAACTACCATGCGTATACTCAAGTAATGTTTGTAGCACACATTTGTTCATTTTGTAAGAAATAATCACATCAAACATTGCGTACATAACCTCAATTTTTCTTTTTGAACCCGTGGTAGCAAAAGTTGAATTTGCTACCACTAAATGAGTCGACATTTGCATGCGTCCAGGCTGCTAGTGAAAAAAAAAATAATCAGTTGATTTATTTTATCGAATAAATCAAGAATTGCAAAACTGAATACTTTGAAATCTTGCAGACGTTTTAAAGTTATTGTAAGAATAATAAATTGTTAATCAAAATATATCTGTTTATTACCCCCAATAATTGATGACGTCATCTCAAAGTTTTGTCGAGTAAATTCTACCCAAAATGTGCAAAATATGATGATTTTTTACTTGTGATTTATCACTGCATTCACATCTTTTAGGTTTGATTATACAGGTGGCTCAAAAAAATTAATGAATAAGTCAATTTATTTTATTGATTAAATCAGGAAGTCGATTTTCCCAGAAAATTTTGAAATTTTGAGAATACAATACTGTTATTTTTCAATTTCCATTTTCCACTAAACAAAATAACTCCGTGAAATGGAAAAAGGATGTGGGCGGGGCCAAATTTAGCGTTTTTCGAGTTTTATGAGCAAGCAGTAACCACGCCCACCCACCCCTTCTTCGTTTCAGTGACTACTCTTATTATTGTTCAGTCCTATCTTATCAAGTATTAGCCCCGCCCACCCACCTTTTTTTTTTCTTAGAGGATATGTCATTTACCAAAATCAATCTTTTCTTAACAAGTACTAGCCCGCCCACCTGCCCTCTATTTTCTCAGAGGGTGTGGCGTTTGTCAAAATCAGTCTTATCTGAGCAAGTACTACTTTCTGAGAACATAAAGGGCGGGTGGGCGGGGCTAGTACTTGCTAAGATAAGTCGTATTTTGGCAAATGACATATCCTCTGAGAAAATAGGGGGCGGGTGGGCGGGCCTAGTATTTGTTAAGTTAAAACTGGTTTTGCCGCTATTAATCTTGTAAAAACTTACGAAATTTATCACTGCATTCATATTTTCTAAATTGGCTTATTCCGGTTAACTTAAAAAAAAAATGAATCAGTCAATTTATTTTATCGAATAAATCAAGAATTGCAAAACTGAATACTTTGAAATCTTGCAGACGTTTCAAAGTTATTGTAAGCATGGTAAATTGTTAATAAAATTATACCTCTTTATCCCCCCCCCCAAAATTGATGACGTCACTTCAAAATTTTGCTGAATAAATCCTATCCTATCTAAAATGTGTAAAGTATGATAAATCTATAAGTCAGCGAAATGGAAAAAGGAGGTGGGCGGGGCTAAATTTAGTTTTTTCTAGTTTTATGAGCAAGCAGTAAACACACCCACCCACCCCTTCTTTGTTTCAGTGACTACTCTTAATATTGTTCAGTCCTATCTTAGCAAGTTTGAGCCCCACCCACCCACCCTTTTTTTTCTTAGAGGATATGTGATTTACCAAAATCACTCTTATCTTAACAAATACCAGCCCGCCCGCCCGCCCGTCCTCTATTTCCTTACAGGGTATGTCGTTTGCCACAATCAGTCGTATCTTAACAAGTACTAGCCCCTCCCACCCACTCCTTATTTTCTTAGAGGGCATGTCAAAATCAATCGGGCTAGATCAAATGAATTACTGAAATAGAGGCGGGGTGGGTGGGCGGGGTGAATTATATGTTCTTTTGTAAAGTGGGAACGTAAGCGGTTAAAAAAAGCGTTAATCGTAATTATTTTTTATACTTTTACTTATTTGCGACAACATTTATTTCTTATTTCTGAAAAAAAAAATGGGAGAACGGATGGGTGGGCATGGGCAGGGCTAAGTTTAAATTTTCGTACAGAATTTTTTGTAAGCAAGCAATAGCCCCGCCCACCCAGCCTCTATTTTTTTAAAGGGTAGGTGATCTGCCAAAATTAGCATTATCTTAGCAGGCACCACCCCCTTTTCATTCCCGTGATTACTCTTAATATTGTTCAGTCATTAGCAAAATCAATCTATTTTAACAAATAGTAGCTCCGCCCACCCGCCCTCTATTTTCTTAGGGGGTATGTAATTTGCCACAATCAATCTTATTTTAGCAAGTACTACACTGCACCAATCCAAGTTCATATAATTACATATCCTTGCAAAAATGTTGACGTCATCACAAAATTGTGTCAAGAAAAAACTCAACTCGAAAATGCTGGATATGTTTCATTGTACTTTCGGGGCGAGGGAAGTTCTGTCGAAACAACTTTCGACCAATTTTTAAATTTTGCATCCATGCCTTCAGTATCCTAGTAGGCTAGGCTATGAAATTTATTTTTAAAGTAATGTTGGCATCTATATCAAAAAATGTTGTTCATCATACAGCTGCAAAACAGACTTTCGGTTCACAAAAAAGTTATCTCGATTCAGAAAGTAAAACGTGTTCGACCTCACAAAGGAGCGCAAAAACTCTATAGAAAAACCTAATAATGAAATGAGCATCGTTGAGGTGTTCGGCACGTCATTTCTATTTGTTTAGGGATCCATACCACCCACATTTCCGTACAAACACCCACGGACATTAAAGCCAACTCCCACGATTTTTAATTAAAATGTTCTTTTATTTGACAGAGAGATTGCTGTCTGATTTGAAGCATTCGTACACACCTAGTTTCATGGACGGGTTCAGTTATCAGGACCGGGCCGAGGAGTTGGAGAGGGTAAGGACACGAAGACTGACTTCGTCGTGCTAACCACCTAGTTTAAAGGAAAGGATCAAGCGGGACAATTATCAGAGGGAACTAAGGCTGCAGATCGAGGAGAAGCGGAGACTGCAAGCGATGCGGGAGGAGCAGGAGAGGAGGGAACAAGAACTGGAGAACCGGAGGCTGGAGCAGCAGTTGCTGAGGATGCAGGAGGAGCAAGCCGTCGAAGAACAACGAAGGTGTCGCAGAGATGAACAGGTGTAGTTTTAGAGCGCAAAATGTTTTCGAAATTGGTTTTGATAAAGTGTTTGAAAATTGCCTGCGTTTTTTCTTGTGATACTGGGGAGGTGGGAGTGTTTTGTGTGCGGACCGCGTACTGAACGCGCCGTTCTGTCCGCAGATGCGCCGCCACAGCGAGGACCTCTTGCGGCGAAAGCACGAACTGCAGTCCCGCTTTCGCAAGCATACCGATTCCGAAAGTAGCGTGACAAGTCTTCGAAACACCAACGTTGCCTCAAAAGCTCTATCGCATTATTCTCCCCCCGTCTCCCGTCGCAACCCGTACTCCTTCAATATACCATCCAGTTCTGTGTTCGCCGATACTACGCCTAGCAGCAGGTACGCTCCGAACCGCTTCGACTCGTACTATCGCAAGGACACGCTGAACAGGATGGACTCGCTAGCCACATATGATACTCATCGTAGATTTAATAATGCTTTCAGTCGTTACGACTCGTTGAGTAGAATAGATTCGTTAAATCGCCAAGATGCGTTGAATAGAATAGAATCGTTGAATATTCAAGATAGTTTAAGTCATGTACAACGTAGGCACAGCGCCACACAGCAGGACCTGAGCCTGATACGGAAAAGTCCGAAACTCCAAAGAAGGAGCAGTTCGAGTCGGTTCGAAGACACTCTTCCCATACCAGTATTGAAAGCGCACTCGCCAGTTGCCAAAGAACTGAAGAACTCGGTTCCGTTCAACTCCAGTCGGTCGGACGCTGTTAGGAAATTAGAAGACAAGTGGCAGGTGCGTTTTTTAAATAACTGTCACTTTATGACTTTCACACAAAAGAAACTAAAAAGTTACCAAAATTACCAAATCTAGTTGACAGCTAAATCCACAGCTAACTAGAGAATAAACGAGTGTCCTTTCAAGTTGTAAATATTAATTTTGACTGATTGCTTTGCAGATCCCCGCCGTACAGAAAAACATCATCAACCACGGGGACCCGCTCCGGGACGGTCAAGGAAGGAGTATCCTCACCCAATTGGGCGCCATCAGGATGCAGCTTCAACAAGAACAGTTGCGAATGGACGAGACGTTACGTAAACGCGATATTACACAATCCAAGGCTGTTGATTTTCATTGAAAATAACACATTTTACATCGAGTTATAAAATTGAATCATAGTTATTTTATATATTGTTAGAACTTGTCTTTATATTTATAATTGAGATAGAATAGAAACGTTGAGAATGACTGACACCAGACTTTCTTTCAAACAAACCGGTTGCCGACTCGTTTGAATCGCGCGCGCGTCGAGCTCGCGCCGATTGGTGAAGGCCCGAATTTCTGTTGGGATTAGGAAGCGAGTAGGCCGTGTCGTTGACCAATCCCGGACATTATTTTGTTTTTAAAACCGTTTGTAAATGACAGTGCCGGCTGATTGATCTTTAAACTACGAAAAACGACGGTTTATTACAAAATTTTTGTAATAATGAATAAAGAAAAGTGGAACAATGTTTTGATCGAATGGGTAAGTCGGTGGGGTGTGGAATTATGTGGAAATCATTTCGGATTTTGTTTAGGTTAATTGTTTGAAACTGTGCAAAAACATACAAAATATTGAAAGCCTGCGAAATGGGGAGTTTCTTGCCAATCTTCAGAAAGTCATGTAAGTTGTGTTAAGGGTAATTTTAGTTTAATGAAGCATAAAGGAGGCGTTACAAAAGCGATTATCCTAATCTCAAAACCGTTGTCAATGGGTTTAATTTCGGCGTCAAATTTATTAACTGTTGCCTTATTGTAACGTTTTTTATGTTTTATTAGTGTTCAGACCCAAATAGTTGTAGCTATTGCAGTTATTACTATTTCATTTGGAGGATTTTTGGAGTTCATGTTAAATATATGTATATTTCTAACGTGGGATTCGCTTTAACCGTTTTTTCAACCTTATTGCGTATTAATGACTTGATTGTTGACCGCGGCCCCATTTTCATTCATCTCTATTACAAAAGTGTTATTATTTATTACTGTCAATGTCAGTGCAGTAAAGTCATTTGTTTGCATTAAAAACCGAATGTTTAAATTTATGAAAATCCAAAATAACTTTTAAAAATGTAGGTATATTTTCATTGTGTGTAGAAGGGGCCAAAAACTAACGTATTTTAGCGATTAAACGCAGAGAAATGTTATATTTTTATCCATTATAGTTATTATTATGAAGATCAAGAAAGCCATCTAGCAACCATTGAAATTTAACGTTAAAAAATTATGTTGGCAATACAACTGTCATTCCTTGTTCAGTTTGACATTTGCGGCAAAAATTAAAAAAATATAATTTGGACGATTTTTGTGGTACTTTTTTCAATTCTGTGTAAGTTTAATAAACACCCACTACTGTTCACAGTACTAAATCCCGCAATGCCCAAGTCGACACCCTCACCTTCATCTTCGACCTCTTCAGCAAGCACTACCCCGCCTACTCGTTCGAAAACAAAACGGAAATCCACCTTTCCGACCTGCCGGAGCGCGACCTCAAAGCCATCACTTCCCTCCTCATGCACTACACGTGCATCTTCGACCGAAAAGACGTCCTCACCTCCCCCTTGTGCCACTCCCTCTCGCAATCCACCCAGCTAATAATCCGCAACTTCCTCCAAAAAATCACGAAAGACGTCAACAACGAAACCATGGACAAGATAATCAAAATCTGCATCGACGATGCTTCCGACCACTTGGCCAACAACCAGTGGCTAAACGTGGAGACGTCTTCGTTCTCGAACAGCCCCCTCCAGGACCTCTTGAAGACCCCCGTGTCGAAAATGGGCCGCCTCCACGAGAAGGACAGACTCATCGCGAAGCTGAAAACGGAACTGGACGCCGAGCGGTACGATAAAACCGAGCTGCAAGAAGAGCTGAAGAAGCAGATGGATAGGAATAAGAAACTCGAGACGCAGCTGGCGCAGAAGAGTAGCGAGGTTTCGAGGCTGCGCAGCGAAGTGGCGGCGCTGGAGAATCGAACGCCGCCGCACTACCAGGATATGGACTCAAGGGAGCTGCAGAGGAGGCTGCGCGCCGAGATACAGTGTCTGGAGCAGTATGTTAAACAGGTGGAGGACGAGGAGGAGGAGATTAGGAAAGAGAAGGATTCGGCGAAGGAGTTGTTGAGGACGGTGGAGTCACAAGCGAGTATGTGGGAGGAGAAGTTCTTCGAGGCGGAGCGCAACTTAGAAGGGTTGAAGGAGCACTCGAAGAAGCAGGAAGAGGAGTTGGGGGAGTTGCAAGCGCACTGTGCAGAGATCACGGCGATGTTGGAGGAGTACAGGGCGAAACCGGAGAACGACAGCTCGCTTTATGATACTTTCACGACTGGTGATAACGCGAAGTTGAATGAGACGCCTCCTGGGGAAGATTTGGCTTGTGAGGTGGTTGAGGTGCAATTGAGGGAGGCGCAGAAGCAGATCGAGGAATTGAGGGGGCAGCTGAAGCAAGTGGAGGAAGCGAGAAAAGCGTTGAAAGGGGTAAAAGAGGAAATTGAGGAACGACTGCAGAAAAGCGAAGAGACGAATGCGGGGTTAATCATCACAGTAATTTTTTCTTTCCAATTACAATAACACATTTATCAAAATTTTGTTCCAGATACGTGACACAGAAACCGACAAAACCGCCCTTCAGAATCGGTTATCAGAAGTCGAAAATAACCTCGACGAAGCTAAACAAACAATTCAACAAAAATCAACCGAAATCGAAACGCTGCTTGCCAAGCTGGAAGAAAATTTGGAAAGTCTGCAGGCGTTGGACAGCGATAATAAAGAACTTCTGTCGAAAGTATACCTCCCTTTGCACTTTTGTGCCCACTTTATTAGTTTTTTCTGTTTTGAAGGTGTCCTCTCTTCAGTCGGACCACGAAAAAGTTCGCACCGAGTTATTCGAAACAACAAACGAATTGCAAACTCAGAGAAATCAGTCGCGTGATCTTGAAACCGAACGTGATAATTTTAAAGCTATTTCCGAAAAACTGCAATTCGAAATCGCCGACGTTATTCTCAGCAATCAGACGCTCTGTTCGCAGTTGGAGAGTCTGACGACTGAGAAAATAACGCTTCTGACGAATCTCAGCCAAATTGAAACTAACTTCCGAGTTGTGGAAGCAAACTTGTTTGAGTCGCAACGACGTTGTGGAGGTTTGACAATTGAATTAGACGGGCTCTACCGGCAAAACGACGACTTGAAGAACGAGTTGAATATGAAGAAAGAGCAGTTGACGAACACGGAAGACGAAAAAGTTGATTTAACGCGACGATTGGAACAGGCGGACACAGAAATCGCGGTCTTGTCAAAAAGCAATGTCGAGTTTAAGTCAGAAGTTAGCGATTTGCAGAATCAGTTGACTGAAACCCTCGACTGCGTTAAAACCAGTCAGAAACATAGGAAACAGCTGGAAAATGCGCAGTCGTTGCTTGAAAAACAAGTCAGCGACACTCAGTCGTCGTTAGAAACGTTGACAGCGGCGTTGGCGCAACTTCAAGTCGAGAAAAAGCAAACAGTGGAACTTCTTGAAGCAAATAAAGCAAGTTTGGACGTGTTACAACAAGAAAAGTCGGCTTTGTCTTCGCAACTTCGTAACTTTGAAGAAATCCAAAGCGATTTGATTAAAAAGAACGAAGCACTGATTTCAGACAATCGTAATCTCCAAGATCAACTTTCAAACAACGTTGACAGTTTAAAAAGCACTAAAGAAGAAGTGGAAGATCTGAAACAAGGAAAGAAATCTTTAGAGCTAAGACTAGAAGAAAACTTAAGTTTGTGCGAAACGCTTAAAAACAATCTGGACGAGGTGACACTCCAAGAGCAAAAAACTAAAGCAATGTTGGAAGAAGCAAAGACGAAATTGCAAAATTCTGAAGAGGCGCGTGTCAACTTTGAAGCACAGTTGTGTGAAAGTCAAAAGTCGGTGCAAAAATTGACAAAAGAATTAGATGAAACGAAGACACAAAAAGAACGAATCGTGAAACTACTAGACGAAAATAAATTGCAAGTGAGTCTATTAAACGAAGAAAAGTTGACCCACGTTTCGCTGATGCACGATTCTGAACACAAATGCGCAATCTTGTCCAAAAAGAACGAAGATTTGGAGGCACATAATGAAGATCTGCGAGTACAACTCTCAGACACCATCGCCACGTTGGACAGTACCAAAACTGAAGAAACAAAACTGAAAGAATCTCAGTCATTATTGACACAACAGTTACGTGACGCTGAAACTTTGTCCGATGGTTTGAAGAAAGATCTGAGCGAAACGAAGATCGATAATGAAAGATTAAACGAAGAACTGATCGTGGTTGAGTCAAAACTACGAACGTCAGAAGAAATGGTCGTGAATTATGACTACCGAAATCAAGATCTTCAAATGTCGGTCCAAAATTTGAAAAAACAACTGACCGATGTACAGGGAGAGCTCAAACTAAATAAGGAAGAAGTCGATAGGTTAATACGTGGTAGAAATAGTCTAGAAGTGGATTTAAATGAAGCACAGACCGTTTCAGACACCGTGCGAAACGATCTTCACCAAATCGAGCTCGAAAAACAACAACTCGTCGTGGAATTGGCCGAAAGTAGGGAGAATTTTAGAAAAATAGACGAAGAAAAGTCAGTCGTGTTGGCGAAGCTGGAAGAATCAGAATCGAGGTGTCAAAGCTTGGAACAAGAATTGAAATCTAGAGTTGAAGACGTTCAGCTGAAATTGAAGAACACCAACGAGGCTTTGCAGACAAACCAAATGCAGGTGGATAAATTAACCGATTCGGTGACCAAACTTGAAGAAAAATTAAAAGACAGTAGAGGTGTCAGAAATTCTTTGAAAAAAGAACTTGCGCAGGTACGACTCGAAAATAAAACTCTGGAAGAACAGGTGAAAGAGTCGCGTCACAGTGTGTCTGTACTACAACAAGAAGGAGAAACGTCGCGGAAAAAGGTCGCCGATTTGGAAAACGAAAAAGAAAAGATGCTGCTAGAAGCGGAAAATTTGGCCAAGGATTTGCGTGAAGCGTCGCACAATTTGGACACAATGAAAAGTCGGTCGAAAAAACTGGAAAAAAATAAAACTAAACTGGAAAATCGTTTACAAGAGGCGCACGCTTTGTCGGAAAGCTTGAAACTCGAGAAAGTAGCGCTTCAAGCTCAATGTAAAAATAGTGACGAATTGAAGATCCAAAAAAACACAGTTGAGAATCAGCTGGAAGAACTGAAGTTGTGTAACTACAATCTCGAAACGCAGCTGAACACAGCTAACAATACACTGGAATGTCATAAACGCGACTTAGATCAACTACAATCCGCGAATCGCTCTTTGACTGAAGATTTAGAACAAACTAAAGGCAAAATTGTCAAAATCGAGACCGAAAGAGCCGATTTGTCCACAAAGTTGGGTGAATCTGAATCCAGAAACGAGACACTAAGGTCTAGAGTCACAGATCTCGAACAAAAGTTAGTCGATTTGTCTGCTTTAGTCGACGAAGCCGAACTCGACAAGCAAAAAACGAATGAAGATCTGATGAACGCGAAGAACGAAATCCAGATTTTGATCTCCAAATTGCGTGATTATGAGCTGAAGTGTTTGACTATGGAGCAGAAAATGACTGATCTTATTAATAATTTGCTCGTCAGTACTGAAGAGAATGAAGAAACGAGGAACCAGTTTCAAAACGAGAAACTAGTTCTGGTTACGAACGTTTCAGAGCTCGAAAAGAAAGTGGAGGTGTTGGAGACCAGGATTCAAGATCTGAAGAGTCAGAATTCAGACTTGGAGAAAGTGAAGATGGCTCATGTTGAGATGACGCTTCAGTGTGATAAGATTAAAGAAGTGGTTAAACAACTGGAGGAAGAAAAGGAGCAGATGGGAGCGACGCTGGAAAAAGATAAAGAAAGTTTAATTTTGAAACTAACGGACTTGGAGGAGAAAATACAAGACTTGACAAACCAAAACGACAACTTGACGTCTCAGAACAATACTTTGCAAAACGATTTAGATAAATTGGCAGCTGCAAAAGAATCTTTGACTAGAGTTTTAAAAGAAAAGCAAGAAATCAGTGACAAATCTGAACAATTACAAAAGAAAAACAACGACTTGGAGTCGCAAAATACAACCCTGGAACAACAGCTTTCTGAAATTAGAAAAAGGAATGACGAAGTAGAACTTCAGTTACATAATTTAACCACTCTGTCAGACGATCTAGCAACAGAAAAGAAGCAACTAGAAGCCAAGACGGACGACTACTCTAAGAAGAATGAAGAACTTCAGAATCAACTCTCTGCACTGGAAAGAAATCACCAACAACTGAAAAACAGCAAAGAAATTGTCGACAGACGACTAAACGAAGTTAGCGTTGTGTCTGAGACGTTGAAAGCAGAATCTGAAGATGTTCGTTTACAGTATCAAAAATCAAAAATTGAGGTCGCTGAAACGAGAGAGATTTTGGCACAACTTACTAAAGAACGAGACAACGTGACAGCGTCTCTCAAAGAGACAAACGAAAAAAATGACAAACTTTGTCAAGACTTGCGACTAATCAAAGAAAAACTTGCAGATGTAGAAAATCACGAAAACGAAACAAAACAAGCGCTTTCGAAAGCGAAAAACGAAGTCCAGATGTTGAATTCGAAGAACGACGAACTGCAAAAACGCTTGACTGACTCTGAAACGAAAAGTAAAGAGAATCAAGAGTTCCTTGAGGGCGAAATTAACAAGTTGACATCGATGACCTTCGGTTACAAGAGCGAACTGGAAGATGCGAAGAAACGTGCGGAAAAAGCGGAACAAAATTTGAAGAATAATAAACAAGAAATGGTGGCGATAAATCAAAAAGTGGAATATCTAGTTGATGAGAAGTCCATGTTGGATAAAAAGATCGAAGTGGAGGAAATTATTTCGTCGGAACAAAGAGACAGAATTAAATGTTTGGAAGAAACGGTGCAGGATTATGAAATCACCATTTCTGGATTAAAAAGTGTTGTTGATTCGAATTTGGAACGACTGGAGAGTTTGAAAGAGGAGTTATCGCAACGAAACGATCAACAAGATGACGCCAGAAGAACAATTCTTGAACTCTTGCAAGCTAATAGTATCACCGGAGGTGGAGACACCGATTTTAAAACGTTCATATCCGACAACTTTAGTAAAATATTGAAAGCCAAAAGCGAGCAAGAAACTCGAGTGGAAGCGTTAGAACAACAAGTCAAAGATTTGAAAACTAAGAACATCGAAACTTCTTCGTTCACAGAAATGATCAAAAAACTACAAATTCTGGTTGCAGACAAAGACGAAATTTGTTCACTTGAGACGTTAAAATCGTCCTTTGACAACATCCACGCTAAAGTGAATAAACTCCTAGAAGCGAAACGCGAACTTTCAGACAACTTACAACGAGTAGAGAGCGACAAATTCGACTTGGATAAGCAACTCGCAGCGCTCAAAATCGAGAACGACGAAGCAATTAAAACAAAAACCGAATTGTACAACAGCTTAAAACAAGAGACAGAAAAAGTGGAAATGTTGCGAAAAGAGCTCGAAAATAAATCGAAACCGGTTAAACCGGAAAAGGAAAACATCCTCAGTGTGAGCACCAAGTCAAACAAATCACGAGAAGACGAATTGAAGAAAGAGAACATGATGTTGAAGAGGAAGGTAGTTTTGACGGAGAATGCCAAAAACAATTTGGAGAAGGTGTTGAAAGAGCTACGTGAAGAGAAGAAGAAGGCGGCTGCATCGTCTCCATCGAACGACGGTTTGTACAAGAAGCTCCTACAAGAGTACATCGAGGTTAAAGAAGAAAACGAACGTGTGTTGAAAGAAAAAGACCGTCAAATGGAAGACCTGAAGCGAGAGAATGAGCAGCTAAGAATGAATAACGTCCCGATTCGGAATGAAAGCGACAAAAAAATTGTCCAAGATTTGCAAAGCATCAGAGAGGCGTACGGAAATTTAATGAGTGTTAACTCGAAGATGGAGCTCGAAATGGTGACGCTGCGAAAGATCATTGAAGAACGAAACTCCGAAATGGCCAACTTGGCGCATATTAAGGAAGCATATGAGAAGTTGTTGGAAGAGAACAACAAAGTCTTGACTGAAGTGGACACGGTTAAGTACAAGAGAATGAGGGACAAAGAGGAATTCGTGCGACTGCTGAAAAAGGAGCGTGAGGAACTAGGAAACCGCGAAATGAAGAGAATCCAGGAAATTCGAACCGAATACGAAGGGAAATTGGAAAAAATGAAAGAAAAAATGTTGAAATTGTACAGAGAAGAAGTGAACAAGAAAATGAAGTCGGTGAAAGACGGTGAAAACGAAACTGCGAAATTGCTTAAAACCGTAGCGAACTTGAAATCCGAGTTGTTTGAAGCCGACCAGAAAATCCAGTTTCTTGAAATGGAGAAGGACATATTGAAAGCTAACAGAAGGATAGATATGGATGCCAGAACCATCCAACTACAGTCAGTTTCGAGCATTACATCGATCACGACGAACGAGGAACGAAGTGCGACTTTACCCAGACCGTCAGTCACTAAAGAAGTAACTATTTCAAAAAGAACGTCTATAGGGGGAATGTCAACGAATATTGGCACCCATGATCTACAAATGGAAGACGAAGAAGACCTGTTTAACGACAAATACCTAACTGACTTGAAGGAAGGTAGATGCGCTTTACCAACAGGCCGCGATTCGGTTTGTCGTTTCTCGGAACTGGCGTACCGCAACTCTATGGTGCCCCCTCACTTGAAGTCGTCGTATCCGGCGGAAACTCAGTTCATCAGTCCTACGCGTTTCAAGGACGAAGACATAAAAGTACTGTGTTAATTTTAATTTGTTGCACTCAATACTAATGATGAATTTTCAGTCTGGAAATCTGGAATTTGAGGACAGTTTGGTTAAATTATTACCTGGGGAGAAACCACGGAAGAAGGATTTCGGTACGACGTCGTACAAAAAACCGGGCCCTCCAACCCCCAGTAAAAACGGCGGAAGGCTGTCTTTGCAGGGCAACGAAGTACATCCGATGAGAGAACACTGTGAGGCGAAAACGCCCAAAAAATCCACACCCAGTAGAATCAAAGCGTTGTTCACGGGACGGAATAGTAGCGCTCGGGATGAGGTAATAAGGGTTACCCGTTTTGGGGTTTTAACTACCACTATGTTACAGAGTCAGAGTAGTGTCACACCTAGTCGAGGCAGACGTCTCAGCATTTTCAGAAGGCCGCGGTGATTGTTTTAATTTGCAATGTAATAAAGTACACATGTTATGTTATTGTTTGACAATAAACGGTTTTATGTAGACGGTGACTTGTTTGTATTTGCGTTGCCATGTCAACAGCCAATCCAAACCGCGATTGACAGTGCTCCTAACCCACGATACGAAAATCACCAAACACCTGTCACGTTGACAAAACAAAAACAAAGAAAATTGTTGATTATTAAGTAATGGCATCTGCAAGCAGCACGAGTGCGAGGTCCCTGTTCACAGACTCGAAGATGCGTCTGGCTGATCGAGTGCAAGTCAACGTGAATAATATTTCTTCGCTAGCGCGACAAATCACCCGAGGTTCGAAAAGTAGTGAGGTTAGTTAGTCATTCAATCGGTTTTTCGTTTTTTTTAATAATTTTTGTAGATTTTGATGCATTCCGCCCGCAATTTTGCCGTGCAGGAGCACCTGATGGAAAATAGCGAAAGCAATTTGAAAAAAATGCAGCTGCTGTGTGTCCACTTGGGGTACCAACATGACTCCATGCTCAAATCAGCCCAACAGATTGAAGAAGTCAAAGAGCAAGTGTGTGCTATGCAGAGATAATAATGTGATAAACAGTGCTAATTGGACGGGTTTATTTTTATTTATTTATTGCTTGTCACGTGACTTTGACTGCGTAGTTGGCAACCCCTGCAACTTAACCTTACTTCACCTTGTTTTTATTTGTGACGTTTTTAGAGCTGAAATGTGATAGTGAAAAATCGGAATGAAACTCAAGTAGAGGCATTTTTACTTATCACTGGTAAGAATTGTTGTTGGTGCGGGTCAATAAAGAGTAATCTGTGTGTTGTAGCATTTTATTCCAATTAAGGCACAATGTCCCTGCTAAGTCGCCACTTGACTAGTTGTATTAGGTTGCACAAATGGACGATACAGAGGCGTTTGCAACAAACCAAACCCAGGCTGGCGGTAGCCGGAGACGTTGTACCGATTTTCAGCAACGTCTCCCAGTTTCCGGACAAGGTAGCAATAAAAGACACTGTAGGTAGTTACACATATGCCAATTTGTTCGTAAGCGCGAAAGAACTAGCAGCTACGATTAGTCAGCAGTTGGAGCACAAAACCAACCAACGGGTGATGTTCCTCAGCTCCAATAACGCCGACTACGTCGTTACGTTATGGGCGATATGGATGTCTGGACAAATTGGTAGGTGTTATGATAATCTTAATAGTCACGTGTTATTGTCGCTGTTATTGCAGCGGTCCCCCTCAGCCCCCTGCACCCCAAAAACATCCTCCTCTACTACGCCAACGACACCAACGCCAGTCTCCTAATCACCACCCCCAAATATTCCGAACTGATGCATCGCGTTTCCAAAAACACAAACATAAAACTTCACGTACTTGACGAAAAAATGCGTCTGAAAACAACTGAAAAGGTCGCAAAAGAGAAAGCCGACCTTGAGGCACCCCTTTCCGTGAGCTTTTATAGCAACAGCAAAGCCCTTATTCTGTACACAAGCGGCACCACTGGTAACCCAAAAGGGGTGGTCCTCACCCATAAAAACATCATTTTTCAAGTGAACACCCTCCTGGATGCGTGGAAATGGGTTCCTAATGACGTCATCCTCCACACTCTCCCGTTGCACCATGTCCACGGTATCGTAAACGCGCTGTTATGTCCGTTATACATAGGTGCCAGAACCATGATGCTTCCAAAGTTTGATGCCAACACTGTATGGTCGCACCTTCTGGGTGTCAATACCCCTTCTGGGGACCGCAGAATCACGGTATACATGGCTGTGCCAACAATATACTCAAAATTGATTGAAGAGTACAAGAGAGTGTTTGGGGCTGACCCCAAAATGGTCGAGTACATCAGAAACACGCTTAAGAATAAAGTAAGGTTGATGGTTAGCGGGTCGGCGCCGCTTCCAGGACCCATATACGACAAATGGTTGGATATTTCTGGTCACAGGTTGCTGGAGAGGTACGGGATGACGGAAACCGGGATGTGTTTGTCCAACTTGTACGATTCCGATAGAGAACCAGGGTATGTGGGTTTACCTTTACCTGGAGTGTCCGTCAGGTTGGTGGATAAGCCAGAGGGCACCACTGAACAAAATGTTGTTCTTGAAGTGAGCAACAAAGGGGGTGAGGTCGTGTACGAGAGCAACGATGCTTTTTTAAAGAATCAGGAAGAATTAAATGGAGAGTTGTTGGTGAAGAGCGACGGCGTCTTCAAGGAGTATTATAACAGGCCAGAGGCGACGAAAAAGGAGTTTACTGAGGATGGCTGGTTCCAGACGGGAGACATGTGTTCATTTTCCATAGGGAAAAATAAGTTTAAAATGCTCGGCCGAAAAAGTGCGGATATTATAAAGTCGGGGGGGTACAAAGTCAGCGCCATAGCGATCGAGACGATCTTATTGGGCCACCCGGATATTAGAGAATGCGTAGTTGTAGGGGTGGATGACCCCGAGTGGGGACAGAAGGTCGTTGCTGTCGTCGTTTTTAGGGATAGTAAGAGTCTTACCATTGATAATTTGAGAGAGTATGCTGCGGATAAGCTACCAAGGTACTCTTTACCGACTGTCTTAAAAGAAGTGACTGAGATACCCAAGAATGCGATGGGGAAAGTTAACAAAAGACAGCTGGTGGAAAGTATTTTCGGAAAGTGAACGACTGAATTTTTAATATTTTTAATTCCAAGTATTATATATTTTTTGCGATATTACGGTTTATTGTCACGTGTATGGTTATCTGTATTGGAGAATTCAATAAATGTATAAATACCATTTTATCTTGTGTGTGCATACAATGGGTTATTGTACGGGTTTACTGATAATGTTGGTATTAAAAATTACGAGTATTAAATCTGGAAGTGATTGGATTTTGATAAGCGGAATCAGGGGCGGGGCTATGGAGGGTTGAGTAAACATTAAGATTTTTGGGATGTTGTCGTCAAAATATGACAACCATGGAGGTCGACTTCCCGTTTCCGTCTGTCTGTCTGCCTGACAATTTATTGCAATAATGGATAGTACAGCCGAGTTGCTGCGAGTATACTATCCTCAAACATATTTGGCGTTTATGACTTCACACCAATTTGACTCCCATTATAATTCAATAGGCCGTCACAACCGGATGTCTTAAACCCGCTCACCGATACCTACCTGAAAAGACCTTTTCGACGTGCTGGGGACGGTCGAGACGCGAAGGACCGGACTCGAGTAATTTTGTTTGTTAAAATTTTCAAATTTCAAAATTTCCTTACAGAACATGATTTATACTTTGAAGAAAATTACACAAAGACACAATTATTAGAAGTGTTACACACTCGAAAATTTGAGAAACAATATAAAATAGATGCTATGGCGCGAGATCGTGGATTTAGGGTGATTAGACTTCCGCCGTACTATTGTATATTTAACCCCATCGAACTAATCTGGTCGCAAATGAAAAATAATATAAGAAGGAATAATACGGCACCAAAATTTAGTAGTGCAACAATTGACATAATTAGGGAAGAAGCTTCCAAAATAACTGCCGAAATGTGGGCCAATTGTGTACGACATTCCACAAAAGAAGAAGACCAGTACAGGGCACGGTTGATAACACCGTTAATTATTAATTTAGAAGAGTCGAGTGATGATGACAGTGACTATTTCGATCAATAAATAAGCAGTAGTAGTTAATAAGTAAATAGTTGTGCTGTAATAAAAAATGATTGAGTACAAAGTTACTTTGTTTTTACTTAAAATAAAAAACTCGAAAGGCGCAGTTGTCGGTAAATGCAAAACTCAGTCCTGCCCTGTGCTTTTACCAGAAAAGGTCTTTTCAGGTAGGTATCGGTGAGCGGGTTTAAGACATCCGGTTGTGACGGCCTATTGAATTATAATGGGAGTCAAATTGGTGTGAAGTCATAAACGCCAAATATGTTTGAGGATAGTATAACACCGAGTTATTTTCCTCACGTCAGTGTCACTTTTTAACACCATAAATTAACATCACTGAAAAGCGTATTTTCTTGTAAGTGCAGTGATGTGATCTGCGTATTTATTTTTTTATTTCTGTTGAATATAACAAGTGTTTGAATATTGTGAAAACCCAGCTTTAAGTTGTGGTGTTAATGCAGATTTGCGCAATGTGACTGTGGTAGTCACACTTAAAGTGACGTTAAGTCAACTTAGAACGTTATCAAGATCAATTGTTCATTGTATTTCCATTAAATTGAAATTACTCTGCAACATGTGTTCAAACGGGTGTACAGTTTGGATATATGAGGTAAGTTTCACCTTAATTTTGTATTATTGTTTATATTAAATCTGGATAAATTTTTCTAACGCCGCCACTGGTCGCGATTTTTTCATTTAAGATTAGATAGTATTTTTCGCACGTGAGAAATAAATGAATCAGTTAAATAACACTTCAGGTGATGATAAACGATTTTTGAGTATTCTATTTATTATAATAGCTGCAGATAAAAAAATTCGGGTTTGAAAATCTTAACCTAATCCAGCTGGTCTCGTGACACCATGACAGTTGACATTTCCCTTTGACACTTGTGACAGTTTTCCAGCAGGAACGTCAAACATTTGACGTTCCTTGTGCCGTCTAATTTGCGTAAAATCCATAGTTTCCCATTTTCGTGTGTTATTCTCCCTTTTAGCATGCAAACCGAGTTTGTAAACGCGATGTCAGTTCTCTGGATGACTCACCCTTCCAAATAATTGCCAAGCCCTTGGATAATACGCGATTAGTTGAACGTGCAAATTAACATTTACCGTAAGATAAACAGGTAAAATATTCAATATAACCGGTGTTTCCGTTATCACAGAATAAACACGTTGATAACCGATCGTTCTATAATTATGTTTTCCTAAAAAGAACCCATCACATATGCTGTAAACACCTGTTTTGGCTAACCTATGTGAGTATTGATTACATTTAGCGAGTCTTTAAATATTTATAGATATCAATTACCACATTATCATTAGGTGATGGGCGTAAACAGCAGCAAGAAACTTGCCGCCAAGTGTTCATTCCTCTCGAAAGATGAACAGCACATCGTCAGTAGCTCGTTCCGGCTTGCCAGTCGCAACTCGGAGAAGATCAAGGAGGAAGAGCTCACGGTAGGTTTGCCAGGGGCTCGACACGCAGTAATTGCGGTGTTTTAGAAATTATGGGGCTGTCAAATGGACTCCCGGCTCCTGCAGTACATCAATAACTACCTTTTTGGAATAGGGGAAATGCGCACAAATACTGTGGAGCTGGAGCGCTTCGCCGAATTGTTCGTTTTTTGCACGAGGGGCACCGTTGACGAAAAGCTCAAAGTTTTGATAATATCCCTAGGGCGTAGTGACTCTGAAAGCAATGACATACCGTATATTCTGGTCAAAGAGGTAATGCTTCCCTACAGCTCATATTGTGTTATTTGTTTTAATTAGCTTAATTTCCATCATGAAAGTCAGGAAATTTATTTCAGTAACTATTTTTCGCAATCAATACCATATGATCGAAAAAAATCGTAGTTCGCCATGAAATCTATTTTAACAATAATTGTGTTGGCATTGCCGTTATTTGACACTTATTTGATATCAATGCCAATCTGATTAACACAATTAAAGAACGCGTTAGTGCTGCCAACATATTTTTTTAATAATGTTACATTTTCTAGATTAATGGTGCTGTAATTATAAAAAAATGGTATAAGATTATTTCGACAGAACTTCCCTCTCCTCGATTTTTTGCTTGAATCTTTCAATTCCTGCAATCGAATCCGTCGGCCGACTGTCTACTTTTATGTTTTCGCGACACATCATGACCTCTAGAGTACGAAAAAATAGATGTCCCTTTTCCATCTGTCTGTCTGTCCGTTTGTCTGCCGTCACGCATTTTTATTATACAGATAATTTCCGAAAATACTGGGCCGATTGTTGTCATATTTTGGATTTATATTAGGAATATCATGTAGATCGTAAAACGCTAATATCATGTAGATGCTAATCTAAATTTGTCTAATCATCCCCACCAATAATGTGATGACGTCACTTCAAAATCGTTCATAATAAATGGGTTTTAAATTGTGCTAAATAACATAGTTCTACACATGTAATTTATGATTCCGTGTTGGGTTTTTACACAAAATTATGACCGAATGCGTTGAAATCTTGTAGATGTTTTAAAGTTATGATAGGCATGATAAATTTTTCATCAAAATATATTTACTTATCTCCTTCAAAAAATTGATGACGTCAGCTCAAAATTTTGCCGAATAAATCCGATCTAAAATGTACAAAATATGATGAGTTTATGCCTGTGATTGCATTCATATTTTTTATATTTGCTTATACAGAGTGACAAAAAAAAAGAATGCGTGAATTTATTTAATAAATTGTTAATCAAAATGTATTTGCTCATCCGTCCTAAAAAAATGATGACGTCACCTCAAAATTTTGCTGAGTGTCTCAAAAAAATTAATGACTGAGTCAATTTATTTTTCTTCAGTTTTTCAATTTGCAATTTTTCGAGTTTTCAAGTTTAAAATTTTCAATTTTTCGACGTTTGATTTTTTCAATTTTTATATTTTGCAATTTTTCAGTTTTTTATTTTCGTTATTTTTTCAATTGTTTTTTTTTGTTTTTCAATTTTTAAGATATGGGACTGTTCGAGTTTTACATTTTAAAATTTTTCAGTTTTTCGATTTTCCAATTTTTGGATGTTTGAGTTTTCAGAATGTCTCACTTTTTGGATTTTTCAATTTTTGAAATTACAATTTTGCAATTTTTTTAGGTACGACTGATTTTAGCAAATCATATATCATCTAAGTAGATACAGGGCAGTGGGCGGGGCTAGTAATTGTCAAGATAAGATTGAATAATATTAAGAGTAGTCACTGGAATGAAGAGGGCGGGTGGGCGGGCCTAGTACATGCTAAGATAATACTACTTTTGGCAGATCACATACCTTCTAAGAAAATAGAGGGTGGGTGGGCGGGGGTAGTACTTGTCAAGATGATGATTGAATAATATTAAGAGTAGTCACTGGAATGAAGAGGGTGGGTGGGCGGGCCTAGCACATGCTAAGATAATACTAATTTTAGCAGATCACATGTCCTTTAAGAAAAGAGAGGGTGGGTGGGCGGGGGTAGTACTTGTCAAGATATGATTGAATAATATTAAGAGTAGTCACTGGAATGAAGAGGGTGGGAGGGCGGATCTAGTACATGCTAAGATAATACTAATTTTGGCAGATCACATATCCTCTAAGAAAAGAGAGGGTGGGTGGGCGGGGGTAGTACTTGTCAAGATGATGATTGAATAATATTAAGAGTAGTCACTAGAATGAAGAGGGCGGGCGGGCGGGCTTAGTACATGCTAAGATAATTCTAATTTTGGCAGATCATATACCCTCTAAAAAATAGAGGGTGGGTGGGCGGGGCTAGTACTTGCCAAGATAAGATTGAATAATATTAAGAGTAGTCACTGGAATGAAGAAGGGGTTGGTAGGCGGGGCTACTGCTTGCTTATGAAACATTTAACAATAAATGTGAATTGAATTTTATTTTAACAAGCGGTAGAATCTAAGATTTAAAACAAAGTAAAAAGGTGGGAGGGGTCCTTCCCACCCACCCTTATTCCGTTTTCATCATTCATTCTTATTGGTTTAGAAAGAATTTCACGAGTTTTCAATTTTTGATTATTCAATTTTTTTATTTTTCAATTTTAAAATTATAAAATCGAAAGAAATATTGAAAAAATAATGGAGTTGTAAAAAGGAAAAATCGTGATATGAAATCGAGACATTAAAAATGAAAAAATCGAGAATATGAAAAACAAAAATCAAGAACTTGAAAAATTGGGGAAACAAAAATGAAAAATCGAAAATTAAAAACAAGAAACTGCAAATGAAACAAAATGAAAAAACCAAAAATTGCGGAAAATGGAAAATTTAAAATCGAAGAAAACGGAAAAACGAAAAATTCTAAAAATTGATCGAAGGTAAATAAATCCAGATTAAAAAAAAATTATAAGGTTTGATTTTGCGAATTTTATTTGTGACACCAACCGGTTTTCCAGAATCGCCAGTTGAAATATCGCAATTTTAAAAAATTTCAAAATCGGATTTCACTCCGAATATTTCGAAAATATTGCCCCGGTATATTTTTGAAATTAGCACGTCAAAATCTTGAATACATACGAAAAAGTCTTTTTTTTCATTTTCATTTTTTAAATTGGTCGAAAATTTGTTTCGGGAGAACTTCCCTCGCACCGAAAGTGCAATGAATAAAAAAATATGAATGTAGTGATAAATTACATGTAAAAACCCATCGTATTTTGCACATTTTGAGTCGAATTTATTCGGCAATATTTTGAGATGACGTCATCATTTTTTGGGGGGGAATAAACAGACATATTTTGAATAATAATTTACCATGTTCACAATAACCTTAAAACGTCAAAGTATTCAGTTCTGCAATTCTTGATTTATTCAATTTAATAAATTGACTGATTTAATAAATTTGTTTGAGACACCCTGTATAATCAATTCTAAAATTAACGCAGTAATAAACCACAAGTATAGACTCATCATATTTTGCAGATTTAAGATAGAATTTATTCAGTAATATTTTGAGGTGACGTCATAAATGTTTTACGGGGGACGAGCAAATAAATTTTACCAAGCTTATGGTAACTTTAAAACATCTCCAAGATTTCAAAGCATTCGGTTTTAGTTCCTAATTAAATCAATAAAATAAATTCACGCATTTATTTTTTTTTGAGTCACCCTCTGTATAAACAAATCCAAAAAATATTAATGGAATGATAAACACACCTATAGACTCATCACATTTTGGGCATTTTAGATAGGATTTATACAGCAAAAATTTGAGTTGACGTCATCAATTTTTTGAAGGGGTAAGCAAATATATTTTGATTAATTGTGATGCATTTTAAAATATCTGCATCATTTCAAAGCATTCGGTTTCGCAAATTCAAAATTAAATTGTAAAATGTTAATTTTTTTTCCAAAAATCTGGACTTTTCGGGTAAAAATTCAACACCGCGTCATAAACTACATGTGTTGGATTATGTCATTTCATACTATTTAAAACCCATTTCTACCTGAGATTACCTGTCTAATAAAACTCCGGGACGGCAGACAGACGAACAAACAGACGGAAAAGGGGACATCAATTTCTTCGTACCCTAGGGGTCATGAAAGTTTGAGAAACCATAAGTACGTTCGGGAAGTAAAAATGTAATGTGTATAAACTTTCTTTTTTCTTTAGATTTTTTTTTAAGTGTAAATAATTCAAATTACCTGCCAGTAGAGATTGAAGTGTAATCATTTAAAATCGATGGTTTGTCAAAAGTACTTTATATAATTTATAGCCAAAATAATTAGTACTTAGTTGTAATCGCACCTAATTGACACTAATTAGAGATAGTAGTACTAGTAAAAACGCTCAAATTATAGTTAATTGCGTTTATTTAATTGATTTTGATAGCTATAGGCAAAAAGTACAAATAAAATTCTTTCCAGTACGTGGAAAGCATCGTCGCCTCCTACATGAAAATCCAAAAACTGAGCAACACAAAACAGTTCAAAACCTGGTTTTCGCGCGGCTGTTTCACCTCAGCCCAGAACATCCAAAGACTAGCCGAAAGTCTGACTCACGATTTAGCGGCTGCGGATAGCATAACAAGAAGAGCACTGGAAGTATGGTTGCAGGGCTCCACGGTATTAGGCCAGTTGCTCCTTTTTGTTTTCATGCATTTATATAACATTTCACATAAAGATAAATCGCAAGTCGCGCTCGAGAAAACGAGCGACGAGGCTCACTGCTCCACTGAAAGAGAGAAAGATAGAAGTTTGGTGCCATTTTGTAGAGGGCTCGATCTCATTCCTTCCTACCCTAGTCTCCTAGATTTGAATCAGATTGTATTTATAAACGCGAATCTGCCGCAGCAGTACCAGCTCGAGTGGAGGTTCTTGTTCAGCTCAGAGATACACGGCGAATCTTTCTCCACACTTATAGGTGCGCATGTTATTACATAACCTCAAATTGGGTTAAAAACGTCCTGGATTGTAGGTAGGATCGTCAATCAGGGACCGTCGGTTCTGGTGGTGGAGGACAGGAACGGGTACATGTTCGGGGGCTTCGCCCCCGCCAACTGGGCTCTCGGGCCAAATTTCTTCGGGGATGATAGTAGTTTTTTGTTTACGTTAGCGCCTCGAATGAGGATTTTCCCGTCGACGGGGTACAACCAGCACTTCCAGTACCTCAACTTGCACCAGCAGACGATGCCCAACGGCTTGGTAGGGCTGCAACCTTGAGTGTTTTCGTTTTTATTTAGGTGTGATTGTAGGCCATGGGGGGGCAGCACGGCTACTGCGGTCTGTGGATTGACAGCGAGTACGGCACGGGCCACTCGTCGGAATCCTGCACTACCTACTCCGGCTACCAGCAGATGTCCTACTCCAAGGACTTCAATTTTAGGCATTTGGAGGTGTGGGGGCTGGGTGCCCCTCCTCTTACTCCTCAGGAGAAGGGCGAACGCGTCATGAGCGGCACTAGCATCCTCGATTCGAACACCGAGAACAAAGCCATGCTGAAAATGGCGGGACGAACAATACACAGTGAAGGTATCAGGGAGCCTTCGAATTAAGAACGATGTTCGTTTTTTCGTTGAAATGCCTTAAACGGATTTTTCCCATTTGTCTGTACACGAGACGACAGCATCTCTTTAATCGATCCTATGAAATATTTTTATATGTGCCGTTGATTCAAACGCCAGTTGCTCAACGCTGGTGTTCAGTGTGGATTCTCGCTTTTACTACATCACGTTGCAGTCACTTTTTTCGGTTTTTATGATTTGTTACTTTCGTCGCAACTAACAGCACGGTTTGAAGTATTCAAATACCTTTGTGTCGAATTTTTTTTCGTAAACCGTAAAAGACTTATGTGCCAAAGATCTACTAGCACAACGTAGCAGCTTCACGTATTTATTATTATTTATGTACACTTTTTTTTCACTTTATTGTTATGAGTATAGATAGTTTAATATTTGTTATTTATGTGTCTTACATGTGATTATCGATTTTTAAGACATGTACAGTAAAATTTGTCAAATTAAACAAGTCCATAACAACAGAGATTGGAGTTTTATTAGCGGATAAGTTACGAAATAAATTACATTCATCGCTATCTTACAAAAAAAAGTGTAAATAAAAGTGGTAAAAAATGAATTCATTGAGATCACGATTCCCGCTTAGGCGAATCTGTAAATGCGAACTTCAGAACACGAAAAACACTGTTAGCGACAATATGGCGCTCGCTAAAATGGCCACGTCAAACCTACTCTAACATTCAATAAACATGTGCAACAATCTTCAACCAATTAAGCCCAAACCTACAATTCGTCACGAATTAGTGTGAAACTTTAACCCACCTGCACTCACCCTGAGAGTGTAGTCCCAAGACCCCGTCGACAACGCAGTGCCATCTGGCGACACTTGCAAGCATGAAACTCTGTTCTCGTGCCCGTACAACAAACACACCCTTACACACTTAAGGGTGTCCCAAACATTCACTGTATAGTCATTATACCCAGCGAACAGCAACCGCCCAGAGACCGAAAAATCCACAGAATTCACCCCAAAAATGATACTTTCTTTACTGTACACAGCCACTTCTTTGTCCGCCCTGAGATCAAACAGGCGACACTGAAACCAAAATGTCTTTCATGTCCTAAGGAACTTGACACTATACCGTTGCGTCGTCGCTTCCAGTGGCCACTGCGTCCCCGCTCGGGTGGAACTTGACGCTGTTCACATCGGACTCGTGCCCCTCGAACGACTGCACACACTGACCAGAGCGCATGTCCCAAATTAAGACCATCTTGTCGCAACTCTACAAATTAACCAATCATAAAGGGAGTGACAGCGCAGGCTCTAACCCCTGAAACAAACGTGTTCCCGGTTTCCGAGGGGGCCAGATCTATGCTCATGACGTCAGCCGAGTGCCCGTGAAAACTCTGCAGCAGCTGCCCCGACTCCACGTCCCACAAGGCACACGTCGAATCGCCGCTCCCTGTCAAAATCTGCTGGTCAGAATTGGGAAAAATACAACAGCTCATGTAGCTGGTATGCGTCCCAACCGTTTTTTTCTTGAGAGTCACGTCCTCGTCCAAACTCAGAGGATACACAGTGACTTTGTTATCCAAACCTCTGAAAGCAGCACTATTTACCCCCGCAAAGTCTGCTACAGGGGGCCCACTCAAACAAAGCTATTAAATTAAAACTACGATAGACAATAAGTGGGCCCCCTTGTGTTAGTGATAGTACCCGCAAGCTACTAAATTTCCGGAAGGTGCGTAAGCGCAAGCCATCACCCATGTTGTCGGCATGGTCACTGCATGCTCCTTGTTAGTGGTGAACGCGTCCCAGATTATCATTTTACCGTCCTAACACAAGCAATTAGTCAGATTGTAAGAAAAATACTACTGGGGTTACTTGTGAGGAAGACACGATGTGTCGCTTGTCGGGAGACCAATCCGAGCACAGGACTTTCGCCTGGTGGCCTTTCAGCGTCCGTCTCGGTTTAATGTTCATGTAGTTGATGATGTCCAAGCGATCGGCGACCGTTGCCACTAAAAATCGCACTGAATTGAAAGTATTGATTTTTGGAGGTCTTACAAGTGATGTCGTTCAGTTTTTGTCTTTCGTCTTCGAGTTTCTTTTTTAGGGCTTCCGCTTCTTTGGTGAGAGACTCGATGGTCTCGATAGGGCAGTCCTTGCCCTCCGTTTCAGTCATTTTTGGTTGAGTTTTGGATAACCTCCAAACACACCTCTGGCGATTTGACACTGATGACAATCAGCTGATGGCAGCCCCCACCACTTGATATTTATTATTTATGAAGATTTAACCAAATGTGAAACACACGAAAAAAATTAAGTACACCCCTTGTTACTTATGCATAACACCCGAACAGTATTAAATCGTCCAACGAAAATAGTGACCCTAACCTCAAAGTTACATAACCTCACTTTTAAAAATGTACCCCATGTACCGCTTAATTATAAACAATCTCAGACTATCGCAAAGAAACAACAAAGGCATTCATAGTTCTTCGATTTTAAACACTTTCTGGGAGAAAGATGATAAAGGGGGCTATAAAACGAAGACACAAGTACCCATGAAGGAGCGACTGCGGTTAGGGTTGCAAGAACTTAAACAAGAGATAGCTTTGTGGACGCAAGAGTTGAAAGAAGATTTCGAAAATGATCCCGTTTTAGTGTATAGACCAGGAGAGACTGACATAGTTTGGAAATTCGGTACTGAAGAGTCGCTGAAGCAGTGGGTAGTGACTTGTGATAGTGACCACGGGGAAGGTTTTAGTACGTGTGGTTTAACGTTATCGAACAATGGGCAGGGGTTGCTTTCTGGGGAATTGTCAACCAGAGTACCAAAAGACGGACGGGTGAAAAGAGCTGGTTATTGCAATATTAGAACTCTTAGAGCTAGAGTAGGTCATAGTTGGTGTCTATAACACATAATTAATTTCCTATTTCAGAAATCTTTTAAAAGAGAAGCGTACTTGAATTGGGTGGCTTATAACATGTTAGTGTTGAAAGTGAGAGGTGATGGACGGTCATATATGTTGAATATTAACACAAGGGGTTACTATGACGTTCTATGGAACGATATGTACCATTATGTACTTTACACACGAGGTGGTCCGTACTGGCAAGTCACAAAAGTGAGAATTTTCATATAGTGATTGACCATAATTAATTAACTTGTTTACAGATTCCGTTCTCGAAATTTTTTATGTCCTCGAAAGGTAGGGTGCAAGACAGGCAGTATCCGATTCCGTTGAACAAAGTGACAAATTTTGGGATATCAGTAGGAGATAAAATAAACGGGCCATTTTCGCTTGAAATTGATTATATAGGACTGGAGTATGACCCAAACCATACAGAAGAATTTGCATATGAACAGTATAAAGCACCAAAATACATTGTCTCGACGTAACTTTGCATTTTATTTATACTTTATACCTAAACTATTTCAGAAAAAAAATACAGATTATTAAATTGATTGTTGCGTCATACGCATGTTACGCCACTGGTGGCATGTAGACATTTCAATGACATTTCACAAACATAACCTCACTCTATTCCTCACTTTCAAAATGTTTATCAAGTGTACGTTTCCTGCACAAAGTACAAAAGATACATAAAATTGCATTTGCGATAAAAACAGTGACAAAATTTCGCATAACTAAACATATAGGTAGTACAAATTCATTAAATATTTATAAGGTAAAACTTGAAATAGCAAATGTGATCTTGCATTTCATACATTTTTGCAGTTTCAACAATGACCAGCTTAAGATTTAGCACTATTTTAATGAAAAGGGCGCTGGAGCGATGCAAGCGTCGCCCCCCCGTGACCATGCTGTGGTTACAACAGTACTTTCCTCAATGCTCAGGGTGCTCCTCACAGTACCGCCCCTTCTGCACTACGTCGAACAATGAAAATGAGCACTTCACGCATGGCAAACTTCTCCATAAAACCGACCTCAAGGCCTACATTAAACAGAACAAAGATAAGCTACGAAACACTGAACAACGACTCAAACATAAAGGAAGCGTGATTATCCAAGATATTAGAGAAACTACTGACAAAATGAAAGAAAAAGTTGAAGAAGTTATAGAGCGCGAAAATATTTATACTATACCCAACCTTCTGTGCGTTTCTAGAATACTCGTTTCGCCGTATTTGGGGATGTTGATTGTGCAGGCAGATTTTAATTTTGCTTTAGGTGTCTTGGGAGTTGCTGCAGTCACGGATTTAGTAATTATGTCAAGTAAACACAAACTGTTATTAGTTGACGATTTGTAGCTGGATGGCTGGATTGCTAGAACTTGGGAGAGTCAGTCTTCAAAAATGGGCAGTTTTTTGGATCCCATGGCTGACAAAGTCTTGATTGCTACTTTGTTTTTAACCCTCACGTACGCGGAATTGATACCAGTGGCCTTAACGTGTATGATTATCGCACGTGACGTGTTATTAGTGACCGCCGGATTTGTTATAAGATACAAATCTCTACCTCCACCTGTAAGTTTGGGTTGAAAGCACTGCTTGATGATTTTCATAAAACGGTAATGTTGCTTACTATTATTTTTCTGCAACGGTTTTATCCATTATGGAGAATGCAACAGGTGGTGTGAACATATATTTGCTTGTGTTTTAAGGACCTAAGTTAGATGAGTTTTTTTAGCGCACTTTGAGCAGATATTTTGACGTAACGCACGCCACTGCTCAATTGGCCCCTACGTTCATCAGTAAAGTTAATACTGGTGTACAACTGTTGTTAGTAGGTTCCACTTTAGCGGCTCCCGTTTTTCATTACGTGGGTCACCCAATGTTAGAGTGCTTGTGGTAATTTAGTGTTGATACAACCAAACTGGTTATTAATATTGACGTTTAAGGTACATAACAGGAGCGACGACTGTCGCAGCTGGGGCTAGTTATCTCGTTTCCAAAAATACTTACAGATTTTTGAAACAAACACAGCCTAAAAAGTAGATATTATAGACTGACTTTTGTATGAAGTGTGATATGAATGTATTTAGATACATTTTTATAAAATCCTTGTAGATTACGTATAACGCGATGGTTTTTAAAACTTAAAAAAAAATAAACTTTACTCAACTAGTTTACATAAAACGTCCTCGTTCATATAAAAATATATTTGGTAAAAATAAACGTAACAGTAAAATCAATCAGATCACTTTTTCGTTGCTAATTTCTTTTTGGCCTTCTGACCACTTCCAGACGGTTCCCCGAACTCGTACTTAGCTTTCAAACGCTCCCGAATCAACAACCCCCTAATCAACCTCTTCCAGTTTCCATAAACCCTCTTATCGATTTTTTCCTGCTCTCTTTTTTCAATCTCCTCTTGTTCCTTCAAACCCGCTATTAATTTAAACACCGCCTAATCCATCTAACTTACCACATCCCACGCCGCCACCAAAATATCAGCGAACTCTTCACAAACAATAAACCCATCGTACGTCGGATGGTTCCAGCCACCGTGAAAATCAAACCCTGTGAGCGCAGGCGCACAATCGATGTTCAGCTTCCTCGCAACTTTGTTCAACCCCGGTACTAAAACAAACTTTCATTTCTAATTCCGCGTTATTACAACCTGTTTACGTTTTAGGTGCACGGTGTTCTTGGGTAACATGCAGGGTTTGAACAACTCCACGTTACCGAAGGCGTTTCTAGGAACGACCCCGTTTTCGGCAGTGGGTGGTTCGTAGTCTTGGGTCTGCCAAGGACCGAAGATTTCGAGCATCTCCCCAGTGACTATGGAGTTGGACAACTGAAAATGATCATCAGGGTGCGTCTAGTGTGGCTAAAACACCTACTTTGTCCCATCGTGGTCTGGCTTTGACGATTTTGTAAGGTTGCTCACCGGGTTTGACCACTTTTGCGTGTTTCAACCAGATGTCTCTGGAGTGGAGGGTGTAGACGCATTGTCGGGAGTAAACGGGTTCGTTGCGGACAAAACCGAGGGTGGGGGCGTCGGGGGGATAGAGGGCTTCGAATTTGAGGAGGTGGCGCTTTAAGACGTAAAGAGGGTGATTTTTGTATCTGGAAATCAATCCTTAAAACCTATTACAACACAAATGGGTTATTTACTCTGCAATGGATGTTGGGAGAGGTTTTTCTAAGTGTTGTCTTTCTAATTCGTCGTCTTCCTCCTTGTCTCTGGGGGTTTTGCGACCCGTGAAGGGTTTCAGCGACTCTGACCACCATTTCGAGTCTATTCGGAGCTTCCTGGTCACTGTATTGTAGTTCGTGCAATATCGGCGTGTTATGTCTTTAAGTGTGTTGTCGTTGTTCCACGCCAGAATGTACGAAACAGGGTGACTCGCCCTAGTCTAAAATTGCATTTAGCGTTTCATTTATTCATTCCTATAACTTGACTTACAAATAACTCATTCACACAATGTACTTGTCCTTTGATGACGTCCACGCTAACCCACTTCTCTTCGTTCTCCAAGAAAACTTCCACCCAAGTATCCACTCCCAACTTCCGCTTTATTTTTTCTTCGTCTTCACCGTCCTTCTTCACTTGTACTCTCCTCTTCACTTTTACTTTCGGCGTAAACTCATCCTCACTTTTACGTTTTTTGTTTACAGCTTCCGGTACATAGTCACTGTCGTTCTCACTCTGCTGTCCGCTCTTTCTCTTTCTAACCGTACGACTCTTACTAATATCCTTCTGCTCCTTGATACTCTTCTTCACCAACTTCAACACGTCGTTTCGCACATCCACGCTTTTAGGGACGTGAGTTTTGAGTTTTTTCAAGTTGGCACCATTGGTTTTCGGGGAGTCGTTCTTGTTCGAGAATGGGCTCCTCGCGTTTGCGAAGTCGTCCTCAGAGTCAGAGTCTTTGTATTTCGTGATGCTTTTCAGGCGTTTGGGGTGATGTCTGACGGGACAAGGGGGCGCCTTTTGTTTGAGTTTCTTTAGGTTTGGTTTGGTGGGGCTCTTAGGGTCGTTGGCCCCATCCACTTGAGGTATAACCGCTTCAGAACGTAGTTTTCGAGTATTGGAAGTTCCGGGTTTTCTGGTACTTTCACTTTTTTTTACTTGTTTGTCTTTCGGTTTCACTTCGCTCGTACTTTTCGACCTGGTGCTGGTTTTGGGTTTGAGATTATTTTCCTGGGTTGTAGTTTTGGATGCGTTTTTCGCCTCGCTGCTACTTTTAGAACGCGATTTTGTTTCCTTCAATTTAATACCACTACTACTTTTGGTTTTCTTTTCGTTTTCCTCCTTGCTTTCACTAGTGAGGTTATTTTCCTGGGTTGTACTTTTGGATCTGGTGGTGGTTTTGGGTTTAGGGTCTTTCGTGTCACTTTTGGGTGCGTTTTTCGGTTCTTTTTTGGTTTTGGCTTGTTCAGAACTGGAATTAGTTTTAGAACGCGATTTTGCTTCCTTCAATTTATCACCACTTTTGGTTTTCTTTTCGTTTTCTTCCTTGCTTTCGCTAGCACCTGCATTGGCGCTCAGTGAAAGCAAATCGCTATTAGGCGGTCTCAACGGTTCAACTTGGAACGATAAAACCAGCCGACAATGAATCCCCAAAGACCTCATCACCGCCACGAAAATATAAACCAACATCTTCTTATCATAAGCCTCTTTTTTGGTAATTTGTGCCTCCAACAACTCCTCCAGAGACTTTCCTTCAGGGACTTTCTTCTCCACATTGACTACAGCGTTCCTAAACCACTTCAATATCTGCTCCAAGTAAGTCAGGTCTGCGCGGCCATCAGGATAGCTTTTTTCCGACGGCAGCAACGACAGCGCCATCGCTAAGACATTCTCGGAATTAATTTTAGAACTGACATAAATGCCGTGAGCAATCCAACATAATAAGTGAACTTTGTGGACTAGAAGCTGATTTTCTTTGCGCACTCTGTTAATGCGCCGTTTTATCGCCGCCAGTAAATCAACCTCCTTCTTTTTTCTAACAACCCCGGGCATGTCCACTGTGATCTGCAAACCCTCTTTAGGAATCAAACTTTTTTCTTTCTCTTTTAGCTCTTCTTTCACTTCTTCCCAGCCCTCTTTCTCTGAATCAGAACACGACTCAAAGTCGCTGGAGTGCAAACTCTCCTTGATTGTATTCATATCACCTAGTTTGGCTTCTCCAGCTGCCAATAAATTCTCAATTGTTGTTTCTTTCATTTGCGCTCTTCGCTTTGCGTTGTACTCTTCAACTTTCTGTTTCGCTTCTTCCATTTTTTTCGCGTATTCGTGCAGCTGCCCAAAATTTAGCTTAGAAGTTGAAGGCAAATTTTTCACAACTTCTGTAATTTCCTCTTGAGTTGTGGGTTCATCGTCGGATTCGGAATCAGTTAACCTGCTCACACCAGCGAGAATATCGTTTTCGATTTTATCGAACGACGGTGGTTCTTTAGGGAGGTTAAAAAACGGAGAATCGAGATCGATCTTGTCCGGGTGTTGAAGATAATTCTCGATGTCGCTTTCGCTTGACGAATCATCATCTTTCGGAGATTTTCGCTTCCCGTTAGTGAGTGAGGCGAGAGGCTCATCGTCGTCACTGCTATCGGACGGGAGATTTTTGACCGTGCGTTTTCGAGGCATCCTTAAAATTTTCAAACTACACGGTTTTATCAGAGTTTCAACCCGCACAAACCATGTGTGTGTTGTTTCGTGGTTAGACGTCTAGAAAAACGCAATATTACGCAACTAATTATTGTAGTCCTTCAAATATATAAACAAAAAATTCCCGCCAAAAGTGAAGGTCGCTAAAACAAAACCGCTGCACTGACGCGTGTTTTTATTTACGTGCGTCCAGTGACTCCAGTGCGTGCTTACTTTGGCACGTTGCTGCGATTTTAAGTAATTTGAAAAAAAATTACAAATGAAGAAAATCAAAAAGTAAGGTTATACAATTCCGACTACTTACGACTATGCGAAAACCACGAAGTGTTACTAAAAAAGGGTCCTTTCCACGATACTGACAACGACTTTTCTTTTGAAATTCACATTCAACTTGTACATTTAACACTTAAATGGCTTAAATTAAAAAAAAATGTTTCTTGATATCACTAGCACTTGTCTGAAGTTAGCAGCAGTACTTTTTATTTCCGTGTTATTGCTTGTTTTGTTGGATTATGATCCGTAGTGCTTGGGACATACGACCGTCGCTTTAGTTCTTTCGCGTTGCATGGTTGGTGCAACTTCGTTTCTAACCTCGTGCGGGATTGTGGATTTTTCAATGTTATTTTGTGACAATTAAATAATTTTAAGCATCGAATTGTGAACAATTCATCGAAATGGCTAACCATTACGTCGTTACGGCCCACAAGCCGACGGCCGTAACAGCCTGTGTCACAGGTAAACCCCCCAGTCCGCGGAAACTCCATCAATAACATAACCTTTCTCCACAGGCAATTTTACTTTGCCAGGGGATTTAAACCTAATCGTGGCGAAGAACACCCGATTGGAAATATACTTAGTCACTCCGGAAGGCTTGCGGCCTGTCAAAGAAGTGGGGCTGTATGGGAAAGTAGCTGTGATGAAACTCTTTCGGCCACAAGTGAGTGTTGACACTGTGAGATTGTGCGTCTTACTTTTTGTCCGCAGCACGAGAAGAAAGATTTACTCTTTATCGTTACTATGCGCTACAATGCGATGATTTTGGAGTGCGTGAATGATGGAGACAACTTGGATATTATTACGAAAGCACATGGGAATGTCGCCGACAAAATTGGAAAACCGTCGGAAACGGGGATTCTGGCTGTAATTGATCCGAAAGCCCGTGTAATCGGGCTGCGGTTGTACGACGGTTTGTTCAAGATAATTCCTTTAGAGAAAGACAACTCAGAACTGAAAGCTTCAAATATTAGGTGACTACTCAATCTGACTAATGCGCACCAAATTACGTTAAAAATTTCAGAATCGACGAGTTACAAGTTCACGATGTGGAATTTCTGCACGGTTGTGCAAATCCCACTTTAATTTTAATCCATCAAGACGTGAACGGTCGGCATGTGAAAACCCACGAAATTTCTCTTCGTGAAAAGGAGTTTGTTAAAGTGCCGTGGCGACAAGATAACGTCGAAACCGAAGCCTCCATGATCATACCGGTGCCGTCCCCGCTAGGGGGCGCCATCATCATAGGTCAAGAAAGCATTCTTTACCACGACGGTATGACCTCAGTTGTGGTGGCTCCTTCGGTAATCAAACAAAGCACCATCGTGTGCTACGCTAAAGTGGATCCCGGCGGCCTGCGCTACCTCCTCGGGGACATGGCGGGGCACCTGTTCATGTTGTTCCTCGAGGTGGAAAATCGCGGCGAGGGAAACGACGCAGTCAAAGACTTGAAAGTGGAGTTGTTGGGGGAAATTGCGACTCCCGAATGTATAACGTACTTAGATAATGGGGTTTTGTTTATTGGGTCGAGAATGGGGGATTCTCAGCTGGTGAAATTGACCACAAAGCCAAACGACAGCGGGTCGTACGTCACCGTGATGGAGTCGTTCACGAATTTGGCGCCTATTTTGGATATGTGTGTGGTTGATTTGGAGAGGCAGGGGCAAGGGCAGCTGGTTACCTGTTCGGGGGCTTTCAAGGAGGGGTCGTTGAGGATTATTAGGAATGGGATTGGGATTCAGGAGCACGCGTCGATCGATTTGCCAGGGATTAAGGGCATGTGGGCGTTGCAAGTGGCTTCAGGTGAGTGTTCATTCTCTAAACATAAGTGACATAAGAATGAAAGAAGGTTGGTATAATAACAAATTCCCCTATATTATTTTTAAAGAAATGTTATTAGCGTTGGCGGCACTGACAACTTTTTTAATCAAGTGACTAGGGCGCTTAAACGTCATTTTAAATATGTCATTCATGTCATTATAAGTGCACCATACGGTGGTTCACCCTGATGGAATTCAAACGAATTTTTTGTTTTTGGCTGAGCCAATTGTGAATTATTGTCTAGCATGACAAGAATTCGCTCCTGATTTTCCCAAATATGCAGAATTTAGATTAGCAGCTAGAATATTTATGGTGTTTAAGATCCCAAGTTATATTCTTATTAAAACATTTGGGGGCCTCGAGAAGGTTTGGCATTAAAAAAAAAAAAAAACCGTTGGGACCTTCGAGAAGGTTTCACATTAAAAAAAAAAAACAGTTGGGACCTCCGAGAACATTTCACATTAAAAAAAAGACATTCAGCGCTCCCGAGAAGGTTTTATATTTTTAAAAAAGACAGTTGGACCCCCGAGAAAGTTTTACATTTTTAAAAAAGATAGTTGGGCCCCCGAGAAGGTTTCACATTGAAAAAAAAAAAACATTTGGGCCCCCGAGAAGGTTTTACATCTTTAAAAAAGACAGTTGAGACCCCCGAGAAGGTTTCACATTAAAAAAAAAGACATTCGGCGGCCCCGAGAAGGTTTTACATTAAAAAAAAAAACAATTGGGACCCCCGAGAAGGTGTCACATTAAAAACAAAATACATTTGGGGCCCCCGAGAAGGTTTCTCGTTCTTAAAAAAAAGCCATTTGCCCCCCCGGGAAGGTTTTACATTTTTAACAAAGATAGTTGGGACCCCCGAGGTTTCATTAAAAAAAAGACATTCGGCGTCCCCGAGAAAGTTTTACATTTTTAAAAAGACAGTAGGGCCCCCGAGAAGGTTTCACATTGAAAAAAAAAAACATTGGGGCCCCCGAGAAGGTTTTACATTAAAAAAAAAACAATTGGGACCCCCGAGAAGGTTTCACATTAAAAACAAAATACATTTGGGGCCCCCGAGAAGGTTTCTCGTTCTTAAAAAAAGCCATTTGGCCCCCCGAGAAGGTTTTACATTTTTAACAAAGACAGTTCGGACCCCGAGGTTTCACTAAAAAAAAGACATTCGGCGTCCCCGAGAAGGTTTTACATTTTTTAAAAAGACAGTTGAGCCCCCGAGAAGGTTTCAAATAAAAAAAAAAGACATTCGGCGCCCCCGAGAAGGTTTTACAATAAAAACAAAAAAAAAACAGTTGAGACCCCCGAGAAGGTTTCACATTAAAAAAAAAAAAAATACAATTGCGGCCCCCGAGAAGGTTTCACATTCTTTAAAAAAAGCCATTTGGCGCCCCCGAGAAGGTTTTATATTTTTAACAAAGACAGTTGGGACCCCCAAGGTTTCACTAAAAAAAAAGACATTCGGGGACCCCGAGAAGGTTTTACATTTTTTAAAAAGACAGTTGGGATCCCGGAGAAGGTTTCACTTAAAAAAAAGATATTTGGGGCCCCCGAGAAGGTTTTAAATTTTTAAAAAATACAGTTGGGACCCTCGAGAAGATTTCAATTCTAAAAAACCATTTGGCGCCCCCAAGGAGGTTTTACATTTTTAAAAGAGACAATTGGTACCCCCGGGAAGGTTTCACATTCTTAAAAAATATATTTGGAGGCCCCCGAGAAATAAAAATTTGTTATGGCGTCATAAACATAGATAATACACAATGCGACAGAAAAAGAAAAAAAAAAACTGAAAGGCCAAGTTTGGAATCGAACCCGCGACGTCCGGCCCGCATTCCTGACTCGCAAAGATGGATCATTTTAAATTCTACATGGTGAGTCATCAGAATCTGACAACGGACTGTCAGTCAGTAGCGTAACATGCACACTTCAGAAGGGGGATGGTTGTTTTTTAAATTTATTTTGTTTTTTTTTTTTTTTAAATGGCAAACAATAATACAGGGAAACTACTTTTTTCATACTCTAGGGCATGAAATGTCGAGAAAATGTAAAAGTGGTCATCCCTCCGATGAACTCAGGAAGTGAAAAGGTACCTACCCACATACACAATTTTTAATTTCATTGGCTTAATTTATAGGATAAAAAGTGGATTTCATATTGATAACTAGTGGAATCTAAGATTATTTTATTCACTGTGAGATGAAGATTGAATTTTATTTTGTTAAGATGTTGAAATTAAAAAAACTTCGAAGTGGCCCCGCCGACCCACCCGATTTCTTTCTCGATCACTTATTTTATTGGACGAAAAGTGGATTTTATATTGATAAATTGTGAAATCCAACAAAAAACTACCACCCACCTCCACTTTTGAATTTCATTGGTTTATTTTATTTAGTGTGAAATGAAAATTGAATTTTATTTTGTTAAGTGTTCGAATCTACGATTAAGAAAAACTTCGAAGTGGCCTCGCCCACCCACCCGGTTTTCTTCTCGATCACTCATTTTATTGGACGAAAAGTGGATTTTATATTATTAAATAGTGAAATCTAAACAAAAAATGTAAAACTAATCCCACCCACTTCCATTTTTGAATTTCATTGGCTTACTTTATTGGACGAAAACTAGATCTTATTTTGATAAATACTGAAACTTATACAAAATAGGTAAAACTAATCCCACCCATCTCCACTTGTGAATTTCATTGATTTGTTTTATTTACTGTGAGATGAAGATAGAATTTTATTTTGTCAAGTATTCGAATCTGCGATTGAAAAAAAAATTCAAAGTGGTCCCGCCCACCCACCCGGTTTTCATCTAGATCACTCATTTTATTGGTTGAAAAGTGGATTTTATATTGCTAAATCGTGAAATCTAAACAAAAAAGGTAAAATTAATTCCACCCATATCCACGTTTGAATTTCATTGGTTTATTTTATTTACTGTGAAATGAAGATTGAATTTTATTTTGTCAAGTTTCGAATCTGCGATTGAACAAAAAACCTCAAAGTGGCCCCGCCCACCCACCCGGTTTTCATCTCGGGCACTTATTTTATTGAACGAAAAGTGGATTTTATATTGATAAATAGTGAAATCCAAACAAAAAAGATAAAATTATCCCACCCACCTCCACTTTTGAATTTCATTGGTTTATTTACTGTGAGATGAAGATGGAATTTTATTTTGCCAAGTTGTCAAAATGTTTAAAAAAAACTTCGAAGTAGCCCCGCCCACCCACCCGCTTACTTCTCGATCACTCATTTTATGGGACGAAAAGGGAGGGTATTTTATATTGGTAAATAGTGAAATTTAAACGAAAAAGGTAAAACTAATTCACTTTTGCATTTCATTGGTTTATTTTATTTACTGTGAGATGAAGACAGAATTTTATTTTGTCAAGTGTTCGAATCTTCAAAGTGACCCCGCCCACCCACCCGGTTTTCATTTTGATCACTTATTTTATTGGACGAAAAGTGGATTTTATATTGAAAAATAGTGAAATCCAAACAAAAAAGGTAAAATCAATCCCACCCATTTCCACGTTTGAATTTCATTGGTTTACTTTATTTACTGTGAGATGAAGATTGAATTTTATTTTGTTAAGTTTCGAATCTGGGATTGAAAAAAAAACTTCAAAGTGGCCCCGCCCACCCACCCGGTTTTCATCTGGTGCACTTATTTTATTGGACGAAAAGTGGATTTTATATTGATAAATAGTGAAATCCAGACAAAAAAGGTAAAATTATCCCACCCACCTCCACTTTTGAATTTCATTGGTTTATTTATTGTGAGGTGAAGATGGAATTTTATTTTGCCAAGTTGTCAAAATGTTTTAAAAAACTTCGAAGTGTCCCGCCCACCCACCTGCTTACTTCTCGATCACTCATTTTATTGGACGAAAAGGGAGGGTATTTTATATTGATAAATAGTGAAATTTAAACGAAAAAGGTAAATCTAATCCACTTTTGCATTTCATTGGCTTACTTCATTGGACGAAAACTAGATTTTATATCGATAAATATTGAAATCTAAACAAAATAGGTAAAACTAATCTCATCCATCTCCACTTTTGAATTTCATTGGTTTATTATATTCACTGTGAGATGAAGACAGAATTTTATTTTGTCAAGTGTTCGAATCTTCAAAGTGGCCCCGCCCATCCACCCGGTTTTCATTTTGATCACTTATTTTATTGGACGAAAAGTGGATTTTATATTGATAAATAGTGAAACCTAAACAAAAAAGGTAAAACTAATGCCACCCATCTCCACTTTTGGATTTCATTGGTTTACTTTACCACTTTTGGATTTTATTGGTTTACTTTATTTACTCTGAGATAAAGATTCAATTTTATTTTGTCAAGTGTTCGAATTTACGATTAAAAACACTTCAAAGTGGCCCCTCCCACCCACCCGGTTTTCTTTTCGACCACTCATTTTATAGGACCAAAAGTGCATTTTATATTACCAGATAGTGAAATCCAAACAAAAAAGCTAAAACTAATCCCACCCATCACAACTTTTGAATTTCATTGGCATATTATTTTGGACGAAAAGTGGATTTTATATCGATAAATAGTGGACCCTAAACAAAAAAGGTAAAACTAATCCTACCCATCTCTATGTTTGAATTTCAATGGTTAATTTTATTTACTGTGTGATGAAGATTGCATTTTATTTTGTCAAGTGTTCGAATCTACGATTAAAAAAAACTTCAAAGTGGCCCCGCCCACCCACCCGGTTTTCTCTCAATCACTCATGTTATTGGATGAAAAATGGGTTTTATATTGATAAATAGTGGAATCTAAACAAAAAAGGTAAAACTAATCCCACCCACTTCCACGTTTGGAATTTCATTGGTTTATTTTATTTACTGTGAGGGGAAGATTGAATTTTATTTTGTCAAGTTGTCGAAATACTTAAAAAACTTCGAAGTGGTGATAAATCCTAAAACAAATGTTTCGTCATTATTATCTTATTTACAAAACCTAAGATCAGTTGACATAACCTATAATTTTAGAACAATGATAGGCTATGCTCTGGTATATTCTGTGCGAAAAACAATTTCTCTAACCCTAAATAACTCCCTAAGGTACACTCCGATTTTTGAAAATTTGACATTGCTTGTCACACATGAAAAATAATAGTGGGCGGCCAATCACAAGCGAGTGCAAGCGCCACGTTATGCAGTGACAACTTGTGATTGGTTGATTAATACGATTACTGGAGAAAACGACATGGGGTTAAAACTGAGTTTAACAATTTCAGACGGTCGTTTGGACAACACTCTGGTTCTCGCGTTCGTCGGCCAGACTCGAATTTTAAGTCTAAATGGTGAAGAGGTGGAAGAAACAGACATTTCGGGTTTTGCTTCCGACCAACAGACTTTCTACTGCGGCAATGTTATTCACGAGCAAATTATTCAGGTGACACCCCTTTCAGCTAGGTTAGTGTCAGCTCAAAATAAAACGTTATTATCCGAGTGGAAGCCACCTAGCGACAAAAACATAGGAGTAGTAGCATGCAACAATACACAAATAGTTGTTTCCACTGGTTCAATCTTGTATTATATAGAAATTCATCAAAACGAGCTCATAATGAAAGGGTAATAAAATCACGCACGTGAATAAAACTGAGTTTTAAAAAACTTTGTCGCAGGACGACCACTTTGGACGTGGAAGTAGCTTGTTTAGATATCAGTCCGTTGGGTGAAGGTGCTGTCGGTTCGGAATTCATAGCGGTAGGTTTGTGGACTGACATCACGGCGCGAATTTTGCGCATTCCGGACATGTCCGAAGCAACCAAAGAGTATTTAGGAGGAGGTACAATGACCACGTGCCGGTAAAACTGTACTCACTTTGTATTGATTGCAGAAATCATACCTAGGTCAGTTCTCATGACCTGTTTCGAAGGTCACAACTACCTGTTATGTGCCTTGGGAGACGGATCAATGTACTATTTTGTTTTTCACAAAGATACGGGAACTCTGAGTGATAAGAAACGCGTCACTTTGGGCACGCAGCCGACAGTTCTGAGAACTTTCAGGTCGTTGAGTACCACGAACGTGTTCGCTTGCTCGGACAGACCCACGGTGATTTACTCGTCAAACCACAAACTCGTCTTTTCAAATGTCAACATGAAAGAAGTCAATCACATGTGTTCGCTCAACGCTGAAGCGTACCCAGACAGTTTGGCCTTGGCTACGGATTGTTCGGTGACGATTGGAACAATCGACGAAATACAGAAGTTGCATATACGGACGGTGCCTTTGCAGGAGTCGCCGAGGAGGATAGCGTATCAGGAGGACTCGCAGGTGGGTGAAACTACTCACTATTTTATTATTTGTAATCATTTGTAATAATAGACGTTTGGAGTCCTCACCGCGCGCATCGACATTCAAGATTCTACCGGCTTGAACCCGGCGCGACCGAGCGCCTCAACAATGGCGCAGTCGGTGACCGCCTCCAGCAGCGTGGGGTCACTCTCGATGACAAAGTCGAGCAGCAGCACCCTGATCGGCGGCAACATCATCCCCGACTATGGTCAAGAAGTCGAGGTCCACAATTTGCTCATCATCGATCAACACACCTTCGAGGTCTTGCACGCCCACCAGCTCATGCAACAAGAATACGCCATGTCGCTCATCTCCACGAATCGACTAGGCTCGGACATGAACGAATACTACGTCGTGGGAACCGCCATCGTCAACCCCGAAGAGTCCGAACCGAAACAAGGTCGCATCCTCATTTTCCACTGGAACGACAACAAACTCACCCAAATCTCCGAAAAGGAAATCAAAGGGGCGTGTTTCTCGCTGGCCGAGTTCAACGGCAAACTCCTCGCGAGCATCAACAGCACAGTGAGGCTATTCGAATGGACCGTCGAGAAGGAGCTGAGGCTCGAGTGCTCCCACTTCAACAATATACTCACGCTGTATCTGAAAACGAAGGGGGATTTCATTCTCCTGGGGGACCTCATGCGGAGCATGACGCTATTGCAGTACAAAACGATGGAAGGAAGTTTCGAGGAGATCGCCAGGGACTTCAACCCCAACTGGATGACGGCCGTGGAGATTCTCGACGACGATATTTTCCTGGGGGCCGAGAATTCGTTCAACATTTTCGTGTGTCAGAAAGACAGCGCGGCCACGACTGACGAGGAGAGGTCGCAGATGCATGAAGTGGGGCAGTTTCACGTCGGGGACATGATCAACATGTTCAGGCACGGGTCGCTGGTTATGCAGAATTTGGGGGAGACGTCGACGCCGACTACGGGGTGTGTGCTCTTCGGAACGGTAGGGGGCGCCATAGGTAAGAACTTAAGTATGGTGTGGTTATCTAACCAAGATTTTTTTTGTTGGTTTCATTGTTGGTCTTAAAGAGCGTGCGCAAGCAGTGTTGCCAGACGTAGCGACATTCCGCTACCGGTAGCGGAATTTTGACCACAGCGCAAAAAACCTGGAAATGTAGCGGAATTTTTTTGAGTAACTGGAGGCAAATACACAAGTTATTACGGGCGTGTGGCGGCAAATTTAAAATTATGGCAGTCAACAAGAGAACAAAATTTTAATAAAAACTATGCAGCGGCATCAGAGTCAATTTCATTCTAGAGTACAACAAGAATAGTAAAATACCCATCGGCGTTGTAGCACGAGCGGAGTTTGGGGCTCCAGGTCGTGGCTGTTCTCTTACCCACGACAGTGATTTTATCTATCGCAAGCACTGTCGCCCAGCACCCCAAGAGTGTCTAGACGAGCAAGTCGTTACGTCGTAACCTGCATCTTTTGTGCAGGTGGTGCGATAAATCCCGCCAGCTCGACTAGGAACCGCGCCCTCCGCTTCTGCCAAGTGTTTCTGCGTTATTTAACCTCAATTCCATTTAAATGTTCAGTTTCTATGATTCTGACATTAAACTACAACTGAACAACTGTTAAGGTTTCAAAAAGAGCAATAAACAACATTTAAATTCGTCATTTACATAAAAAAAAAACTAGCAGAGATTTATAAAAAGAAAAGATCTGATGTAAAATAAAACTTGTGCAGACAAAAATATTACGTGAGGTTAGAAACTGCAGAGTATGAAAGTTTACATTCAATTTAAATTATACAGCACAGAAAATTATTAAAGTTAAAATTGTAAGATAGAGAAAAATTGCATGAGGTGAAAATTGCAAAGCTAGCAAATTTACATCTGATTAATATTTGACACACTTTATCAATTCAAACAAAGAATTTACATTACGTTAAATTATGCCACACTTTATCAACTATTCAAACAAAGAATTTCTATGATGTTACATTATGCCATGATCTAAGTGGTTGGTTACTTAAAACAATTTCTTTTGAGGGTTTATATCGTGGACCGTTTATCGCAAACAAAACACATGATAAATAATCACAAAATGCATCAGGCGTTGCGAGGAAAACTCCTCGATGATGTAGTTATCCACGGTTGCGAGGAAAATGCGTCTCGGTGATGTGATGATGGTAACGATGATAACTGTCTAAGGAGACAAATCTTTAATCCCCCGTCAGTCCACGATTAACCGAGTCCTGACTAAACGAATCTCATGAAAACTCCTGTAAGTGTTTTTCTAAACACTTTCCTGATTGTTAAATTGCATTAAACTAGTTAACAATCAAACTCCTAACATGAACTGTGAATTTACAAACGATGAATTAAATTTACACGTGTTCCGATTAGAACGCCGCAAGAATTAGCTACGCCTGTTACGATTAATTGTCGTTACACAAAGGCTTCCTCCCTTTTATTAACTCCCAACCCAACTAAATTAACCTAGTCAACTTACCGCGTCTTTTCACCATGCTTTCACACAGAGAACCAAACCAACAATGTCAGGGTCGCGACCCCCTCCCTCTCTACAAAGCAAGCCGCCATCTTCTCGCGCTACCAACCCTCTAACTAAAATTTCAAGCAGAACTGCACACTACCCAAAAAGCGTTAACGTGCACATGGTTGCTTATGTTTAACGATTTTTTTTTTTAAATTCAAATTATTCAAATGTGATTTCGCGCTGTTGTCAATTATTTCAGCGCGAAAATGTTATTTTGAAAAGCAGATGTAAACTTAGACATTTCTTTTATTTTACCCCACCCACGTGATGGTTGCCTGCAGCGGCCTGTAGCGGAGTTTTACCAATTAACTCTGGCAACACTGTGCCCAAGAAACGTACTATTTTTTTTTTTTTTGGAAAACTAATTGACGTTTTAGGTCTGGTGACGCAAATCAGCTCAGATTTCTACGACTTTCTCCTGGAGTTACAAAACAAACTCGCCACTGTCATAAAGTCAGTGGGTAAAATTGAACACTCTCATTGGAGGGCGTTCAACACAGATATCAAAACAGAGGCTAGTGAGGGTTTCATAGATGGGGATTTGATAGAGAGCTTTTTGGATTTATCGCATGATAAAATGAAGGAAGTGGCTGAAGGTCTGCAGGTAAGGACTTAACATACTTTGGGAAATCTTTTTACGGTGTCCATGAATGAATAAATTTTATTCACAATCGGTCAGTGATGTGAAACTTTCAAACTTTTTAAAAGTTTGGAAGTGAGCTATTACATACTTCATTTCAAGCTCAAGGGTGGAAAGTGACATATGTCACTTTTCTGTCACTTTCCACCCAAGAGGTGGAAGTGAATGTCACTTTCGACCCTAAAACGTTACGTATGTGTAATTCATGGCAGATGGAAATCAGCGGTTATAAATGTAAGGGGACCCTGTGGTCAAGACTTTGTCACCATAACGATTTTAACTGTGTTTTAAGTTTCTTGTTGTTAAAAGATAGCTATGTATATTAAGAAAAAACAACGTAAAATATAAACCCCGCCCACCCGCCCTATCTCTATTCTGATGATGTTTTTTTATTCGTCGTGAGCCAATGGGGCGGAGCTTAACTGCAAAATCCTTATTTCTCAACGAGAAATTAAAAACATGTTTTTGAGTATCGTGTTGTTCAAAGAATACTACTCCTATTTATTATTAAGAAAAAAAAAAGAGCCGAAGATTAGGCCCCATCCATACCCGCCTCGATCTCAATTCTCAATTGTGATGAATTTTTCATTCGTTGTCAGATCGAGGGGCGGGGTTTAATTGCAAGATTCATATTTACCATTTTAAACATGTTTTATGTTTCTTCTTCTGAAACGACGACTACGTATATTAAGGAAAAGGCAAAATATAAGTCCCGCCCTATCTCAATTGTGATGATTTTTTTTTTAGTCGTCGAGAGCCAAAGTAGAGGAATTTAATTGTAAAATTCTTATAATTTGTCTACAAGAAATTACCATGTAAGACATGTTTTTGAGTATCGTGTCTTTCAAAGAAACCTATGTATATTACGAAAAAATTAAAGCCAAAGATTAGGCCGCAGCCATACCTGCCTTGATTTAAATGATAATTAAGTTTTTATTCGTTGGCAGACCTAGGGGCGGAGTCTAATTACATACCCCATATTTCCTTACAAATGTTTACCATTTTAAACGTGTTTTAACTTTCTAGGAATAAAAGAAATCATCACAATTTTATATTTATATTTTTCCCTTCTTTCTTAATGTACATAGTATTCTTTGAACAACACATTACTCCAAAACATGTTTTTAATTTCTTGTAAAGAAATAGGAATTTTGCAGTTAAGCTCCGCCCCCTTAGTTCACAGAGAATAAAAAAAAATCAGCACAATTGAGATAGAGCGGGTGGGCGGGCTTACAGTATTACTTTTTGTTTTAATATGTGTAGACTTCTTTTCACAACATGAAACTTAACACATGTTTAAAATGAAAAATGTGTATAAGGAAATATCGATTTTGCAATTAGGCTCCGCCCCATAATTGCAATGTCTATATTTCGTTGCAAAAATGTACGACTTTAGCTATATTTTAAGTTTCTTGTTGTGAAAAGATGGCTATGTATGTTAAGAAAAAAAAGCAAAATATAAGCCCCGCCCACCCGCCTTATCTCAATTCTGATGATGTTTTTTTATTCGTCGTGAGCCAAGGAGGTGGAGCTTAACTGCAAAATCCTTATTTTTCAACGAGAAATTAAAAACATGTTTTTGAATCGTGTTATTCAAAGCAACCTATCTATATTACCAAAAAATTAAAGCCCCACCCATACCTGCCCCGATCTAAATAGTAATGAAGTTTTCTTTCGTTAGCAGACCTAGGGGCGGAGTCTAATTGCAAAATCCATATTTCGTTAAAAAAAATACCATTTTAAACGTGTTTTAAGTTTCGGAGAATAAAAAAAATCATCACAATTGAGATGGGGTGGGTGGGCGGGGTTATATTTTGCCTTTTTTTCTTACTGTACTTGGTATTATTTGAATAACACGATACTCAAAAACATGTTTTTAATTTCTTGTAAAGAAATAAGTATTTTGCAGTTAAGCTCCGCCCACTTGCTTCACCGTGAATAAAAAAAATCATTACAATTGAGATAGGGTGGGTGGGAGGGTTTAAATTTTTCCCCCATTTTATTTCACATTATTATCACCGTCCATTACGTTGAGTTTGACGTTTGTCAATGTTAAAAAGTTGAATTTGATTAGCAATTTGAGGGATAAATCTATTTAAACGATTGTGAATAAAATAGTATTTAAACCTCGGCAAAAGTACCATTACCAGTATACTATATAAAAGCAGTCGATGCGCTAGTTCCGGGGATTAATCTTTGTATTGTCACAGATGACTGGCGAAGGAGGGATGAAACAAGAGTGTACCGTGGACGATCTAGTAAAAATGGTGGAAGATTTAACAAGGATCCATTAACTTTGTTTTCGTGTGCACAATTTTTGTTTGTGCCCAAAACCGGGATCTAAGAGATAACCTTTTTTAGTATTGCGCAAAAATACGACTTGTGTTTCTCAATAATCACATACAGTGTAATTATAAATTTTGGCCAATCCGTTAGAAATATAACAATATACTTTATACAAAACTACTTTATTGAAAAAAAACATCATTCCACACTTTGACTCCTATAAATATGTTCATAACCTGCTTTAATCAAAAACTGGAAACTAGTGTTATTTTGGAAGTCTTTCAACGAGTCGTCGTCTAGCAACGTGTCTAGGGGCGGCAGCAAGTTCCAGCTGTCGCCGTTCAAAACCATGGCCAAATCCACCAGTTTGAAGAACAACTTATTTTGCAAAATCTCCAAAGGGGAGTCTAGGTTTTGGTGGTCCCACATGTCCCTTAAGAGCGCGTACCGCCATATCTTCAGCGACATCTCTTGTCTAAGCTCTTCGTCGTCGATAAACGCCAACAAATCGAGGGCTTTCTTGAATTCCAACTCCGCGGCTTCTTTATATTCTTTACAAATGAATAAATGGATCAAATCTTTAGGCGAAATCACCCGAATGTGGACGGTGTCATAACCAAACTGTTGCAAAACGTAGTCAGGCACGTCCTCTTGATAGCTGATTAAATCCAACCTCCCCTCCACGTTTCGTAAATAGTCGTCCGAATCGTGACTGCCCGACGCCAGTTTGGCCAACTTGCACAAACTATACATCGTTTTTTGTCGGGTGACCGACTCGGCTTCGTCCGTCGCCAACTTGCGCAAAGTATCCGCCGCTTGGTTGTACTTTTTGTCGAAAATCTCCTGCATCCACGACAACGACGGGTGATCCGAAAGGAAAGTCGCCAACTTTTCGATGTTCTTAGTTTTCCCGACGTGCTTGCACATGTCGATCAGTTTTCCTTGCTTGTTTTCTTTGAGGAACCAGTTATACACGAATTCGGAAAAGCCGTCGTTGCCGAACCTTTCCAAATAGTCGTCGAGACGCCGTTGGTTGCCTGTGGCTTCGCAAATTGTCATTAGTGTCTCGAAATCTAGGTACTTTTCGGCGAGTTTTGCGGAACTTTCCCATCGTTTTTCCTGAACTGTGGATAAAAATGGTTATTTTTGACCTCGCGGAGTAAGTGTGCGTCACTTACGGAACGGCTTCATAAATTTGTGACGATCGGCACAGTACTGTTTGTATAGAATGGCTTCAAGGGGGGTGCCTTTGATGCTCTCCAGGTGGCTTTTGCGCCCGTCTAAAATTATATCGGTGACGGCGACCAGTTGATCGAATAAGTTGTTCTTTAAACGGTCATTATTGGTTAAAATAATTCCGTAATTGTAGGTGTGATGATGCTAAAATCTTTGTTTAGTGCTTAGTTTTGCGAAATTAATTAGTTACCATTTGTGACAGTGAATTGAAGAGACCATCGGAGCCACTTGACGCAGTCCAGGGTAGAAAATCCGGCGCGATTACAGTCACGGTTTCCGATGGCTTGTAGTTCGTCAAGTTTTGTTCCCTATATTTGACCACGTCCATCAACATCCCCTAATCAACAAACAGTTTACACTCGTTATTTTCATACAGCTTTGAAAGTCTAGAAACTCACCAAGACTATTTCGTTTGTATCGTGGATAACCTCGACAATCTGCGCCGGAGTCATATTCGAGTGCGAAATATCCTCGCAATAATTCACCAATTCTTGTACCCCTTTATGCACCTGGGTGATCTCCCGGAAGAACACATCTTGAAAAGTCAACCCGTTCTCGGGTCTTGTGTCAGACTCGGCCACCGCCTTTTCGATCGCCTTTTCCAAAATATTGTTATTGGCCATGTTTTTGAACGTGATCGCGGCCACGATTTTCTCCGCCAGCTCCCCCAGGACGTACACCGTCGCCATGGTGGTGCTCCGAATCGTGGACGCCCCCAGCTGTTTCCACAGCCCCGAGTCTTTCAAAAACTTCATGTACAAAGCGTGCGCTTTTTGCTTATCCTCGAGCTGGTGCAGCACTTGCATCGAGTACGAACTGCCGAGACCCAGCGGCGTGTCTTTGTTCCACCGCGGGTCACCTGCGGGAACGTCGTCGACGAGATCTTTGCACATCATCACCACGACTTTATCCATGAGAAGATCGATTCCTGGAACTTTAGCGGTGTCGGGTGGGAATAGCTCATACAGGATGTCTTTATAGGCGTCTTCTTGGTTCTTGATGTAGAAAATAAAAGCGGCTTTTAATTGGCTTAAAGTGTCTTTACAAGCGTTCGAGATTTCCTCCGGGTCCATATTATAAATCGAGAGATTATTGACGACCATGCTTTCGTTGAAGGACGTTTCTGCCGGGGTGTTCGCACCTGCCACGCTCAAGTTCAGCTCGTTCGCCATTTCGTTACTCGAGATGGCGACGAGGCCGTGATTGCGCGAAAAAAATATGGCAGTGTTTACGCAAACGGACCCCGCTAAGAGAAAATCTTGGGGGGTGTTGAACTCTAGAATATCTGGTTCTTCATGGGGTTTGATAACAGTGATGGATTTCTGGTTGTATAAGTAGGCGTGGGTTCCACACAAGAGGAATCTGTATGACAAATAGTCGCCGGTGTTGCTTTCGCGGTATAAATCTGTCATTTTTAACATTAGGAAGTCTTTGATGTTTGTCGGAGTTTGGTTGGTATTAGTTTGGAAACTAATCATGGCGTAGTGGACTCTAGGGGAGATGGGGATGTTAACAGCGGCTGCTAGAACGATAACGCCGTCTTTATCTGACTGAATATCCAGAAGCCAGGTGTCGATTTCGGTTTGATCCCCCACACAGTTCTCCCAGAGGGCGCTGCGAAAACTATCACGCACCATTCGGTTGAGTTCGACGACGAAAATTAATTCTTCAGTGTCGTTTTTCGACACTTGCCATTTTTGTAGGTTGTGGTCTGCTAAGACGTAAACCGCCCAGGTGTCGCCACTGGGTACGCTCAACACCCGCACAATGCCCTAATCCACAAATTCAAAGAAATAATATATGAACGTTATACACCAGTCATAAGTCAGGACGGTTTCAAACATATAACTAAATATAAATAAAAAGTAAGCGTTTGTAACTTACACTTTCTGCTGAATTCTCGCTCGCAATCGGCCCGAAAATCAAACTCGACATCCTTTTACTAATCCCTCCCAGCCACCCCGTCGGTATTCGCAAGGTTTTACACTTCAAAGTGTTCCTACCCCCCGATAACTGTGGTTGTATTAGCACCACCGTGCACGTCGTCGTGGCTAAAACGCACCCCAACCCCTCTATGTCAGTCAAACTGTCGCATTCTTGCCCTTGCAGACTGACATGTTGCTCCACTGACACCCCCTCGTGCACAATGGCCGGCCAATACCGCACCACCCCTTCTGGAGATACCGCAATACACGACGGCGTAGTCGAGCCCGAACTCACGAAAACGGACACGAGTTCGGCCCGGTGCGCCAAGTCGCTTTGGGGCAGCTGCAGCTCGAAGCATTGGTTCAAGAGGCTCTTTTTTGAAGGGGTGTCAGTCAAAACGGGGCTTTGGCGGTACTGCCAGATGAGGAGGCGGCGGCCGCACACCACCCAAGCGTAGCCGTGCTTGGAAATGCGGGCCGAGACAACCGTACTTCCTACGACAAAACTGTAGTTGCATTGAAGACTAGACAGAGTGACTTACGGTCAGCAAAAGTTAACGCTTCTGTAATTAATACCGGCAGAGGTTGTCCAAAGCGCTCGACGTAGTTGTACGGTGTTGATAATATTATTTGGACTGACTGTGTGGATTTTCCTGAAACGCTGAAACGACTGAAACCGGGTTAGTAAAGTTAGGTTAGGTTGGTGTTCACTTACGATGATTTGCGAAAGCTTGATTGCAGGACTCTTTTGGTGCTCAGGCTGGCGCGGGGGCGCGGTGAAAACGGACTTTTGGGTAGAAGGGGCGAGTTAAAACTTCGATCCATTTCGAATTTTTAAATCAACAAAAAACAGAAAATCGAGTTTGAATGAAACAACGATGACATTAGCTGCGCATGGCTGCCACCACAACGGGTCAAATTTGTCAATTTTTATTTTATCATTATTTAATCAAATTGTGGATGTGTCGCCTTATTAATATAACACTGGGTGAAAATAACTGATTTAAGACAATTTATTTAATAAAAATTTGTCCGGTTTGCTTTAAATTATTGAGTTCGATTTTTCTTGTCGTTGTGTTGGTGTTACCGCCTTGAAGTCGGCGCTCGCTGTCATTTCGTGAGGTTTTGACGTTTGTTATGGCCTCCGGATGGTTCGTAAAACCCAAAGCAAATCGCCAGGCAAAAAGTCAAGGAAAAGTGACCCCGACATTTCTCGGGAAGATGTGATGTTCACACCCTATTCAGAGACATCCGTACATAAACGCAACCTATGTATTGTTTCCTTCCCCATCATTTTTCTGTTCAATATTTTGCGCTCTTTGTTGTACCAAATTTTCGTTATTCTCCGTTTCGTGTACTGTAGTTCGTCAAATTACCTAATTAAGAAACGTCAGTTTGAATGCGAGAGCGGTCAAAGCACCTGTGTCGTTGAAGAAATAACCGAAATGTCGCATCAAGTGCACCGATCGTCAGGGCCGGGCCCGGGGGACCCGCTCTTGGCCAAACAAAAACACCACCACCGTCGCGCCTTCGAGTACATCTCCAAGGCGCTGAAGATCGATGAGGAGAACGAAGGTTGGCCTGAATCAGTCAGCGGTGATGAGCATGAATCATTAATCGCGCGTTTTAGGTCAGAAGGACTTGGCCATCGAGCTGTATCGGAAGGGCATCACGGAACTCGAGCTGGGCATCGCGGTGCAGTGCTGGGGCGGCCGCGGCGAAGTGTGGGAGCGCGCGCAGAGACTCCACGAAAAAATGAAGACCAATCTGGCGATGGCGAAGGACCGGCTCCAGTTTTTGGGTAACTAAAGAGGCTCCCACAAAGTTGTTTTGTTTTGGTATTTACGTCTTTGTTTATGTTCTGTTCATAGAAAGCATGGATATGTTACATCAACAGGATGTTCAAAAAGAACCGAAAGAGGCTCCTAAACTTAGCTACACTAGCAATATACCCACTCCCAAACTTAGTTTTAATAAAGGTATTTTTATTTCCGTTGGCATCTCGCTTCGACAGTGTAAAGTTAGAAATTTTGCGTTTCCACGTAGACGTTTTAACTCGTAACGATTTTTTTTTGGTTTTTGAGTAATAGCTCCCATTTTGTTTGTAAAACCGTGCGATTCAACACGCGCCAGGAGTGGTCAAGCGCAACCGGGCTAAAACTATGTTGGCAATGTTCCTGTGATAACTGTTAAATATATTTCATTTTATGCTAGTTAAATAGAATTTAAACTTAGATTTTAATAAGATAATAATTACCGATATGGAGAATAGTCACCAGAATGAAGAGGGGGCGGGTGGGCGGGGCTAATACTTATCAAAAACTCCAAGGAAAAGTTAAACTTTTTTTTAACACAGAATTATTGATTTCATGAATTATTTAAAAACGTTGCAAGATTAAAACAGAAGTATATAATTACGTAAATTACTTAATGGTTTGAAATTTAAATAGTTTTTGCACTAATTGAGGTAATTTTAAATTGCGCAATGCGTGAAATAAAACTATTATAATGTTATTATGATAATTATTTCGTAATTATAGGAATAACATTTCCGACTTTTTGGAATAATTGCAACTAATGACCCCGGATGCGCTTAAACGCTCAAACGTTGGATCAACCCATGCGTGTACCATTTTTGATTAAAAAGCCTCAATAATACAAGTGTGACAGTTTTCATGCATCAGTAACGGCTTTAGTAATGAATTAACGAGCAAGTCTGTACATTTACCACACTAACTTGTTTTCTCCAGCTTCTGGCAAGAAATTAACAGTAGCGAGCAAACGCCCCCCTAATGCCACCTTAGCCAAGAGCCAAACCTTGCCACGGTCGATGGGGTCACGCACAGCCCCCATTCAGCCCGTGCGCCCCTTCAACAAGCTCTCGTCTACGCCTCCGGCCGTCAAAAAACAGCTCTCTGTACCTGGGAACACGGGATCTCCTGCTAGAAAAGCCGCCAGTTCAAGTAATGTGAAACTTACTCAAAAAATGAATTTTAAAGTAGTTGTTAGTTGTGTGGGGTTGTGGTAATTTCAAATAACTGAGTAGGCGCTTGCGTCAAGTGTCACTTGTAGTTCTAGGGAATTTCGCGTTGCCAATATAATTCGCCCAATGATGAATTTTTATTAATGGCGAAAACGGTTTTGACGTAAGATTTTGATTGGTAGTATTGGGAAAGCAGTGGCGTAGATACTTGTTTTAAATTATAATTATATTAATTCGATTTTGTAGTAGCCACTCCGAGTAGATCTACCTCAAGGGGCAAATCCCCCGTGCTGAGGGGCGTCGACGCTAAGCTGGCGCAGTGCATACTTGACGAGATCGTGGAAGGGGGGCTGCAGGTCCAGTGGGACGACATCGTGGGGCAAGATACAGCCAAGCAGGCGCTGCAAGAGATGGTGATTTTGCCATCGCTGCGACCGGAGTTGTTTACGGGGTTGAGGACCCCTGCGAGGGGCTTACTGCTGTTCGGGCCGCCCGGAAACGGAAAAACTTTGTTGGCGAGGGCGGTCGCCACGGAATGTCGGGTATTTTTTTCACCCAAAGTGGTCGTCTTTGTTAAGAAATGGTTTTCAGGCAACGTTTTTCTCGATTAGTGCCGCCAGCCTCACGTCGAAGTATGTCGGAGATGGGGAGAAGATGGTAAGGGCGCTTTTCGCGATCGCTAGAGAGTTGCAGCCGTCTATTATTTTCATTGACGAAGTCGACTCTCTGCTATCCGAGCGGTCGAACAACGAGCACGAGGCGAGCCGGAGGCTGAAAACGGAGTTTCTGGTGGAGTTTGACGGATTGCCTAGCAATCCTGACAGTGAACGAGTGAGTAAACGCGATGACGTCATTGCTATATAAAATTTAAATTGTGTTTAGGTTTTGGTGATGGCGGCGACCAACCGTCCACAGGAGCTCGACGAAGCCGCCCTGCGCCGCTTTCCTAAGCGCGTCTACGTCACCCTGCCCGACCTCGACACCCGCGCTCAACTTTTCAAAATGCTGCTGGCTAAGCAGGGTTGCACGCTCACGCAGCAAGAACTCAAACGGTTGGCGACGCTTACGCAGGGCTACTCAGCTAGTGATCTCACCGCTTTAGCCAAAGACGCCGCCTTGGGACCAATCAGGGAGCTGCAGCCGGAACAAGTCAAGGAGATGGATCCCAACGCGCTGCGCAGCATCACCATTAACGACTTCCTGGATTCGCTCAAGAGGATCCGGAGGAGCGTGTCGCCGCAGAGTTTGGTGGCGTACGAGAAGTGGTCGCTGCAGTACGGAGACATGTCTATTTAATCATTCCGCTTTGTTTTCAAGACGTATTTTTCTTTTTAATCTGTGATATAATTATGTTTGTGGAGAGTTCTGCCGCTTGTTGATTTTGATATTTTTTTATAACAGTACAAAATTTTTTGTTTTTTATTTTAATGACGAATTGTAAAATTAACATATTAATATGTGGTAGGATGTTAGACTAGGACGTTTTGTGTTACTAGCACTGTTTGATATTGATTACCGTTTTTAAAGTGTACACGGGCCCACACAAAATGTTAAAGACAGGCTGCTTTTTTCATAAGACGTTTGTAACTTTCATTGATATAATAAAAATCGAAATGAGAGGGCGCGTTTTTATTGAACCTAAAAAATTCGAAATCATTCAAGGTCGGTTTTGCGCACACGTCTATCGTGATGACGTAGTAACAGCGTAAAGGTCGAGAACGATATGTATGTGATGTAACGAGTATGTATTAATGGTATATATTTTATTTTAATGTAATATTAAAGTGGTGTATGGTAAACAAACAGGTGAATTAAAGAAACGTAATTATTTATATCAATTATCATTGACAAAGCAAAGCTGTACATTAAAAAAATACTGTCTAATATCAACTCCATCTCCATATGTACACTTTCCTTCCATCTTGAAACATAAAAAATATATCCTTACAACTAATTATTGAATGTATTTTGAGTTACAACACTAGACTTACACTTTCTTTTGTAAATGTAACTAACAATAGCTCATTCGATTTTTTAATAACACATTCAAAGCAAGTGCCACACATTAAATTTCTAAATGTATAAATAATGTCTTTACACTCTTAACTCATATCCCCGTTTGTTGAAATAAAAAATATAAATAAAAAACCGTGAGAGAGAAAAGTGGAGTAAAATAAAACCTAGCGTCTCGTAAAAGAACTCGGTACCGCAAATATCTTAGTATTATTTTATAAAAGGCCACATGCTAATTTAGTAACGGCTAACAACACATAAATCTCTTCATGCAGTCATTTGATATAACTGTTTCTACAATAGTTATCTATTTGCATACAAATAAGTCCTAGCGCGAAAGAATTGTACTCGAAAGTCGTCTATCAGCTACAGTATCTAAAAATATTTTTGACTTTTCTCTCGAAACCAACACAAAAGACCGTTCACGTCGTAAAAAACGACCCAAAAAATCACGTCCAGACACAGCATAACTCAATACTTGTCAGATCGCACGACACGTAGTGTGATTTTTTAGGTCTGCGTTGGCACTAAGCTCACTAGATAAAACGTGTAGTAGTAAGTGGACTAGCACTTGTTGACATCTGGTGGCGTCGTCAGATACTCGTCTGCTCGCTTGTGGTCGTTGAGGGCCTTCACTGTATATTGATCTTGAGGAAGTTCCGATTTGCGGCGAACTAATGGCTTGTTTGAATTGCGAGTCTTCTTTGCCTGAAAGCAAACCAGTTAAAACCGTGCATGCACCAGGAGGAGAAGTAAAGGAGTGACAGCTGACAGTGCGAGAACGACAGGAACACACAAATGCACACACAAAAAAGTTAGTTTTGGGGTGTCAACCATTCCAACAGTCAACTGTTACGTCCCCACCACCTCACTTCTCACGATTAGTGCGTTATCCCGTTGTGCAGGGGACACCGGACATCCAACACACAGAGGGACGGTCAAATGTTTCGATGACAAAAATAAACGGAAGGAAAGAAACAAAGAGATCGAAGGGGGGCGGGGGCGGGGTGACAGCAAACTTACTTTACACTAAAAAATATTTACAACAACAATTTACTAGCTGCGCTTTTTCTGAAACAGAGAAGAGTAGATTGGTGACATTGTCATAAAAACATTTGTTTGCTACGTAAACGGACTGATGGAAATGTCTTTACCTCCGTGGCTTGCTGCTCCAAGTTGTCCAAGTTGACTTCGTCGTCCGGATCGGGGCTCGTGATGACGCTCGTGATTTCCGGATTTTTCGATTTGATTATTTCATATTCGGGTTTCTTAGCTGCCAGAGATTCGACGCGGATCCATAACTCCATGCGCTGGTTCTCGCGTTCGCGCTCTCTGAGAATGGAAATTTTAGGTCACGTCAAATTTATTTACAAATGACTCGTCGTTGCTTTTAATAATATTTTTCAATTCACTCTAAGTAGGAACGCATTTTATATGAGAAATTTTGCGCCAATATTGCCAATTCGTTTAAAGCGCACCGAATTTCTTATAAAACCAGACAAAAGTATGAAAGTATGACTTTCATTTAGAAAATGTTTACAGCCAGTACAAAAAAATGTCTTCCGTTTCCGTTTGTCTATTGTGATTTGACCATTTTATTAGACAAATAACCTCTGAAACTAGTGGACTGGTTGTTCTGAAATTTTAGATGTATTTGGGGAATATAATGTAGACGGTTACCAATAATTTGATGACGTCATCTCAATCTTTTGCAAAGTAATTTCTACTTAAATTTTATAAAATAACACACTTCTACATATGTCATCTTAATGATGTGATACCAAAATTTTATCAGGAAGTTCTGTCCAAATAATTCTTTTTTGTTATCAAATTTGAAAATTTATTACCAGCGAGATTTTTTAATTTCTGATCTATTTTTCGCTGCCCATTACGTCACTAAATTACGTAGGTCGTCTTTTAGAACAAATAACTTGTGCGCTTTAACATAACCTAAATTGTGGATTGTTTTTATTTTGGCAAGTCAAGTTATGACATTTGTTTTGTCTAAAAGTTCTTAGAGGTGACTAGATCAGAACTAAAATCAGAAAAAAATCAAAGAATTTTGAAAAAAAAAAGAAAAGAAAAAGATTGAGTTATATTTCCTCTCTTGGGGCAACGGTTTTCAGAAAAAATGGGGTCCCAACAATTTACAAAATACAGCATCATGCAATTAAAGTCTTAAATAGGAAGACACAAATTATTATTGAGTTTTTTTTAGTCTTGAACAAAATCCATAATATGAGTGACGAACCACAAATAGAGTGGAAATATTTCGAGGAGAACACACTAAGTGTGCCCTTACTACAAAACCAAAGTACGCCACTGGTGAAGGCAATATGTTCTCATAATATTTGCACTCTAGGTGTAATAAAAAATAATAAATTCTTTAAATTTCTAATGTCCCTAACCTATTCACTTTTTTGGGTAAGATATACACATGATGGAAAAAACACCTCCAGTAGGCTGTGCATTTTTTTTCTTTTCAAAATAATTATGTTGGTATAGCAACGATTTGACGCTTTATTTGACAGTTATTTGCTGTAACTGTCAAACTGAACAAGTAACGCGTTGACGTTGCCAACATCATTATTTTAAAAATAAAATTACATGGCCCACTAGACGAGTTTTTTTTTGGATCAGATCACCGTTCTGCATTTAACTTGATGTTGAATGCACCCTATGCTGATTCCAAAAATATAGCGTGTTCAAATATTCGTTTGAAAATGTTTTTTTTTACCGAAAAAATTGAAATATGGTACGAATATCGAAGAAATTAGGCGAAAAATAATTTATGCAGGTCGAAATTGAAAAAGTCTTTAAGTTTCAAAAATTGCCGAAAATTGGCTGAAATTTTCCATTGAAAAATTCTGCTTTTTTAAAGATTGTGAAAAAAAATCCAAAAAATTCAGGCATATAAATATCGACGTGCTGATCCCAAAAATATAGCGTGTTCGTGGTTTTGAGGCAATATTTTAGAAATATTCGGTTGGTCATTCAATTTTTTTATTTTCCCATTTCCCGATTTGTAGACTTATCAATGATTCGATTTTTCAGTTTTTTAATTCAAGTGTTCGATTTTTTAGGTTTTTTGATTTTTTATTCTTTCATTTTTAAATTTTCGCATTTCTTAATGTCTTGATCTTTCAGTACTTTTGGAATTTTTCAGTTTTTTCATTCTTCAATTTTTCTTCCATTTTTTAGTTTCCCGGTTTTTTCCTTTTTTGATTTTTTGACTTCGATTTCTAGATATTTCAGTTTTGGAATTTGTCAATGTCTTATAATTCTTCAATTTTTCGAGTTTTGAATTTCTCGATTTTTCACTTTTTCAATTTTCCATTCCTCAATTTTTCGGTCAGTTTTTGGATTTTTCAGTTTTACTCTTCTTGAATTTTTCAATCTTGCAGTATTGGAATTTTTCAATTTTTCGATTCTTCATCTTCTCAGTCTCAATTTCTGCGATTTTCCAATTTTTCAACTCTCGAAATTTTTGATTTGTAAATTTTTGGATTTTTCAATTTTGCAATTTTTGACGTTTCTAGTTTTCATGTTTTCGATTTCTCAATTTCTTGGTTATTAAATTTTTTGGTTTTCCCATTCCGATTCGATGTTTCTATTTTTCAGTTTTTTAACTCAAGTGTTCGATATTTTTTTTTTTTTTGATTTATTATTCTTCCACTTTTTTTGAAATTCAAAAAATTTGCAATATTCTATTGGGCGATTTCTGGAGAAGTGGTAGGAGTTGAAGGAGGATGTGAAGCCGAAACAAACTCCCCTAAGTCGAAATTTCTTAGAAAATGTCTTTATAATAAGTTTCGAAAATGATCGAAAATTGGGCAAAATTTTTCATTGTCCAAATTTCTTTCTTTTAAAAAAGTTGTCAAAAAAATCCAAAAAAATTCAGGGATATAAATTTCGACGTGCTGATTCCAAAAAATATAGCGTGCTCATGGTCTGGGGAAAAGATTTTAGAAATATTCGGTTTGATTTTTGTTTTAAATGCAAAAATTACAATATTCCATTGGGCGATTCTGGAAATGAGGTAGGAATTATCGAAGAAAAAAACTAACTTCAATAGGTTACAATGCACAAGAAAATGTGTTTAAATCAAGTATCGGAATTGGCCGAAAATTTGCCGAAATTTTCATAGGTTTGAAAAATTTTGCTTTTTAAAAAATACGTCAAAAAATCCCAAAAGATCCAGGGATATAAATTTCGACGTGGTGATGCCAAAAATTTAGCGTGTTTATGGTGTCGGGGTGAAATTTTAGAACATCCGGTGTGAAAATATATTTCTTTTTAAATCCAAAAAATTACAATATTCCATTGGAAAACTGGTAGGAGTTTCAAAGAAATGAGGCCGAACCAATGTTCCCTAGGTCGGAATCGATAAAAAAATATCTTTAATAATTTCGAAAATGACCGAAAATTGAACGAAATTTTTCAATAAAAATTTTGCTTTTGAAAAAATTTTAGATTTTGGGCCGCAGAAGTCACTTCTGGCTCTATTTCATCTGTAACTTAAACTGTGCTTCCAAAATTATCCATTGAAATATCGCAGTTTTTAACAATTTCGAAAAATTCGAATTTCACATCGAAATTTCCGAAAATATTGCTCCGTTACAATCAACACGCTATATTTTTGGGATCATCATGTCGAGATCTTCGTCCCTGAATTTTTTCATAATTTTTAGACAAGTTGTTAAAATTGAAATTTTTTAATGATTCTTCAAATTTCGCAAAAATTTTGACATTTTCCTAACTCAACTAAATACATTTTCTTATAGATTGCGAGCTCTAGAACTCAAATCCGGCTTCGGTTTTTTGATACCTGCAACCGTTTTTCCAGAATCGACCGTTGAAATTTCGAAATTTTTTAAATTTTCAAAAATTCGCATTTCGCAGAAATTTTTTCGAAAATGTTGCTTCGTGACCATCAAGATGCTATATTTTTGGAATCAGCGTGTCGAGATCTACGTCCCTGAATTTTTTCATAATTTTAATTTTTAGACAACTTTTTTTAAAATTGAAATTTTTTAATGGTCCCCCCTCCTTCAAATTTCGCAAAAATTTTGACATTTTCGAAACTCAACTAAATACATTTTCTTGTAGATGTCGAGCTCTAAAACCCAAATCCGGCTTCGGTTTTTTGATACCTGCAACCATTTTTCCAGAATCGACCGTTGAAATTTCGAAGTTTTTGAAATTTTCAAAAATTCGCATTTCGCAGCGATTCTTACGAAAATGTTGCTTCATGACCATCAACATGCTCTATTTTTGGAATCAGTGTGTCGAGATCCACGTTCCTGAATTTTTTCATAATTTTTAGACAACTTTTTTGAAATTGAAATTTTTTAATGGTCTCCCCTTCTTCAAATTTCGCAAAAATTTTGACATTTTCGAAACTCAACTAAATACATTTTCTTGTAGATTTCGAGCTCTAGAACTCAAATCCGGCTTCGGTTTTTTGATACCTGCAACCGTTTTTCCAGAATCGACCGTTGAAATTTCGAAATTTTTGAAATTTTCAGAAATTCCCATTTCGCAGCGATTTTTTTCGAAAATGTTGCTCCGTGACCATCAATATGCCATATTTTTGGAATTAGCGTGTCGAGATCTACGTTCCTGATTTTTTTCATAATTTTTAGACAACTTTTTAAAATTTAAATTTTTTAATGGTCTTCAAATTTCGCAAAAATGTTGACATTTAAATACATTTTCTCGTAGATTTCGAGCTCTAGAAGTCAAATCTGGCCTCGATTTTTTGATACCTGCAACCGTTTTTCCAGAATCGACCGTTGAAATTTCGAAATTTTTGAAATTTTCAAAAATTCGCATTTCGCAAAAATTTTTTCGAAAATGTTGCTTCGTGACCATCGACATGCTATATTTTTGGAACCAGCGTGTCGAGATCCACGTCCCTGAATTTTTTCGCAATTTTTAGACACCTTTTTTAAAATTGAAATTTTTTAATGGTCCCCCCTTCTTCAAATTTCGCAAAAATTTTGACATTTTCGAAACTCAACTAAATACATTTTCTTGTAGATTTCGAGCTTTAGAACGCAAATCCGGCTTCGGTTTTTTGATACCTGTAACCGTTTTTCCAGAATCGACCGTTGAAATTTCGACATTTTTGAAATTTTCATAAATTCGCATTTCGCAGCGACTTTTTCGAAAATGTTACTTCGTGACCATCGACATGCTATATTTTTGGAATCAGTATGTCGAGATCCACGTCCCTGAATTTTTTCATAATTTTTAGACAACTTTTTTAAAATTGAAATTTTTTGAAATTCGGAGCGCTTTTCGTGCTGGCAATATTATAACCTTTATAGGTTGCCACCCAAACGTGACTTAAGTAATTGATAGATAATTTACATCCAACGCTACGTTGATGATATAATAAAATTGTATGACCTCGACACTATCGGTCACAAAACTTTATTAGTATCCAAAAACAACCCATTTTTACCCAACCTTCACTCCCACTCTACTTACTTTCTTCTCTCTTCCCTATACAACTGCGTGCACTCATCGAACAACTTCTGATTCATCTCCATAAACAACTTAAGCGCATTGTAAATGAGGCCGTGTATCGTCTTATTCCAGTGACTCTTCGAGTTCTTATATAAACTCGGGAACATCAACGGCAGTATCTCCGTCGCGTTCTCGGACACTAGCGACATCACATACTCGTTATTCCAGTAGTAGAGCGCCCTCTCGGCCACTTGGAAATGGGGCGAGCTCACGCACTTCGCCAACTGCTTGAACAGAGGGCACATCACCTTCTGGAACTCTCCCGGTTCGATCACGTCCAGGATCTCTTCCAATTCGTTCAAGAACATCACCTGCCAAAACAAAGAGAAATATAAAAACCCTGGAGGAGTGAGTTTGCGTCGAACATCGGTCACGATTAAACAAAATTAAACACACATCTTTTGTGTTGTAATTTACGAACTGGGTAATGGAAATCCGTTTGTTATGAATTTCAACCACATATTTAAATTTTAACCAAATAATCACCGCCGCTTTTATGAGTACGTGTATGTTTAATTTCTCGTTATCCATGTGGGTTTTATAAATAAATGAATGCGCTGTTACATTACAGATTACAAACAATGTGTGAAATAATTAATTGAAAATTTCTAGTGAGAACAAACGAAGTCAATTTGTGGTGCCCCATATGACATCATTACATAATTTACTATGTTTTCTCACAGTTAATTTCGTTACATATGATTTGATGACACAGTTCTTGCTTATTTCTAAACCGAAACATTGTTATTTTACTGCATTTTAATATTATTTCGTTGTAGAAAGGAACGGTAGGTTCGTCGTTCACTCACCTCTTTGGGACTATGCGTCTTCGGCCAGTACTTCAGCAGGCTCCTGATCACCGGCTGCGTCAACGACGGGTCCTTCTCCAGGAACTGTACCACGCAGTAGGCCAGCTGGGGGTGGTACACGGACAGCGATTTGACTTTGTGTAGGGGCATGAGGACCCTCAGCAGGAACACCTTGTGCTCCTCCTTCAGCGGCAGAGCGAAGCCGTTGATGATGGACCCGAGGATCTCGAGGAGTTCCGCGATGCCGTTGTGGTGTTCCGTCTCGTAGATGAACCGGTAGAAGACGTTGTTGATCTGCTTACGGATGAAGGCGCGCAGCCCCAAGAACTTGCCGTAGATCCTGTGGAGGGTGGTCTTGAGGAGGTCGCGTTCGCGCGGGTCCTCCGAGTCGAACAGGTCTAAGAGTTGCAGGACGAATTTCTGGTCGATGTAGCGCTTGGCGATGTTTGGCTGGAAGTCGGGGGCTTCGAGGACGCGCAAGAACAGCTCGTAGACGAGCTGGAGGTGCGGCCAGGCGGCTTCCAGGGTAGGCTCGTCTTCCTCTGGGTCGAATTCGGCGCCGTTGGGGTTCGACGAGGGAGGGAGTGTGCGGAAGAGGTTGACGGCGAACTAGAAAAGCGGACGATTATTGTATATTTAATTTCAAGTATCTGTTTATCTAATACTATTAAACGAGCAAAGTTTGTATATATATATATATATATATGTAATGGGTTTCTCGAAAACGGCTCTAACGATTTCGATGAAATTTACAGGTTAGGGGTTTTTTGGGTCAAGAAATCGATTGATCATAGTTTTAACTTCTGAAAATTACAGCTTCATGCATTTTCAGCAATTTTCAGGCAGTGAATTATATTTGTTGCTAGGCAACATCAGATGACACTACACGAACACGAGATTGTTTTATATGAGAAGTTTGGGTGACAGTCTGACAGTACGTTTGACGTACCTTTTTATCTTCAATTGTACGTACCGAAACATGCTCCACTGTATAGAGGACGTTGAAATTCACCTCCTGAGGTGAGAAAATTTACGGAAAACTAAACAGTGAGCGGATAAAAGGCACACGAAAGTGTGTTGAATTGAGATTATTTTGTCAAGCATTCATTTCAGAGGTTCCACGGTCAGTGTCAACATGTGATCGTTTTCGGGGATGGGACCGTGTTATTTGAGTTTTTGGGCTCAACGTTTCGCACACTTTCGTAAATGGCATCTTCGGGAGCAGGGTTGAGATTGAGAAATTAGGAATAACACAAAAGAGCACGGCAACTCAGTATGTTAACCACACCAGAGGCGAAACTCTTCTGGCAGTAAGAATGTGGTTGTGACCTTTTTCTAGAGTCGAGAGAGAGAACTAGGAAAAAAAAAAACGACAGAGAGAAAACTTGGGTAACAAATGAGATGTCAAACAATAATTCCAGTTTTCTGTTCTTTAATCTCTACATGTCACTTATCAGTGTTTAAAACAAAGACTGCTTATGGAATTTCTTTTTTAATGTGTATTTTTAAGTAGCGCGTGTACTTCAAAATGCATACTATACGCATATTTATCTGTCCTAATCTGATCTAATACTACCAAACGAGCCGAGTGAAACTCGGTCAACCAGATATTTACAATTATTCGAAAAAAGAAGTCCAAAATTTTTGCCGTAGGATATAGTCTAAAGTAATTTCTTAACTAATTTTAATATATCAAATTTTTTAACTGAGATGCGGCACTTCTGCGTTCTTTGAGATACGACTTGCTTTCTAATATCCTTAACTATAAGAAAAACTTTTTATTGATTATCTTCACTATTCAAAAGTAATTTCAGTATTAATTATTACTTCTCCAGATATCAATTTCAAAATTTTCAGTGTTGAAAAAACCTCGTTTATTGAAAATATCTAAACGCGTTCCGTGTAGGTAACGAAAGATTTTTTAATGGAATGGAAAGACACGAATTCAATCACAGTTACATTGCTAGAATGAGTACTGTAAGATTCCTGTACTTGTGGGCTATGAATCCGTCTTGAGTTTTTAGCCCAGACATCAAAATTTTTCGGAAAAAAACATCAAAATGATATAACATTTAACAATTTGACATTGAGACCGCAAAACCGAATGCTCTGAAATCTTGCAGACGTTTTAAGATTATTGGAACCATGGTTAATCGTTAATCAAAATTTATCTCACAAAAAAAAGAGGTCATCATAAGAATTTACAGTATAAAAGTTATCTAAACTTGAAAAAATAAAAATTCCTGTACTTGTGGTTTATGAATCTGTGTGAAGGGCATCTAAATTTTTGTGAAAAAATCAAAATTGAATAGCGACATTTTACAATATTGCCGAAAAACTTTGCTAAGATAGAACTGAACAATATTAAGAGTAGTCACTGAAATAAAGAAGGGGTGGGTGGGCGGGGCTAGTACTTGATAAGACATATTTTGGTAAATGACATATCCTTTGAGAAAATGAAGGGGGGGTGGGCGGGGCTAAAACTTTGCTAAGATAGAACTGAACAATATTAAGAAGGGGTGGGTGGGCGAATTTCGACCCATTTTATTTATTTTAATTTTAACTACATTCGGTTTTCCAGAATCGCCAATTGAAATATCGCAATTTTTAAAGATTTCAAAAAATTTCAATTTGACTCCGAATTCTTCGAAAATATTGTGCCGTGACCCTAAATTCGCTATATTTTGGAATCAGCACGTCAAGGTGTATAACCCTGAATTTGTAAAGAATTTTTGGACCACATTTTCATAAATGAAATTTTCCCTTATGCAAATCTTTATTTTCAATTGACGATTCTGGAAAAAGTGTAGTAATTTTCAAAAAAATCGAAGGATAAATTAACTTCTGGGAATCTAAATCTACGAAAAATGTTTTTATCTAATTTTTGAAGGTGTCTGAAAAATGATAAAAAATTTCACCGTGAAATATTGAAAAATTTAGATTTTGGAAAAGTTGCTAAAAAATCAAAAAAAAATCTGAGATGTAGATCTCTAGGTGCTAATACGAAAAATATAAAGATTTCTAATAATCCAAAAATTTGTCATATTTTAATTGGTTATTGTGCAAAAATGGTAGGAATTTTTGAAAAAATGAAGCATAAAATAACTTTAGGGTCTGAATACTACGAGTATAAAAAATGTCTTTAGCTAGTAATTTTAGAAGGTGACCGAAAAATGATCAAATATTTCATAAAGTATTGAAAAATTGTCATAAAAATGCACTGATCTGAAAAATATAGCTCGTTTATGGTCTTGGACCAAAATTTTCGAAAAAAATGAGGTCATCACAAAAATTTCCCAAATAAAAGTTATCTAAAATTGAAAAAATAAAATATTCCTGTAATTGTGGTTTATGAATCCGTGTGAAGTTTTTACTCTAGTCATCCAAATTTTTGGGAAAAAATCAAAATTGAATAGCAACATTTTACAATTTAATTTTGAAATTGCAAAACCGATTCTGGAATCTTGCAAACGTCTTTTAAGATAATTAGAAACATAGTAAATCATTATTCAAAACTTATATGTTTACGCCCCCTTCTCAAAAGTGATGACGTCATCTTACAATATTGTCGAAAAAACTTGCTACAATAAAACTGAACAATATTAAGAGTAGTCACTGGAATAAAGAAAGGGTGGGTGGGCGGGGCTAGTACTTGATAAGATAAGACTGATTTTGGTAGATCACATATCCTTGAAGAAAATGAAGGGAGGGTGGGCGGGGCTAAAACTTTGCTAAGATAGAACTGAACAATATTAAGACGAAGGGGTGGGTGGGCGAATTTCGACCCATTTTATTTATTTTAATTTTATTTTTAACTCCAATCGGTTTTCCAGAATCGCCAATTGAAATATCGTAATTTTTAAACATTTCAAAAAATTCCAATTTCATTCCGAATATTTCGAAAATATTGCTCCGTGACCCCAAACACGCTATATTTTTGGAATTAGCACGTTTCATAAATGAAATTTTCCCTTATGCAAATTTTAATTTTCAATTGACGATTCTGGAAAAACGGTAGTAATTTTCAAAAAAATTGAAAGATAAAATAACTTCTGGGAATCTAAATCTACGAAAAATGTTTTTATCTCATTTTTGAAGGTGTCTGGAAAATGATACAAAATTTCACAGTGGAATATTAAAAAAATTAGATTTTGGAAAAGTTACTAAAAAATCCAACAAATGGCCATATTTTAATTGGTTATTCTGCAAAAATGGTAGGAATTTTTGAAGAAATCAAGCATAAAATAACTTTAGGGTCTGAATACTACGAGTATAAAAAATGTCTTTAGCTAATAATTTTAGAAGGTGACCGAAAAATAATAATCAAAAATTTCATAAAGTACATATTGACAAATTGCCATAAAAATTCACAAAAATTTCTGGGATATTTATCTCGAGGTACTGATTTGAAAAATGTAGCTCGTTTATGGTCCCGGACCAAAATTAAAAAAAAAAGAGGTCATCACAAAAATTTACCGAATAAGTTATCTAAATTTGAAAAAATAAAATATTCCTGTAAGTTTTTACCCTAGTCATCCAAATTTTTGGGAAAAAATCAAAATTGAATAGCAACATTTTACAAATTAATTTTGAAATTGCCAAACCGACTCTGGAATCTTGCAAACGTCTTTAAGATAATCAGAAACATAGTAAATCATTATTCAAAACTTATTCGTTTGCGTCCCCTTCTCAAAAGTGATGACGTCATTTTACAATATTACAGTACATTTTCAAAAATGAAATTCTGTCTTATGCAAATTTTAATTTTAAATTGACGATTCTGCAAAAATGGTAGTATTTGTCGAAGAGGTGAAGCATACAATAATCTAAGAATCGAAATCTACATTTTTTGTCAACTTTTTCAAAAACACGATGTTTCAATGAAAAATTTCAACCAATTTTCGGTATTTGCAAAACTTAACGTAAAGAAATTTTCTTAAAGATTTTAGCCTAAATAAGTTGGTTTCGGCCTCATTTCTTCGATAACTCATACCATTTTTCCAGAATTGTCCAATAAAATATTGTAGTTTTTTGGATTTAAAAAAAAAAAATTCAAGCCGGATATTTCTAAAATCATTCCAGGAAACGATGAACACGTTATATTTTTCGTATCAGGACGTCGAAATTGATATTCTTGAATTTTTTGTGATTTTTTTGTCAACTTTTTCAAATGCAAAATTTTTCAAGGAAAAATTTCGACCCATTTTCGACGATTTTCGAAATTTGACTAAATATATTTTTTTGTAGATTTCGAAATGCCGCAATTTTTACAATTTTCAAAAAATTTCAATTTCACTCCGAATAGTATTTTGAAAATATTGCTCCGTGAGCCTAAACACGTTACATTTTTGGAATCAACACGTGAATTTTTTGAGAATTTTTAGACGACTTTTTCATAAATGAAATTTTGTCTTATGCAAATTTTAATTTTCAATTGACGATTCTGCAAAAATGGTAGTATTTTTCGAAGAGGTGAAGCATACAATAATCTGAGAATCGAAATCTACATTTTTTGTCAACTTTTTCAAAAACACGATATTTCAATGAAACATTTCAACCAATTTTCGGTATTTTCAAAACTGAACGTAAAGACATTTTCTTAAAGATTTCAACCTAAATAAGTTGGTTTCGGCCTCATTTCTTCGATAACTCATACCATTTTTTCAGAATTGTCCAATGAAATATTGTAGTTTTTTGGATTAAAAAAAAAAAGTTTCAAGCCGGGTATTTCTAAAATCATTCCAGGAAACGATGAACACGTTATATTTTTGGGATCAGGACGTCGAAATTGATATTCCTGAATTGTTTGTGATTTTTTTGTCAACTTTTTCAAATGCAAAATTGTTCAAGGAAAAATTTCGACCCATTTTCGACGATTTTCAAAATTTAACTAAAGATATTTTCTTGTAGATTTCGAAATGCTCCAATTTTTAAAATTTTCAAAAAATTTCAATTTCACTCCGAATATTTTGAAAATATTGCTCCGTGCGCCTAAACGCGCTACATTTTTGGAATCAGCACGTGAATTTTTTGAGAATTTTTAGATAACTTTTTCAAAAATGAAATTCTGTCTTATGCAAATTTTAATTTTCAACTGACGATTCTGGAAAAATGGTAGTATTTTTCGAAGAGGTGAAGCATACAATAATCTGAGAATCGAAATCTACATTTTTTGTCAACTTCTTGAAAAACACGAAATTTCAATGAAAAATTTCAACCAATTTTCGGCATTTTCAAAACTTAACGTAAAGACATTTTCTTAAAGAGTTCAACCTAAAGAAGTTGGTTCCGCCTCATTCCTTCGATAACTCATACCATTTTTCCAGAATTGTCCAATAGAATATTGTAATTTTTTGGATCAAAAAAAAAAAGTTTCAACACGGATAATTCTAAAATCTTTCCACGAAACGATGAACACGTTATATTTTTGGGATCAGGACGTCGAGATTGATATCCCCGAATTTTTTGAGATTCTTTTGACAACTTTTTTATAATTTTCGAAATTTAACTAAATAATTTTTCAAATTTGACTCCGAATATTTCGAAAATATTGCTCCATGAGGCTAAACACGCTATATTTTTGGAATCAGCACGTGCATTTTTTTGAGAATTTTTGGACGACTTTTTCAAAAATGAAATTCTGGCTTATGCAAATTTTAATTTTCAATTGACGATTCTGGAAAAATTGTAGTATTTTTCGAAGAGGTGAAGCATACAATAATCTGGGAATCGAAATCTACAGAAAAATTGGGGATTTTTTTCTCAACTTTTTCAAAAACAAGATATTTCAATGAAAAATTTCAACCAATTTTCGGTATTTCCAAAACTTAACGTAAAGACATTTTCTTAAAGAGTTCAACCTAAAGAAGTTGGTTTCGGCCTCATTTCTTCGATAACTCATACCATTTTTCCAGAATTGTCCAATGGAATATTGTAATTTTTTGGATTAAAAAAAAAAAAGTTTCAACCCGGATAATTCTAAAATCTTTCCACGAAACGATGAACACGTTATATTTTTGGGATCAGGACGTCGAAATTGATATCCCCGAATTTTTTGAGATTTTTTTGACAACTTTTTTATAATTTTCGAAATTTAACTAAATACATTTTTCAAATTTGACTCCGAATATTTCGAAAATATTGCTCCATGAGGCTAAACACGCTATATTTTTGGAATCAGCACGTGCATTTTTTTGAGAATTTTTGGACATTTTCAAAAATGAAATTCTGTCTTATGCAAATTTTTATTTTCAATTGACAATTCTGGAAAAATTGTAGTATTTTTCGAAGAGATGAAGCATACAATAATCTGGGAATCGAAATCTACAGAAAAATTGGGGATTTTTTTGTCAACTTTTTCAAAAACAAGATATTTCAATGAAAAATTTCAACCAATTTTCGGTATTTTCAAAACTTAACGTAAAGACATTTTCTTAAAGATTTCAACCTAAATAAGTCGGTTTCGGCCTCATTTCTTCGATAACTCATACCATTTTTCCAGAATTGTCCAATGGAATATTGTAGTTTTTTGGACTTAAAAAAAAAGTTTCAAGCCGCGTATTTCTAAAATCATTCCAGGAAACGATGAACACGTTATATTTTTGGGATCAGGACGCCCAATCTCACTTGTGATGATTTTTTTTATTCGTCGTGAGCGGGGAGGGGGGGGAAGGGAGGTCGAGCTTAACTGCAATTCTCATTTTTCTCCAACAAATTACTATCTGAAACATGTTCTTAAATAATCGTGTTGTTAAAAAGAAAAAACTATATGTATTTACACAGAAAAGTAAAATTAATCCCGCCCAACACCGCTTTAGAATTTCATTGGTTTTGTTGATTGGATGAAGACTGAATTTTACTGTGTCAAGTGGCGAATCTATGCTTTAAAAATCGAAGTGGCCCCGCCCACCCACCCGATTTTATTTTTAGTTACCCACTTTATTGGACAAAAAGTGCATTTTATATTGAACAACAGTGGAATCTAGACAAAAAGCAAAAACTAACCCCACCCATCTTCAGTTTTGAATTTCATTGGCTTAGTTAATTAGATGGAAATTGAATTTTATTTTGTCATGTGGCTAAATCTACTTACAAAAAAGTAGATTTTTTTTTAGTTGCTAAAAAGTCCAAAAAAATCTAAAAGGTGCTAATTCGAAAAATGTGAAGATTTTATTGTTCTAAAGCAAGATTTTTTAAACATTCAGTTTGAAAACCAAATTTTTTAACAATCGTAAAAATTGCCATATTTTGATTGGTGATTCTGCAAAAATGCTAAGAATTTTCCACGAAATGAAGCATAAAATAACTTTGGATCTGAATACTACGAATGCAAAAAATGTTCTTGGCTAATTTTAGAAGGTGCCCGAAAAATGATCAAGTATTGAAAAGTTGAGCTTTTGGAAATTTTATGGTCCCGGAACAAAATTTTCGAAATATTCCGTTTGAACGTCAAATTTTTTAAAACTCTAAAATTTCCCATATTTCAGCCGAAAATAATTTTTCGAGATCGAGATCTACAAGAAGACAAAATTTTGAATAGTTTTTGAAATATGGCGTAATAAAAAAAAAAACAAAAAAACGCAAATTTAAAATTATGAAAATTGAAGAAATAATTTACTATGAAATTTTAACATGAATAGAAGCGAAATGACAAACTTCACGATAATTTGTGTACCATTCATGTACCAACTTCTGCAGAAATTGGTAGATTTTTCAGAACCGACAACCACGCCGCGAATTCTCCCATATAAAATGCATCGCTTATGGATTCTATACGCTGCCAAGTCGAAGCAGAATCAAGCGGGCCAGAACCTAGGTCAGCTGGTCTCTTTTTCATTTTTAAAGTGTTTTAAAAACACAGAAACTTAAATTTATTATCTAGAATTTATCACTCAACTCCCGTATAAGATGCTCTATTAAATTCCGCCCATTTCCGTCACTGCACCAAAACCTAATAAAAGAACCACTGTCACACATTTTACATGCACCACATTCATTATAATTGGATGGCGGTTTTATTACTCAGTGGTTGAAAAATGAAAAATTCATGCACGCCCACACATCGAGCACTACATAAAAGTTGTCGAAGACATCGTCTCGAAAATTTTCCATCGTTGCAATAACTTACCCATCGAGTTCGGCAAAAAGAGAAAAATTGACGTATGGAGGGCGGATTTTAGTGTCTGCAGCAGTTAGAGTAAATTGACGGCATTGGATCGAACGGAAAAAGTGAAGCTGTCTTGGGAGTTTGTAGTTCTGTCTAGTTTGCTCTATTTGTGGACAACAAAATCGATGGTGTCTCCTGTTTGATCAAGTTTTAATCAAGTAAAGCTGACGTTGTCGTAACTCTTAACTGTTATGACGGCGCAAATTCAATTTTATTTTACGTGGAGGGATTTTCAAGTCGCCGTACGTAATGGTCGGATTATGGGCAGAAGTTCGCTTGATACGTAATTTTATTGTGAGCAATGTGGAAAGGAGGATGCGAAATAGACATTATTGGGATTAGTTTCATGCAGCAACTTTTACAAACACGGGTGAATTTTTTTGTAAAATGTTCTGAAGCTTGGCGTCAATGTCAAATTCACTGTTTATGAGAAACCTTACAAAATCATAATGCAATTACTAAAGTATGTATGATTTGAAGCAAAACCGAATCATATTCGTACGTAGAACCCTTATCGAGACCTTCCAAACGGCAATGAATCCGTCCCTGAACTTTCCACATATTGACCACTCCGATAGAAAACGAATTAAGCCTCTTGTTTTATTAATGGAACACAACTACCTCGATAACCAGCGACCGTAATTGCATCGTCGTTACATGAAAGTACCCATTAGCCGCACTTCCACTACACCGGCCGTCGATAAAATTTTTTCGTCCGACGCGAAAAACCTGCCATTTTCTCGTCGATAAAATATTGCAAATTCCTAGCGCGGGCGCGAACGCTCGTTTTGAATAATTTAGCATACAATGAAAAAGAAATCAGCATAACACGCTCCGAAAATAAAACGAAGAGTGTAGGGTAAAAACTGTTTTACCATGTTAACGGCCTCGGGATAAATGGCTTCGGTGATGACGCCTTTCTGTTGGGTTACATATTCGACCATCTCGTGTAAAGCGGCGCGTTTTACTTCTTTCCATTTCAGGTCGGAAAGGGGGTCGGAGGCGAAGTCGAACAGGACGCAACATTGGCGCAGCTTCTGGATGAAGAGGTCTTCGCGATCGGCCGGAGCGGCATCTGGAAGAGAAAAAAAGTGTTAAAAAATTGACGGAGTTATTTACGCCGAATTTTCCCGTGTTTTTTTTATACAAAAAAGTTGCTGAAAAAATGGATAAAATTACTCGCGCCGAATTTCCCTTATTTTTTCTTTGACATTTTACTTTATTATTGTGTTTATGATTTCACCGTGTATTAACACTATATATTAAAATTACCGAATATGTGCAGTAATAAAAGCGAACGATCAACGCGTAAACAAAGAACCCACCCTTCCTAGTGGTTAGAAAACACGGTTTTGCAATATAAATTAGAAATTTATTTTCTTGGTCCTTTTAGGGAACCATTTTCACAAATACGCATATCTCTAAACAAATCTGGATATTTTATTTATTTTACTTTTCTAAGATATTTGGACAATTTGTCCGTTGTCCTTTACTTTGGTATATAAACTCCAGTATATATTTATGCATATAGGGTATATCATTTTCCAAAATCAGTCGTATCTTAGGAAGTATACTAGCCCCACCCACCCACCCTTTGTTTTCTTAGAGGCTATATCATTTGCCAAAATCAGTCTTATCTTAGCAAGTACTTTATACGAGTAGTACCGGAAATATGAAGACTGATTCTGGCAAATGATACACCCTGTAAGAAAATAGAGGAGGGTGGGAGGGGCCGCTTCTGACTTTGTTTTAAATCTTAGGTTCTACCGTTTTTCAAAATAGAATTCAATTCCTATTTTACAGAAAATAAAATAAGTCAGTGAAATGGAGAGACTTTCCCAGAGAGTATAGCATTGGCCAAAATCAGTGTTATCTTAGCAAGTAGTAGCCCCGCCCTCTATTTTCTTAAAGGATATATTATTTGCCAAAATCAGTCGTATCTCAGGAAGTACATATATTCATTTAATAAATAAATGCTTGTCAAAAATTTGCATCGAGATGAAATGTTTTTTACTTATTTATCTTTTATTATTGATCAATTATCTATCAGTAATGCATTTGTTTTGTTAATTATTTCCACAAGATCTTTAAAAATGTCAATGAATAACCTCGTTTTATTGATTAGATCAAAAATGGTGTATCTCTTTTCCCAATAATTCAAAGAACATACCACTATTTTTATTTTAGTGTGTTGTACTCTAATAAAAAAATTAATAAATATTTAATTTCATATTTTCTCGACTCTCCATAATTTCCACTTTACTACTACTAACACTTACTAAAATAATCTGGGAATCGAAATCTACAGCAAAATTCGGGATTTTTTGTTAACTTTTTCAAAAAAAAGATTTTTCAATGAAAAATTTCGACCAATTTTCGAGTAGTCACTGTAATAAAGAAGGGGTGGGTGGGCGAATTTAGACCCATTGTCTTGTAGAGTTCGGACCGCAGAAGTCAATTCCGGCCTCATTTGTTCGATAACTCCTACCATTTTTCCAGAATTGTCCAATGGATTATTGTAATTCTTTAGATTAAAAAAAAAAATTGTCAAGATGGATATTTCTAAAATCCTTCCCGGAAACGATGTACACGCTATATATTTTGGGATTTTTTGTCAACTTTTTCAAATGAAAAATTTTTCAATGAAAAATTTCGACTCATTTTTGACGATTTTCAGTTGAAGATTCTGGAAAAATGGAAGTAATTTTCGAAGAAGTGAAGCATAAAATAATATGGAAATCGAAACCTACAGAAAAATTCGGGATTTTTTTGTGCCTACTTTTTCAAAAACAGAATGAAAAATTTCGAGCAATTTTCGGTCATTTTCAAAACTTAACGTGAAGACATTTTCTTAAAAGATTTTAACCTAAAGAAGTTGGTTGCCGCCTCATTTCCTCGATAACTCGTACCATTTTTCCAAAAGCCCCATGGAATATTGTAATTTTTTGGATAAAAAAAAGATTTTCAAACCGGACATTTCTAAAATCTTTCCACGACACGATAATCGCACTATATTTTTGGGATCAGCACTCCGAAATTGATGTCCCTTAATTTTTTGAGATTTTTTTGACAACTTTATCAAAATGAGATTTTTCAGTGAGAAATTTCGGTCAATTTTCGATCGTTTTCAAAACTCAACTCAAAAATATTTTCTTGTAGATTTCGACCTACAGAAGTTAGTTTCGGCCTCAGTTCTTCGATAACTCCATTTTTCCAGAATTGTCCAATGAATATTGTAATTTTTTGGATTAAAAAAAAAAAAGATTACTATCAAGCCGGATATTTCTAAAATCTTTCCACGAAACGATGATGACGCTATATTTTTGGGATCAGGACGTCGAAATTGATATCCTTGAATTTTTTGGAATTTTTTGTCAACTTTTTCAATCCAAAATTTTTCAATGAAAAATTTCGACTCATTTTCAACGATTTTCAGTTGACGATTCTGGAAAAATGGTAGTAATTTTCGAAGAAATGAAGCATAAAATAATGTGGAAATCGAAATCTACACAAAAATTCGGGTTTTTTTTGTCCACTTTTTCAAAAACAGAATGAAACATTTCGAGCAAATTTTCGGTCATTTTCAAAATTTAACGTGAAGACATTTTCTTAAAGATTTTAACCTAAAGAAGTTGGTTGCCGCCTCATTTCTTCGATAACTCATACCATTTTTCCAGAATTGTCCAATGGAATATTGTAATTTTTTGGATTAAAAAAAAAAAAAGATTATCAAACCGGACATTTCTAAAATCTTTCCACGACACGATGATTGCACTATATTTTTGGGATCAGCACATCGAAATTTTTTGGGATTTTTTTGACAACTTTTTCAAAACAAGATTTTTCAGTGAGAAATTTCGGCCAATGTTCGGTCGTTTTCAAAACTTAACGTAAAAACATTTTCTTGTAGATTTCGACCTACAAATGTTAGTTTCGGCCTCAGTTCTTCAATAACTCTTACCATTTTTCCAGAATTGTCCAATGGAATATTGTAATTTTTTGGATTTCAAAAAAAGTTTTTCAAGCCGGATATTTCTAAAATCTTTCCACGAAACGCTGATCACGCTACATTTTTGGGATCAGCACATCGAAATTGATATCCCTGAACTTTTTGGGATTTTTTTTTGTCAAATGCAAAATTTTTCAATGAAAAATTTCGACTTATTTTCGACAATTTTCGAAATTTAACTAAATACATTTTCTTATCGATTTCGGGCCACCGAAGCCACTCCCAGCCTCCAAAACGGTTGGAGTTATAGAAGAAATATAACTCCAATCGTTTTCCCAGAATCGCCCATTGAAATACATATTGTAAATTTTAAAAATTTCAAAAAATCGGATTTCACTCTGAATATTTAGAAAATATTGTTCCGTGACCCTAAACAAACACGCTATATTTTTAATTAGCACCACCCTCAATTTTTGAGAGTTTTTAGACGATTTTTTCAAAAATGAAATTTTCCACTATGTATACGTAGATCTTGACGTGCTGATTCCAAAAATATAGCGTGTTTAGGTTCAAGTTTGTTGCTTCATCTTACTGTATTGACCCCACGTTTAAGTATTTTCTTACGAAAAAAAAGTACATATATTAAGAAAAAAAAAAGGGCAAAATATAAGCCCCGCCCACCAGCCCCAGCTCACTTGTGATGATTTTTTTTATACGTCGTGAGCCGGGGGGTCGAGCTTAACTGCAATTCTCATTTTTCTCCAAGAAATTACTATCTGAAACATGTTCTTAAATAATCGTGTTGTTAAAAAGAGAAAACTATATGTATTAACTAAAAAAAAAAAACCTTATGGATTTGAGCTTGGACAAAAAGGTAAAATTAATCCTGCCCAGCCCCGCTTTAGAAATTTCATTGGTTTTGTTGATTGGATGAAGACTGAATTTTACTGCGTCAAGTGGCGAATCTATGATTTAAAAATTCAAAATGACCCCGCCCACCCACCCGATTTTCCTCTTGATCACTGATTTTATTGGACAAAAACTAGATTCTATATTGATACATTGTGGAATATAGACAAAACGGCAAAACTAACCCCACCCACCTCCGTTTTTGAATTTAACTGTTTTTTTTTTTTAAATTAGACCTGCTCAACAATTTGCTGACTTAGAAAGTACAAAACCGATTGTGTTGACATTTTGCACGTGCTTTTAGGTTATGAGGAACACGGTAAATCCCTAATCAGTATTTATCTAGTTATCTCCTCCAAAAAGTTGCTGACGAAGTAAATACTATTTAAAATTTCCGAATTTAATGTTGCTAAAAAGTGTTTCGAGATCCAATTATGTTTTAATAAATCAGTAAAAACACGAGCTATTTATACAGGTTGTTTAAAAAACTTAATAAACGACTACTACTATTAATTTCTCCTACGCTTTTGGAACTCACTTTTTCAACTGTATCTCGGTATATTTTGTTTTTAAAACTGTTTCAACATTTCTCAAAAATATCCGGCAAATGGTCACTTTCATGTTTTTTCAACGTTTCACCATCCCTAGTGTACGAAAAAATGGGTCCTCGTTTCCGATTGTCGGTCTGTCGTCTGTGTCCATTTTTATTACGCAGATCTCCGAAACTACCAGATCGATTGTTGTCAAATTTTATATGTATTTTTTAGGAATATCGTGCAGATGGTACAACGCTCACCAAAATTTGTCTAATCAACATCAACAACAAATTGATGACGACACCTCTATATTTTGCATGGTAAATGTTATTTAAATTTTATAATCTAACATACTTGTGGTTCATGAATCCGACTTGGGTTTTTATCCTAAGCATCCCGATTTCGTATAAAAAAATATCGATTATGTTGAAATTTTGCGCGCGTCTCTAGATCGCTGATCAGAATTTAGAATCTAGTTATCCCTTCCAAAAACTTGATGACGTCGGATATTATTTAAAATATGCAAAATAAATTGTATTTTGAGATCAACGTTATTTGTCTTTTAGTAATGTTTTCATTTTTAGAGCGATTTATGCTGGTCGAAAGTTATTCCTACAGAACTTCCCTCGCCTCTGCAGTGAGCCAAATAAATCTCACTTCTCTGAAAAATTATAATTTTTT